TCCGCGAAACGACGCCGGCCTACGTATAGAACGTTGCTGAATTCAAGTTCTTTCTTGAGGCTCTATCACCAGAATTAAAAGAGAATATACTCTTAGGACACAATTTATGACCATAGCTTTATGGAATCCTCAAGATTTCTAAACTCGAAAGAAAAATGCTGGTTGAACTCAACTTGTTTTTGCACTTGCAACGACAAGTATGTGTTTTGTTGTCGTTTCTTCACAATCAGTTTCCTTGGCCAACATTGATTCCTTTTGTATTCTATAATATCAAAATTTAAAAACACCTATTTCTCTTTACACTTGGCTTCTCTTTTCATAGAATCCTAAAAAACAGTACAAAAAAACGTGCGGCACTTAGGGTTCCCGAGTGATCCCTCACCTCAGTACTAACCAAGCCTGAGGGCGCTTAGCTTCTGAATTCGAAATGGGTTCAGGCGCATGTGCCACTAGTATGGCCGTACGTGTTTGAAAGAGTTGTTAAATACTATTTATACAAATGGACATTATTTCATACAAGTAATTGCAAAGAAAAGAATCCAGTGTGAGAAACAGTAAATATTGTAATGTGAATAGTTTTTTATACAAACACAAGTTGCAATTTTTTTATATAACCAAAGCGTTTCTCATTATATCATTTGAGAAAAAAGTTCTGTACAACGTCCATTCAAAAGTAACTTGAACCTTACTAAAAGCCATTCCAAAGTTTATAACATGGATAAAACAACTCTTTTTTGAATAGAAATTTCGTCATGATATACTAGAAACGTTTCTACAATATATAAGAAGTATGAATTAGGATCTTGATAAATAGCCATCTTCCATTATTGATACTATAAAAAGGTATATTTCAAGTATCAACTGATCGCAATAAATTTTGCAAATAATAGGAGAATACGGTGACCTCGACATTTCCTCCTTTTAGCTGTGACTGCATTTAGAAACATGTAATTGTCATGGGACCCATCGCCTACTTGTCTGCCAAATGGATGCAAGCGGCATCGAATTTCCAAAATTAGTAACAATTCTGTGATTATCCAGATTACGTCTAATCAAATGAAACGTCAGCATCGACGCTTTAAATAGCTTTATGAAATAAAAACTTTAAGCGTATATTGCTATTCTTCTTTTTTGTGTCTCCAATATTTTTTTTGACAAACATGAAGAGATACCTTTGTTTATATGTAACTGTTATACTTGTAATAGCATTAACAGTTAGTTTTGCAATGGCAGATACAAATACATTTTCTTCCTCCTTTTCCTCTGGAAATGGAGAAGCTTCAGGATTCTCCTCTTCAACTGATGGAAAGCAATCCTCCGCATCCAACTCCCAAGTCGCTTCTACTGGAAATGGATCTGCTGCTTCTGAAGATTCCAGCTCTACTACTTCTCAAGGCACCTCTAGTTCATCCATATCTTCTTCTGTAGGCTCTGCCAACGCCAAAGGTATTACAGCAGGTGAGAATGGTAAGAGTTCAACAGCAGCTGGTTCTAGTGCGTCTTCCAGTCAAGATGGTGCTGCAATAAGTTCAAGTGGTTCAACCAGTTTTGATAAGAATATTAGTGGAGTGAACTTTCAAGGTTCACAAACCACTACTTCATCTTCCTCTTTTGGAAGTGGACAAGGGGTTTCTGCTTCTGATAGTGATACTCCTAATACAAGTTCAGAAAGCACTACAGGAACAAGTGGCAACGCTGCAGCAAAAGACTCCTCAAGTAGCACTTCTGGACCTAGCGGAGTGACAAGTAGTACAAATGCCAGTGCTAAAAGTGGCTCTAGTGGTTCAGCAGCAGCACAAGGAACTGCCAAAGCTTCTACAAACTTGAGCTGTGTTTGGCAGTACAAAGAAAAGTGTTTACCTTGTGCTCACATTGAGAACGATGTTTGTAAATGTTACTGGAATGTATCGGATCAATGTATATGTACGAGTTTAACTTGTGCAAAGCCTTTGTTTCAAGCAAGTGTGGAATCCAGTGCCACCGCATCTTCAAGTGATGGTGGTTCTTCTAGTGCAGGAGCCAACGCTGCTTCCAGTCAGTTGGGTGGCGGTGCCAAGTCTCAAGCACTAGGTTCAAGTACAGGGTCAGGCTCCGTCAGTGCTTTGAGCCAAGCACAAAGTATTTTGGATCAGGCAGAAGGCAGTGTTCAAAGTCAAGGTTCTAGTTCCAATGGAGGAGACTTTGGTTCACTTTCTGGTAGTTTCTTTCGCCAAGGTATCCAAGTGACAGCTACTTCCAATAGCTCTGAGTCTTGTTCTACTGTTGGTCCTTTTCAACTTGACTCTGTACGCTTTTCTTTTCTAAACACTGCTGATGGAATGGTTTTTCTGCAAATTTGTAGCACGGCATAAGTTACCTTTTGTTTATACTAAGTTTTTTCTAAAAAAATTGGAGCGACTTTTGAAAAAGTTGACTTGGAAGTAAATACTGGTTTCACTTTTTTTGAGTATGGTTTGTAGTGTTTGTCAAAGGTAGCAACTGCAATCACTACAAACCTTTGTTTGCTTCAAGGAAATTGCAGTTAGTTGCTGACAGGAGTAAGGTTATGCAGAGCAGGTCAATGAATTCAATCCACTTATAGACCTTTGATATAAAATGTCGTCAATTATACTGGGAGACATCAACGACGCGAAAAAAGATTCTCAAGAAATGTTCCCAACATAATATCTTCTCAACCTGTTCCAAGACAGTAAGAAACTAGAAAGTTTTCTAACTCGTACTTTACTAGTGAAACAAAAGAAATTCAACCAACTTTGATAGCTATTGACGACACAACCAAAGAACTGCTCTTCAAAACCAAAACTACTTCAACTTTTACTAAGAGCACTTCTCTCAGGTAACTCAAGACCAACGATTGGATAGTAAGATAAGCAGTCCGAAATTCCAAAGTACCCTAACTGCATCCAAAAGTAGAGTTCCTGCTTTATATTCCCAAATAAAATTTAGCATAATAATTAATAGAAAACAAACAATGACTATTCTCCAGTCATACCAACAAGTAAACAGAAAATGTCACCTTGCGATTTCAATGACTATGCCATATTTTTAAGTGCATTGGCTCAAAGTTCTTTCGCTCCACATATTTATGACGCAGAAAAGACAGGACGCTGCTTCTCCATTACACAAAAGAATTCATGTGAGACGAAACCCAAATCGCTAATAGCTGGGTCATTATAAGGGATTCATTTGGTAAATTCAGTCTATGGAGTGCTTCAAGGGAAGAATAGCACTTTCTCATTTGAGGCCATTCTCTTTTCATTCGTTACTCCTGTAAATTATATTCTTTAATTCGGTTGGCCAAAGTGACCATTGAAAATAGGATAGCACAGTATTTATGCTGATAGGGTTGCCAAAACAAGCGTAATTTTTCGTATTGTGACCAATACGTCTTCTGTTGTGTACAAGAGGTTGTAGAAAACTGTAAAGATAACAGCTTTCTTTCATGAAAGATCTAGCAAGTCGAATAGTAAGATAGCTTTTTCTCAACATGTGCAAAACGAAGTCCTTTTCCTTTCAAACAAAGGCAATACTTGAGAACTCATTCCCAAAAAGGTGGTACTGACATTTCACTCAGTGTCTTGTTTGTGCAAAAATATTATCTGAATGATCGAAGTTCGAAGTCTTGTGTGTCTTAAGGGGAGATATACGAGTCTGTTTTAAGGTTGCTACTTGTGAAAGAAAACGATTCTTCAATTCAAAACTTTATATCACTGCATCTTTGTCCACTCACTTGACTCAATGAGTTTTATTCTGAATTATTCTTCGTTGACTGACTCGTTCAATATTTGTAGGCTTGACGAATGAAGAAAGAAATCGGAGGTTGTATTCTCCTTTCGATCCTATATAAAATTTTGAGTCCTTGGGGCATGTTTTCACAGTGAACAACAACTAGACTGGTTCTTTATTGTGCTTCAAATCTAAGGCTGTGAAAGTGCTCTTTAGCATTGATTATCTCTCGAATATTTCGATATTGCGGATACTTTATCTTACAACTGATCTTGACAACTCACTGTTGCGAAAAAATGCATCAAAGAACAAGTTCTTGAGCCACTTTAAAACATTTTATCAAGATACTGTAGAACAACTGAAAGGTGCTGGTATCTGGTTTGCGTTTCGTAACTGTACTATGTTGTCAATAGAAGAATAGACTCCAACCCCAAGACTCAACAAGGACAACAAATAAATGGATATCAAGAGACAAAACTTCCACAAATATTTGCCTCTTCGAATTTCCATTCTGTGATCCAATATCCACAACAAGCAAGGCAATCCATAGGTGAATTGAGATGCAAAAAGTGCGCCACCAATACCAATCAAATCATTAAATACTGGAATAAGTTCTGCCCCTATCCAAGGAACAATCCACATGACAGAGACAATGAGTACCCAACCTATCCAATGCTTCCAACCAGGTTTGTAAGCAATTCCTTTCAACGAGGGGAATCTTCTCAACACATTTTTGCTGGCAAGATGTGCATAATTCATACTTGCAATTAAAAGATTAATGACAGAGAGTAAGAAAGCTGCCTTTTGAACAGACATCGTGGAAAGATTTAGAAAATAGGGACTTTGAGAGTAAATTCCAGTATACGCGTAGATACATATTCCAATCACTGTATAGTCGATAGTATTGATGACAAAGCCCAAAATAACAGCTTTTTTGAACTCCCTAGGATTTCCCATTTCTAAGATAAGGTTGAAGAAAAGTAAATGGCCAGCATAAGCAAAGATAATATCCTACATTTAAAAATTTTTTAAGGAATATCATTTCAATGAGTGAATAACTTTCTTACATTGATGGAAACAAAAATATTGTATATTGAATTAGGGTACGTTATTGTAGCATCTGGAGAAGTATTCAATGGTAAACCCGCAAGAGGCACATTTTGAGAGGCTACTCCAGTTATTGTCATTATTGCTGGAACAAGGAAGAATATTACTGCAAATATTGATATATAGGCTACTCCTTTTAAAGTTCTTGGTAGAGATATGAGAATTCCTACTATCGTAACTACTATCATCCAAACCACGTAACAAACAGATTGATTTGCTGTTACGTAGAATGCTTGGGCAGCTGGCATAATGCAGGAAGCTATGAAGAACCAGAGTAACATTATTTGACACCATAAGGCTATCTCTTTGCCAATGCGACCAAAGAAAATTTCAATGACTTCGTCATAGTTCCTTACATGAGGATGTTTCTCCCAAATTTCTGCAATCAAGACTCCAGTATACCCGGCGACAATGCCCAGAAGTACCAGTACCACTGTTCCAGGTATATATCCTAAAGATTGAACTGCAGTAGCTAGAGAAAGCGGTCCTGAAGATTCTGTTTCTGCCACAATAAGAATGACGACCATAATCCAGTTAGCTTTCAAGTTTTTGGATAAATGATCGGGGTCGTAGTCATCGTGATGTTGTTCTGGTTGATCATGACCGGCCTCTATGAAGTTATCATCTAGTTGACTCTTGTCCATCTTATTTCAACAATTGTTCTTGCAATACATTCGTTTCAAGAGTTTCAATTGGCATGAAATCATGACTCTAACCGTTGATTTGCCGTTAATTCCGTTTTCAATGAATTTATAAACGCGTAAGATACTACGACGATTAGACAAAAGACATAAAATCATATCCACGAACAGCGAGTAAATCAATTCGTCTTAACAAAAAGAAATCCATCAAGAGGCACTTCTCCTTGCATAAAAAGAAAGAAGACTTGACCTGAAAGTGTCAATGAGTCTATGAAGATCGTTGAAGGGACTTCCCCAAGAAAGATATCTCAAGTGAAGATGTCGTACAGCTAGATCAAACAGCAGAGGTCCTTCTTGATAATTTGTCTCAGTTAGTGCAGCGTCTGACAGAGTATTGTCAAAGTATCAAGAAATTTTTAATAGAAATAGATATGTAGCATGTTGAGAATTTACTGTTTTCGATGTAGTATATGGTCAAGATGTGCGGTCAAGCACTACTTTAAGTGAAACAACAAAAGCAAAAAAATTATCGCAGAATGGCCAAGAATGCTAGATAATATCGGAACAAACACAAAATATATCGACTACAGAGCTAAGTATTTGTGCTCCTTGTGTGCTAGGAAGGAAAGATCCTCAAAGTAATAGCTAGTTTACTGTATCTCTGATGTCGTCCAATAGAGATGATAAAAATCCGTATGCTCATCCATTGAAAGGATTTCTAATTTCTAGAAATGAATATTATATCACTCTCGAAAGTAACCAAGTCGTTTTTGGTTTCAAAGAATTTCTATCCAGCTCATCATAAAATTCAAACCTCTTCAAGTAATCCGATCACAGTTCCCCTCGGCTTCTTCCGTATACATGGCAAGTTTGTCGCTCGACAGAAATTGAGTTTTGTGGAGTTCGACCCGAGTGAAAGTCTTGTTCGTCATTGCATGTTTAAACCATCGTGATGAAAGTAATATACACTATTGAGCATCCTTTTCCTAAATGATAATTGTGCCTTATGAACAGTCAGCTTCGAGCCATAATTTTGAAGAGAGTTCTCGATGGAGTAGAATATGGTTCAGGAAGCCTGGCAGGCGACTGGTTTGGTCAACTTTAGAGCTTAAACTCGAATATAGTATCAACAACCCATTCCTTTTCATCGGCTCCAATATATAACTTGAAAATAAGTCTAAATGAGACAACTTTCACTGGAATGGGAATCTTTTTCACTTGAAAGCTCTTTCCACGTTGCTATTCTTCAACCACTAGTTCTAGTCGAAAAATTTGAAACTGACTATGACACAATATTGTTAAAAATTTAACAATGTGTATGGGTTGTTCAATTTAAAGTAAGCAATCCGAATCATTTTCGAGTGTTAGTTTGCAGTTTAGTTGAAAATTTTAGACTCTTCCTCATAGTTCCGTGTTGGTTTTTCTTCGAGGACCTACAGAAAACTTTACAGAGGAGTTTTCTGGGTGCAAAAGATCGATAGAAGTTTGAAAGGATTTGGTATTACAAGGCAGGCGGTTCTATCACTTTGTAAGACTAAGTTTCTTATGTTCTCGTTGCGTTGTGTCAAAGCGAGTCCAATTTTGTAATCTAGGTGCAGTTATTTATGTTGAACTAGTTTCCTGCTAGAAAGAATATTATTCGATACTTGAAATACATCCAGTTTTCAGTTACAAGTGGTATTTTCTCATAGAAGATGACTCCAAGTCTACGATAATACAATCTACTGAAAGTAACTGAAGACTAGACACCTATCGGAAGTGGAAAATGAAACAACGAATACTAGAAAGCGTTGAGAAGTTCAACATACTATTGACAAAGACAGAACAGAAAGAAAGTATGAAAAGCTGCATATGTAGCCAGTCTTCGTTTCTTTACTCAAAGTATTCCTCAAACCAAACCACAAGGAAAGAAAAATATTTGGGAGATAAGGCGGTCAGGATTAGTCAACTCTGTCTTGCTTTTTCTGTAACAAGTCTGAAAAACTGGAAACCTATTGTTTCACTATTTTTTGGATAAGTTTGACTTTTACAAAACTTTCTTTTTGTAACTTCAAGTAGTCACAATTCTTCGAGTAAATTGTGAAGGACTGGTTCTCCTGAACACTATTATCGTTTCTGCTATGGCTTGTAAAGTAGGCAACAAAGTTCACTGGAAAGTGCGCATTGTTGGTGCTTTGCTTTGAACCCTTGAAGTATCACGGACACTATTGCGTTTTTATGAATTGCAAAAGCTTTCAATTATAGCAGAAATCATTGAAAAATATTTGTCACATTCCATCACCATCAACTTGAATTTGCAACTATAGACAGTGATGTGTATTTTGTCAGTGTCTATCGTCATTTCCAAAATGCAACTGCTTGTGACATATATTCCAATATTACGAGTACGGTATCAGTCTTGGACAGCGAATCCTTTAGATAATTGGTATTGGAAGGCCTTCTTAGGTTCAACCAACGAAAACCGGACAAAACAAAGAGAATAACATCGGACTTGTTGCTTTCATCACCGAGAAGATCTCGGTTATTATAAACCTGACTTCACTGCACCATCAAAGTTTCACAGTTTGGCCTATCCAGAAACATCAAACCTCTAGAAAGTTGATAAAGAAGTAAGACGTTTAAGATCATCCTTATCCAACGGTCTCTGCTGGAAAACCAGTCAAGCGGACTTGTATCTTCAGCAAAACAAACAATGAAGCTGAAAGATATAAAATAATTTAGTTTCAAAAATTATCTGCTCAAATACAAAGCAGTGGCATAAACATTTTTGATACTACTAAACCAGTAAGAAAATGTTTTACAAAGATTTTTCAATCTCTTCAAGTAAAAAGCAAGGCATTAGGATATCATCATTTCAACAAAATAACGAATGAGATTGACTGCCTCTATATCTAAAATAGTGAAAGTAGAAAGAAACAAATAAAAGAATACGGTTCTATAAAGTTTCCGCAGATTGAAAGGAAGACAGGAGCTTATCAAAATAGAGTTTTTCTGATTCGAAATCAATTGATCCAAGATGATGGTCGATGGAGTCGAGTCGACTTCGTTTCTGTTCAACTTCTCGTAGTTGGTTTTCGCAGTGACTTTGTTTTCAAAAGAGTTTATGAGTTGAAAAAACCATGCTAAACCGTTCTCGGGTGCCCTCAGGTTTGAGAAGTGTGCAGCTTGTTCCTGAACAGGAGGATGCGGCAACTTTGCAACTCGGAGAGGATTTTTCTAGTGAAAAAGCTCAACCACTTACTATTAGTGAGGTGGCTATACTCCTTTCGCGAAAAAGGGATATGATGCGGGACTTGGAAGGCCCCAGAGCTGAAGAATTTTCAAGGTGTGTTCCGCTTCTACAGGGTTGACCAAACTAACTTGATTACTTAGCGTTTTCAAGAAGTTCCTGGAATATGTCGAACGTTTTGACCGATATAAAGGTCTTGAGTCCGCGACGAACGTTCGAAATCTTTTGCAAAGATACGAAAGTCTTGATCCCTTTGAAATGGCTTGTTTGGCGAATCTTTGTCCTGCTGATGTATATGTCGCTTTCAGAATTTTTGGGTTGACAACTAATTTTGATGTAGGCAGAAGAGGCCAAAACTACCATACCGAGTTTAAAGCATAAAATCGACGATTCTTCGTTGAATCAGTTGTTACAAGACTTGGCATCCTTTACTCACTGATTTTTTTAGCTTTGCAAACTTTGTATTTAGACCAACTGTTGTCATGAGTTGGTTTTGAATGATTTGCTTTTAAAAGGAAGTTTCTATTGTATGCTGCATAGGCTTGTGAAGGAACCGTCGCTCGTCTAAATGGCTCGGTATTATAGTTCATATATAGGAACGTCTTTAGTATAAAATACTTTTGTAGCCTTTATTATCGTTGAGGAGAGACAACTCGCATGAATGAAAACGAACTTGAGTCTGTCGTCTTCAACCCTTTATCATATATAAATATATATATATTTATAGTGGATTTCTCAATCTCAGTGTATTGGACTGCCACTTGGCAAAGCGTGAGGTGAATTGGTTTGTTGACTTATAGATCAGTAAAGAAAGAAAAAGATATGAAAGAAACCACTGGCTCAACAATACCGGGCTCTCCTCCTCCTACAGTGGTATCGCGAGGCACATATCAACGACGTCCTGCTAGTCCTGTCGATGGTGGTTCTTTGCGATATGAAAAGAGTACATTCCCTTCTTCTCAGGGAAAGGTTACCATAGGAAATTTCAAAAAGAGACTAACAAGAAAAGTTACTGCGGCGCTATCAAGTGACTTGGAGTCTGCAGTGCTCAAAGCAACAAAGCCAAAATATTCTAGACCCAAAGAGAAGCATGTGCAGTGTAAGTTTCTTCAAGTGGTTCTTTTCAGTAAAGTAATTAGCTATAGTTCTTTTGCAAGCAACAAAGGGCTGTAGTTTTGACGATTATGAACAGCGTTCAGCAAGATTGACGAAAGTCTTGGAGCAAACTCGTTCAGGTAGTTCCAGGCCAGGGTTGAATAACCTCCTAACCGATGAGAAGTTTCCACAAAGAGAAAAATCTCAAAGTAGTCTTTTTAACCTTGACGGTTTGCAAGATAGGCACACATCTCGAGAGAAGAATTCATTCATACGTACTTGTGATGTATTGAGAAAGTTGTGGAAAAAGATGCAGGCAGAAGACTGGAGAATCGCAACCAAAGCACTCGTTGTTTTACACCGTTTGATCAACGAGTCTTCTGAAGGAGATGCTCATGTGATAAAGATGCAACTTTTACAAATGTCACGTTATGGAGTTGATAGTAGTTTGTTGTAAGTGGAAGCGCTTTTTTTTATCATGTAGTGAATCCTAAAGATATTTTTGATAGTCCAAAGAACACAAGTCAATATTCAAAAATAGTCGTTGATATCGGGAACCTAAATGCAACTTTTGAAGACCATTCTAGAAACCGACCTGAGGCTCCAGTATGTTCTGCTTTTTTAAAAAAATATGGTAGATACGTTTCGAGAAGACTAGAAGTAAGTCTCGAAAGTTTTTGTGGTTTTTCTTCCCATTTCTATCTCTTGATCAGGTTTTTCAGTTCCTTTCATCTCAATCTACCATCTATTCCTTTAATGAATTGGGTATTCTTAAAGAAAATATGGGAGAAAATAGTCTTGGAGAGGAGACGTTGTGTATATTTCCTGTTTTGATCCAGTTAGTGAGAGAAGGGACTCTATGTAAAATTCCTGAGAGGTACGTACGTATGAGATCAACAGTGGTTCGTCGTCTCCTTATAAGCTTGTTATATAGTATTGATAAGGCAGTCGAAGTTGTCATTGCTCCTGCACTGGAGCAGATTGCCTCCGATGTTACATACTTGTATAACTTTTTGAACCGGATTCTGAAAGTGAGTATATTTTTTTTTCATTTTTTTTTGTTTTCATGATTTTGGACATTGTAGAAGCTATCAGTCGATCTCGTAAATAACAAGAACCTATCCAAGAGCTCACTGAAGATAGCATATGATGATTTTGTACGTCTAGAACCGGAGGTGAGACATTTTGTAAAGTATACCTGTAGCACTATTGAGGACTCTTGCCTCGATGTTCCAGCTGTGTTAGATACAAAAGGTATCACTCACTTTTCATCATTGTTTTGCCTGGAACCACCAATTTTCATTGATTTTGACGCTCTCAATAAACAGTCATCGAAGTGGAATTTAGAAGAAGAAGAGCAGCAGAAAGCCAATGCTATGGAAGAGACCGTGTCAATAGGTCCACAAGATAGTAATGACAAGGACAGCTCTCGAAGTGACATGGAACAGTCGAATAATAATAATAATAATAATAATAATGGTGAAGTAAACACATTGAAACACAAAGTAGGAATGGTAACTGCATTTATTAGTCTTTGTATTTGTGACTAAGAGTTTGGTTTGTAGTATTCGGAGGTTTACAGTTCCTCTCGAGAACAACAACTACTGCGCGCAGCTTTTATAGGTCTCAAGGAAGAAGTTTCTTGTCTAATTGAAGCCGGCGTGTCTACGAATGTTTGTGACGATGATATGCGAACGCCTTTACACTTGGCAGCTGCCGTAGGACATGTAGATATAGTAAAATTGCTTCTTGATGCTGGAGCAGAAGTAAATGCAATGGATTGCCGTGGTAAGACTCCTTTGGCGGATGCCATTCGTGGTCGTCATCAGAAAGTTATTGAATGTTTGCAGTCTTATGGAGGCTCGACCTCATCTCCATCTTTTCGAAAGCAGCCCTCCATCCAACAGTATAAATCGATGTCTTCTCCACTTTTACCCGCATCCAAACTAGTAGGAGACGACTCACCACGAGTTAACAATGACAACCTCCAAATGAGAAGTCAGAACTTGGGAACTGTGGATATGCCTGAATCATCTGATTGGAACGAAAGTATAGAGAACAAAGAGTTGGATATAGCTATGAAGGAATTACAAATTGAATATGAGCAACAAGTAGAGTCTTTAGAACTCGAGATGCGTAAAAGACGTTTAGAGTTGGATGAAGAATTTGCAAAAAAGAGAGCAGCTTTACTAACTAGACGCAAACAACGTTACCGACGAGCAAGCTTTGGGGTTTGACTGTTGTGATGCAATTAGAACAGTAAAGCCCTCCTTTATGGGAAATGTAATGTAAACATATACATATTGAGTTCGTACGTGAATTATGATCAGGTTGCACTTTTTTGGACCAAAGTTTTTTGGTGATGACTTGATCAGAGTTTGTGTGTTCTGTCTGAAAATGAAAAGACAAGTCAAATTCATTGTTCTACTTTCTAAATTCAAACTTGGTAGTTGTTATAGTAGACAACTTGAATTAGTTCATAACATTCTTTTATCATGATGTCATTTTGATATTAGCTCAATATGAGAAATTGTCTTATCAAGAATGCAATTTGTCTATTCGTCGAGCTTCTTTTGAGAAGACACAGCAATTTTGGTTGGAATGAAATCGACGAGAATGCACTGCTTGTCTGCATATTGAAAGTCATATTAGGAGCATTGTCATACATGAAAAGTGTCTGCTCACGACCACGTTGTACTTGTTGTGGTACTAGTGAGACTCCTCTGTGGCGTTCTGGTCCTCAAGGTGCAAAGAGTTTATGCAACGCTTGCGGCGTTCGCTTTAAAAAGGGAAAGCTTCGATACAATCCCGAGTCCAACTGCTTTATTTTGCTTGATCAAAGTGTTGAAGAAGCTTGGAAAAGTTCTTTTTCTCCTTGTATTTCTGATTCATGTTGTTCCGCTTTTCCTAAAATAGAAGACAATAGGAAGAGTGAGTCACACAGTAACTTGAAAAAGTCTGCAGAAGTAAACTCTATTCGTAAAAGAAACAAGTCGTTGAAATTGGACAGGTCGTTGCAGAGGACCAAATCTTGTCATCAACTGGAAACCAACTATGCTCAACAGAATCCTGTAGTCGACAGTGCATCCCAAAAGGTGGACAAATGTTACTTTTCTGAAAAAGTCTACGAATGCATAGAAGCTAACGGAAGGGTTGGAATGACATCAACAAATTTAAAAGAGGAGCCTAGTGAATTGGAGCCCGATAATACACATATAGAAAGGTCTAATATGATATATTTATCAAAGGAAAAGGCCTTTTCAGCTCCTTCTAGTCCTGTATCAAACTTTCATTTATCCTCATTTGGAAGAGTCAAAATGAATGATTCGCAAAGGACTAATGAACGATGTATTTCCATTATGAGTCCAAAGCCGAGAAGTTTTGGTGGCAGTGTTTCTCCTTCCGTGTTTCAATATGTGAAGCTGTTAGATTGTCTTACCTTGGGTACACAGAGCAGAAAAAGATCTCTAGAGAATTATGAGACTCCTTCTATTTTCGACCGTTGCATATCTTATTCCGCTCCATTTGTTTCTCCAAAGAGTCCAGGCACACCCGAAACTTGTGTTCGAGAATTGGATGCATTGAACATTCGATATGATTCAAAAAGCGATGAGTCTTTAGAATTAAGCGTGCATGAAGATCCGTTGATAGACAAAGAGACCAAAGAACAAAACTATAGTGAAGAAGATTTCATTGCAGAGTTGAATGCCGCCATTTTGAAGTGTAATGGAATGTATCATACTGACTTGGAAGTTTGCAACAGTTTGGAACAAAATAATTATGTTCATGAGAGAACTTTTCCTTCTCATGTTGAACTCGAGCGAAAGATGCAAAATGATTTCCATAAGGCTCATTTAGATCTCAACCAAGACTCTTGTATTGAGTTTCTAAATCAACTGCATAACAATGCTGACTATAGATTGAACTTGCAAGAATTATATTCTTGGATGAAACGAGAATTTTCTTCCATTGAACAACCACAAGGCTTATTTTCAATATATTGTCAGAATGCAATAAGAGATAGTTTCAATAACGAATCGCATGTTTCATACAAACCTTATTTGGATACCTGTACGAAACTTATTGAAAGGGAAAAAGGAAGCATCTTCGGATTCAGTGACATTTCGACAACAGAAATTTTAATAAGAGATATTGGCCTATTACAAGAATCATCTTTCATGTCGGAAAGCAACAAATTGAATGTGGCCATCAAGTCCTCTCGTGCGGACGAAAACGCAAAGACCAATAATTCAAATAACAAAATTGTGAAATCTGTGAAACCAACTCCTGCTTAGTATTCTGATATATAGAGAAGAAGAAGACGAAAAATCTATTTTGTGTTTCTACGAATGAAATACTCGTCAGATTGTACTCTAGTCATCGTTTATTTCGTATGCCAATTGTAGAGAACGAGAGTCTCGTTGAAAACAGATTGTACAAAATGTCTCGCGAAGTCTGAGATGAGAGACTGTTTCTCGAAGCACTCCCCCGTATCGTCAAGCGCGACATTTATCTTGGTCTTTATTCGCAGCTTGATAACGTATGTTTTCTTCTTATCAAACCTTCACGTAAAGACCACAAAAATCAAACAACAAATTCTATAAATTGAGTTCTCCATTTGACACCTTTTGTGACCAAGGATTCTTCAATCCAAAGTTGAGACTAGAGCGCATTTCATTGCATTGCACACTTACTTGTTCTTCAATTTCTCGTAATATTCTTTCTATGGATTCCTCATCCAGTGAATGTCCACTAGCAGCCATGATAAATCCCAGAAAAGGAGGTGATGGTCGACCAGGACGACTTTTAAGTCTTTTACAAAATACTTTAACGATGAATAGTAAGTATCTTATGTCAACTTACTCTGGATGATATTGAGTACCCATGAAAAATCGATGTTTCGGTATTTCAAGTATTTCCATTCTTTGGCCTGTTTCATCACAACCAGTAAAAGCGACATTTCCGAGTTCCTCCAAGTCTTTTACTAGCTGAGGATTTACTTCGTATCTGAATAACCACTCAAAAACAACATAAATATGTATATATTTGATACATTACCGGTGTCGATGTCTCTCATGAATAATTTCGGAGCGATAAAGTTTAAAACCAAGACTATCCAAACTACGAATACGGGTAACACGGGAACCAAGTCTCATTGTTCCTCCCATTCGTAACTTGTCAATTTCAGGCATGTAGATGATGACCTATTACAAAACATTCTCATATTAACGCCATTCGTTTAAAATTATGAAAATATATGAATACCTTTGTAGACGCATTGCTATCAAATTCTTCCGAGTTTCCATCGGACATACCGACAACATTCCTAGCAACTTCTATGATGGCAACTTGCATTCCTAAGCAAATCCCCAAAAAAGGCTTATTCGACTCTCTTGCATAACGACAAGCACTCAACATTCCTTCAATGCCCCGAGTTCCAAACCCTCCAGGTAATAATATGCCATCGCAAGTGGATAAAGTTTGCCATGCTTTATCATAGACAGCGTTTCGTTGATGAAAAGAGTTTTCCTTTCTAACTCCACAAGATAAATTAAGCATAATGAATTTCTTGTTGAATACCAACCTATTTCCTGAAAGGCTAGAGCTACTTGGGACTTCCAAATCTTCCGCTGAAATCCAATGTATGTTTACTTGGGTATGAAGGGACATCCCTACATGAAGTAATGCTTTTACAATAGAAAGATAGGAATCAGCAAGACCAGTATATTTTCCAACTACAGCAATATTGGTCTATTATAACAACAGAATCAATCAGTGAACGGAATATTTATATCAAGAAAATTACTTACAATACCCTGAAAAATATCTGCATTGCATGCCATATGATTCCATCTTTCTAAAAGGGTAGGAAGTCTCCAAACCAACTTGAGCGAACGAATCAAGAGATTACAAACTCCTTGTTCTTGTAACATGAGTGGAATACGAAAAGTATTGCTAACATCGTGTACTGAAACTACTGCTTCAGGGGGTACCTTGACCTTATCAGAAATAATATTACATAATGAAACAACATCACACAAACCTGACAAAAGAGGCCAAGCTTCTGTTTGGTTTCAGCAAGTAGAGGACGTTCACTTCTACATACAATAAGTTGTGGAGAAAGCCCCATAGAAGATAGATTTTTAACACCATGTTGAGTAGGCTTTGTCTTTTGTTCTCCAACCACACCCAGTTCAGGAACAAGTGAAACGAAAACAGAACAAAAATTATCTTCACCAACATGATATCTGTACAAATGAGGAAACAAATGAGAATCTAAAAAAGGTAGAGTTATCTTCCTACTTGAGTTGTCTTAAAGCTTCAACAAAAGGCATAGACTCGATGTCGCCAACGGTTCCACCCAACTCTATTACGCAGATTTCTGGTGGTAAACCTGAGTCATCAACTGGTTTCTATTTCAACCGTAAAATCTAAAGAATTCACCAAACGAGAATAACTGACCTTGGAAACACGCAATATCCAGTCTTGTATGGCATCCGTTACGTGCGGAATGACTTGAACGGTCTTTCCAAGATACATTCCTTGCCTTTCCTTTTCAATAACCTTATCCATAGATAAGCAACATAAGCAACTTGACAGGAAAAACGACCAATACTTGTTGATAAATCTTTCCAGTAGTTATGTTGCTTTCACTGGTAAGATTAATGTCTAAGAATCTTTCATAGTTGCCGAGATCTAAATCGACCTCTCCACCGTCGTCCAACACAAAAACCTATCAAGATACGATATATGATTAAAAAGAACAAACTTGGCACCAAACCTCTCCGTGTTCAAAGGGAGACATAGTACCGGCATCGACATTGATATATGGATCAATCTTGATACTTGTCACTCTCCAACCACAACACTTTAATAAAACTCCAAGTGAAGAAGCAGTTAGGCCCTTTCCAATACCGGAAATAACTCCACCAGAAACGAGAACAAACTTCATTCAAACTCAATCCCTTCCAAAGACAATATTTCATAAGAATCCAGACAACAGAATCCCATTTCAAACTTTGCAATGATTTTATCAAAATAACTTTTCTATAATGAATGTATATATATATATATATATATATCTAATGAATATTATAAACATAGACAATCCATACATGATACATCCTGTTGTTCTTCCGAGTTGGTCTCCTGAAGTTCGGTACTAGTCTTCATTTGTCTTCCAGTTTGAGCAAATGTTACTATCTCTTGTCCAATCTTTTCATACCAGGTTTGAAATGCTGCACGACTCGGAATATACCAAAAGTCATTGGGTCTCTTATTGGATGGAATAGCAAGATAAGCTTGTTGAACATCTTCCAGAGTAAAAGCATCAACTTCGTCTATTGCATCTTCTCCCCCTAAAATAACCCAAAACCGAGGAACTTTACAATGTAAACGATCACGTAAAACTTCATCTAATGCAAGCATTTCCCTTAGAGAGCGCAAAGACTTTGTATAGCAAGCTACTAAAACTACATCAGGATAGCGCAAATCATCCTTTCCTGAACGAACAATTCTAAGCAATTCCCACAAATTTACGGAAAGTAAGTGAACTGGAATGTTTTGAATTTCCATATTGGGAAAGAATTGTCTTGCTGGAACAGATATATCCACTCCATTGCCATATTCTTCTTTGATCATATCCTGTCGTTGTCTTTCAGGCCAAGGATCCCACTTTTCTCTCAAAGGAAATAAATCTTGAAGAGAATGAACAATACTATTCTTATCAACATAATCGGAACCGGTGAGTAATACCTGGAAAATGCGGTCGATGACTTCTTTCTCCAAGGTCTTGCACTCTTCTAGAATATTACTCAAAGAAACAACTACTTTTGGAGGTTTAGGAGCTAATTCTCGTTGTCTTTTCTTTCTAGAATGAGGTTGTTTCCTTCTCAAGGAAACATCTCGAAAACTTAAAGACCTCGAAGTCTCACCATTTGAAGGTGACAAGGAGTAGTTTTGTGAAAGTAAAAGACCAGAAAAGGATTCTTCTCTGAGGGAAATTTCTTGCTTTGAAAGTGTCCTTTCCTCTTCTCCTGAACTCAACTCTCTCTCTCTTTCTCTCTTCTCCAAATCTGAAGTAAAGTCTTGATGAAACTGAGTAAATATTTCAACAGACTCTACTTTTTCCCTACAGATTGGACACCTTTCATCTGACAAATAAGTTAGGCACACACCACATAATATTTGATGACCACAAGGTAATAAACGAATGTTCGCCTCGTGTTCAAAACAAGTCAAACACTGGCCGTTGACACTTTCTTCGGGAATAGTAGTAGAAAAGTTCATAGAGTCTGCAGGAAAGCCTTTATTATGTTCTCCTTTTTCCGAGTTATCATTATTATTCCTAGACGATAATACATCAGAGCTTTCAGAAAGGTCAATAAGAGACATTTCTTCTTCCACGACAATCGAAATGCTCTGGAAATGGGAAAAACCCTCCTAATTCTATATATGTCATTGTTTGATATTTTATGGATGATGAGTGCCACAGTCATGCAGACCCTAGTAATATTTACAAGGGAGCGGAACACTGTTTTTCAAGTTGTCAAATTGTTGAAAAGATCCGTCACTCAAAGATACTATTGATTGGAGTTGGAGGTGTTGGCTGTGAAGTTTTGAAAAATTTAGTTTTTTCAGGCTTTGTAAACATCCACTTGGTAGATTTGGACACTATTTCAGTTTCCAACCTGAATAGACAATTTTTATTTCGTTCGGAAGATGTCGGCAAATGGAAGGCTGTGGTTGCAAAAGATAGAATAACAAAACTTTGTCCTTGGTCTCAAATCACAGTCTCCGTTGAAAATATTCGTTCTAAAGAGTTTCCGTTGGAGTTTTTTAAACAGTTTGCTGCAGTTATTTGTGCCCTTGATAATCATAAAGCAAGATTGTACGTGAATGAAGTGTGTGCATTTGCCCAAGTTCCCTTGTTTGAAACAGGAAGTACGGGCTATCAAGGTCAAGTCACACCCATCTTGGCAGGATCGACAGAATGCTACAACTGTGAGCCAAAGCCACAACAAACTGAACACATTGCTGTTTGTACTATTAGGCATAGACCAGAGTCAGTGGAACACTGCATAGTTTGGGCTATGTACTTGTTCGATGTTTTGTTTGGTAACTTAGAAGACTCCAATCCTCTGTCTGATGAGAAGGAGTACAAAGTCAGTCATTTGGCTCGAGAATGGACTTTTGAAGATGGAGCAAGGAAGACCTCAACGGAGCAAGAGTGGGAAAATATGACGTGTGAAAGAGTCGTGAACAAGTTTTTTATAGAAGATTTGCAGTTCGTTGAATCCTTGAAGAAGGACACACTTTCCTCTTTATCTATACTGAACATTCCCACTCAAGAACAGTTACGTCGATATTTATTGAATGTTGACACAAAATATTCCGTGGAAGACTTGAAATTGGAGGAACAGAATCCACATCAGTTGGTTTGGACTTGTGATAAGGCATACGAAGTGTTGATATTTTGTTTGAAACAATTATTGCGCAGATGGAAGGAATCCAAAAGTGCTCTCACCTTTGACGAAAATGATACTATTTCCTTGGCATTTGTTACGGCAGCATCAACTGTACGGGCAAGTGCCTTTGATATTGTGGCTAAGAATAGTTTTGATGTGAGAGGAATTGCTGGTCGCATCATTCCTGCTCTTTCCATCACAAATGCGGTAATAGGAGACATTGTGGTCTTTCAACTTTTAAGGTTTCTTTCGGGTACTTGTATGAAGGATTTGTGCAATGCGAGACTTTCTCAAGTATCGCGTCCACGTCCTCGATATTTGGATGAGGTCATTATTACTCCCGAATTTATTCGACCTCCTGTTGCAGAGTACGTATGTCGTTTATCATTAGTTTGTTTATCTGAAAGATTGTTTGGGAAAATACTTAGGTGTATTATATGTCATCAGTTATTGTTAGTTACATGTGACGCAAGAAACGTTACAGTGAGACAGTTTATTGAAGATGGCTTGAAGAAACAAATGAATATGGAGCCTTTTTCTGTTGCTACAGATGTAGGATATATCATATACGATTCAGAACAAGATTGTGAAGTGCCTGTTGAAGCACAAAGGATTGATAAGTCTACAATTGCTCAATTACAAGTAGAGGAACAGCCATTATCTATATTGGATGAAAGTGGTGTATATTACAGAGGCTGGATTAGACACCAATGTGATGTTTCATTGTCAATAGAGCGCATCTTTTCTTTTGGAGATGATTGATGTGTTTGTCTATAAACTGAAACTTTTCTGGTTATCGTTTCAAAGAATAGTTGGAGAATCAAACTGTTTTCACATTGTTTGAAAATGAAACTTTGAATATCGTCAGATTCGAGAATGAACCATCCCAATTGTATATTGTTCTTTCTTTGGACATAAAGGGAAATATGCAAGGCTTACGTTCTTATCGATTGTCTCTTGTGAGCCGTCGACTTTTTCACTCTTCAACACCTTCACACTTCTTCAACTATTTGAGAGATGGTGTCCAAAAGGCAAGACAACAAGAAGTTGATCGAAAACAGTTTGAGCTTTTAAAAATACAGGTAGCGACACTTTTCATCAAAGAGAAAACATACTCAAAGTTGAATCAGTGCAGATATATTTTACAGGACCCACCTCTCAATCCAAACAACTATTTGGAACTACTAAAGGAAGCTCGACAACTGTTGAAATTCAAAGGATTGCGTGAGAAGTTTGATGTCGTCAAACAGGACCCTTTTTATAAAGAAATTGCTCAGGATGAGAAGATAATTGGAGGTTTGTAATTATTTCGTTCTTATGAGTTTTGTGACAAACTCTGATTGGAAACATAAGCTATGACTGCAGAAGAAAGATTAGATCTGTTTCGGGTACAGAGATTGCAAATGAGAAGAATAGCAGAAACTGCAAAAGTGAATGATGAGGTGAGAAAGCAAATAACTTAGTATTTATGAACCTTATATATTTCTATGGAGGTGGTTGCTGCTTTCAAAGAAAGAATTATTGGTCTTCAGAAACTTCAAAGAAGACTACGCAGACGTCGGATGAAAGGGTTACCGTGTCCTAAGACTCCGGAAGAGTTGTTTCGGGCAGTTCAAGACGGTGATACAGAAATACTTGGAGAAAGAATTGGTGAAAGAGCACCTCCAAGAATGTATTATAGAGAAGCCGGTGCATTTGTAACAAAATAAAAAACCCGCTCATTGAAGAAAATTGTTTAAAAAATGCTTCAAAGGTTTGTTTCTTTGAAGGAACGACGAGCAAAGACCTCGAAAGTATCTAGTGAAGACTCTTTACTCAAAAATAAAGAGTTGATATTCACCAAGCTTAAGAATGAATATGAAGCTGCAATATCCAAGCAAAGAGAGGGAGAGTTAGATAGCGCACTCATAATGTATGGAAGTTTAGTGGAAGAACTGAAGAGGTTGGCGGACGACGTCAAGAACACTAGAGAAATAGACGATAAGATACGCTCTTTGTCCTTTCAACAGTTGCCTTTTGAATTTCGTTTGCACTTTCTGTGCTTAAAGAACAGTGCATATATTTGTGAAGAGAAAGGTCGTTGGGAAGAAATGAAGTCCTTGTACTCTATTCTTATGGAATCCTTTGCAGATTGGGTAGTTTTAGATACCGGTTTGGTCGTAAGAATGTTACGTGCTCTCAAAAAAGTGGGAAGTTTCTCCTTTGCAAGGAAAATTTGTGAATATTATTTGAGACAAAAGAACGACAAGTTTATTTATACAGAATGGTGTTCTCTAATTCGCATTATCGGAGATAGCCTTATATATGAATCGCAAGATAATGCTGATGATATGAGTTGGAGTAATCTTGCCTCATCATCATCTTTTATCCAAAGTACCATTTCGTTTGAGGCCACAATTCCTTGCAAATCAATGAAGCCCGCCTATTTCATAACAGATGCACGTAACTTATTGTTGTGGATATTGCTTGGTGCATTTTATGATAGTGAATCTGTTTCATTTGATTTTCAGAGTCATGTTCAACTTGTGCACTCTTATGAATCTCCGGGAATTTTAGATTCCTCAGGAAGTGTAATATTTTCTGTAAGTTTTCTATATTTTATATTTGATTTCGAGTAGATTGATATAAGGTTTTTTTAGGAAAAGGATTTGATGGAGAAGATGGAATACATTTATCAAATTTGGAAAGATGCTTCGTCTATTCTTAAACCAAAAAATTTTGGTGAGAATACTGAAACTTATGGTTTAGAAGCTGTTTGGAATGAACTTAAAATATCTTCTCAAAGAGCGGGCTTGGATACTATGATAGTTGATTGCTTTGCTCTTGAAGAACATTCATTGAACAATCAAACAAACGAAATGCCATCCAACATTTTTCATCAAGAACGATTCAGTCAAGTTCTGCTGTCATTTCCTGATTGGGACAAGTTAGAGTTACCTTCCTATTCGTGTTCCTTGTTTGATCTGTTTTGTTTGTTATTGACGAATTTTGCAAATTGTTCAAGCCTTCCTATTGAATTGGGTCCTTTACTGTGCTTTGCTTGGCTTCAATTCCGATCGATCTTTCCTACCATTTCAACTGAAGAGAACATCCTATTCTTAAATGTTGCAGAGTTGATCTTTAAGTGGTTTCCTTTTATTTGCAGAATACTCAATTTATCATCATCGACTCTTAGTCCTATGAGTGATAGCTATGAGGACTGCAAATTTATTCCTTGTTCCTTTTGTAACCTAGCATTGATGGAATGTGAATATTTGTTAACTCGATTTTTGGATGGCGTATCGGAACAAGAAGAAACATTTGAAGAAGACTTGTATACCAAATGTCGTGTCTTTATTTTGAAAGCAAAGATTAACAGTTATTTATGTAGACAAGACAGTAACGTGCTGCTCCATATGAATCTTGATAATTTGCTCAACTCTGTCTCTGATATTGAAAGAGTTGCAGTATCCTTCAATCAATTTTCAATGAAATTATTGGATACTTTAAACTTGTTAATGGAACAACGAAGACTGATTGATCATTTGATGGAATTTTATAGCATTCTTTGGCAAGTGAACACGGTCAATGAATGGGAAATACAGCTTGTGAGATTTTGTCACAAACTTCGACCACAGCTGTTTACTAATCTTACTGAAGAAAGACTTCACGAGCATCTTCTCTTGTGTGATTTTCTGGATATTGGTATTCATGCACCTCTTCCATATCAAACCGATTACTCTCTTTTGACTTGTATAACTTTCAAGTTGCAAATCGTTTCTAGTTTCCTTACTGTTGTATCAAGTTCATTTAAATATGCAGGTTGCACAATGATAATGATACAACAGCAGATCAGCAAAAGTTTTTTGATACTGAAGAAACTCTCTAGCTTTCTAAAAGACTTGGAAGCGAAACAAAATGACTATTCCACTTGTAACAATTTCCTTCCGGAAATGATCGATAATTTGTTGCTTCTTTTTGAAAGTTTATGCTTGTTGGCTATGTCATTGGTAGAGATGAGACATAGGGATGAAAGTTTAGAATGGTTGGTAAAGAGTACATCCAAATATCAGAAACGATTCATGTTTCTTTTACTTTGCATTTCCAAAACTTGTGAATGGCTGCTTTCGACGTGGGAAAGTTTGATCATTCAAAGCTGGGATGACTCTATTGCAGATCTTATGGAACATTCATTGGCATTGTTTTATATCGTTTTACGTCAGATATCTCTAAGGGAGAATTTACAAAGAATGAAATCCTTCCGTTCTATTATTCAAGTATACTGTACCTGTCTTCGTAGATGGATGAATGTTTGCAATGCTGGTGATAAAGAACCATTTTTAATATTAAAGGAGTGGAACCAGGATTCCAATAGTTTCATCGAGAGACGACAGCATATTTCATCTGAACTTGCTGCTGGTTACTACTATCGCTATGGTTTGAGAGCGCCATTCATCTCCGACGATGACTTGAATGGTCACTGGTTGACTCGAGAATTATCTTTGCAAAGTTTTATCAAGTCATTAGATCCTACTCATGTTGTAGAGTTTTATTATGCTTTTCAGAAGGAGTTGAGAGAAGCAACTATTTCCAACCGAAAAGGTTCGATAGGAGAAATGAAGCGTACGTTGAAAGCATTGTTGAAAGTTTTCTTTTCAGTCGAGCAGCCAGCCTTTGAACCTAATCAGTTGATTGAACCATTCAAGTCTAGTTTGGAAAATGTCACTGAAGAACAACTTGAGGATGAATCAACAGATTGGGAGTTTATTTTTGCTTCTTCCCTGAATTGTTGGATTTCTAGAGGTCAACGTCTGTTAGAACACTTACATTTTACTAAGAGACGTTCTTCAGTCGATCTTCATGAGTATCACGAAGTTTTGCTGGATATTTGTGATCTACTCTCTCGTTGCCTAAGCCTGGAGTTGGAAATGACAAGAAAGAAAGTCAAGTCAATGTCATTGACCTCGTATTTTGTTTCTCGCCACAAGTTATTAGAGGAACTTTTAGGACTGCAGTTGTTCATCCTTTCATTAGAACCTAAAAGAGCGCAGTGTTGGTTGTGGCTTGGAGAAATGTCTTTGGAATTGTCTCATGTTGACAACGAAATGAAGCATTTGGAGATTGATGAGAATAGAGATTCAAATTGTATATATTTGCGTTTTGAAGAATGCGCAAAAGTTTTTTCATTTTCCAGGCGATTGGCTAGCTATCAAGATCATCTGAATGGAAGAAAAGTATTAATGCAATTGGCATCACAAGGAGAAGGAATCTGCTATTTTTTAGCCGCTAGACTTGCAAAATCATCCAAATTTCGCTTTTGGCATTTAGCTATCCGAGCATTAGATCGTCTAATTCAAATGAAGGACACGGAGCCAGACAACGATACTGAAAGCGTTTCTTTAATTCACCATAATTCATTGAGTTGGTGGTATTTTTTCCTTCTTCGAGGCAAACTTGGTTTCAAATTGAGAGAATCTGTGGAACGCATCTGTTGGTTTCTAACTCGAGCAATTGTTTTACATCGAGAGGAAGCAACAAGACTAAGACAAGAACTTGAAACGGAGCCGATATATCAGTTTGACATGATTCGATTGAAAATATTATTACATGAAGGTGAATTTTCACTTTGCGACGATAGTCTAAAGATATTATTGGACGATAGTGACATATATTTTCCAATTTCAGACGATAGGAAGAAGACCGATTCCTCTTCAGGAGCTTGCATTAACTTTGATATTTCTAGTATGCTGAGAATTGTATCCAATCAAATTGTTGAACACGTGAACTATATATGGGATTCTCATCAGTTTCGGAATGGCTCCAGGTCTTCTGGTTATCTGTATAAACCTTTTTATGCACAAGCCGTTGCTTATAAAGTTGGTTTGCAAATGAATCAAAAAGCACTAGACTCGGTAAGGAATGTACTTGTCTGATATGTTTCTAACAGTACAAACTAATTGATGTTTTGAAGATATCCAATTTGTTCCAACCTTCTGTTGCAAATAGCTCGATTGGCAATTTTTGGTACATGTTTACAGCATTACCTGTAAGTTTATTGAGTGAAATGATCTTTGAGTCCAAAGCTCAGTATCAAAAGTGGAAATTCAAATGCCTTTCCTTTTATATTCAACAGAGTGCCTTGTTGAAGCAGAAAGAAAACCTTTGGGCTGCATTTAGTCGTTTAAAAAGAAGAAAACCGGAAGAAACCGATGATGAGCTATTGAAACAAGTCATGCAGTTATATTTCGATTGTATACTATCCACATCATCTGAATGGAAATATTGGGATAACTCAAGGCTCAGCGAAGAATTGCAGCATCTTTGGAAAATGTATCTGTTTCTTACATCTTTTTACAAAGAATCAAGTCTTATCAATGCAATACAACGCAAAATGGAAAGCTTGTTATGTCTTGTATGTCCTGAAGATGAAAATTCTGGAAAAGTATCTTTACTCGCATATTGTTCTAAAAAGTGGCCTGAGCTGGAAAGGAATCTAAAACGGAAAAGGGGATTCACTTAGAAACAAATGGAAGTATATATCGGGAAACCTTTTATGACAAGTAAGAAAAGTACAACACTACCTTTTCTTTTGGAAAAGAAACAATCTGGTTCCGTTGTAGAGGATAAGAAAAGCAAGCTCTCCAATTTTGTTTCTTGGATATGTGGCACTTTAGAGAACACAAGGAAGACTTTTGACAGTATTCGTCATACTACAAAGTTAGCCATTATTCGGTCTGTTCTAGCTACTGTAGAGGAAAAGAGTCAACGCAGGGATGTGAATGTTGTTACCTACTTTCCTCCAGCAGAGAGGATCATAGCTATCGGTGATGTGCACGGAGATCTACAGTCCCTTCAAAGTGCGTTGCGACTATCAAAGGTAGTTGGAGTGGGTGGAGAATGGGTTTGTTTTCGTATTTTCTTCTGTTAGTTTGATTCTTACTGTGACCTATCTTTACAGACTGGTGGTAGAACACTAGTTGTTCAGTTAGGAGACGTTTTGGACCGTGGTGACCAGGAAAGAGAAGTTCTTCAATATCTGGAAAAACTTAATATTCAGGCCTCGAGACAAGGCGGAAAAGTGGTGACTTTACTGGGTAATCACGAAATTATGAACGTCGAGCTTGACTTTAGATATGTCACTCCCGGTGGGTTTTCTGCCTTTACGAGTAAGACAAATGAACTAGAACAAGGCTATTATGAGAAAAACGTACCAAGAGCTTATCAAGAAGTTATAAAACAACTTCCTGACTTTATGAAAGCCAGAGCTCTTGCATTAAGACCCGGGGGTCCTACCACAGTGCGTTATTTTTCTAAAAGCCCGATCGTTTTGGTGGTTGGAGATAACGTTTTCGTTCATGCTGGTTTGAATAATGAACATGTTGCCTTTGGACTAGACGAAATAAATCAATCAACAATGAATTGGTTGCTAGGTAAGGGAGAGAAACCAGAAATTCTTCGAGGTCGCTTTAGTCCTGTGTGGACACGTATCTATTCCTATCCAAATCTTGCAGTAGATAGCGAGGAATGTCATGAGTTGTGTAGTACTCTTGATAAGATCCCTGCCAAACGAATGATCGTTGGTCATACACCCCAATCTCATATTAATGCAGCCTGTAAAGCTCGAGTTTGGAGAGTCGATACAGGTTTGTCTAATGCTTATGGTGGCAATGTTGAGACACTGGAAATCACCAAAAAAGGTGTGAAAGTACTAAAGTGGAAGACCAAGCGAGCCAATCTTCTTCGGCAATGAGGACCTCATAACCAATTCAGCGTTGATTTGTCGTTGGATCTTCACCCAACTGTTGTAAATGCACAATCCTATGAAAGACAAGGGCTCCTAGGAACATAGAAAAGCTATAATAACCAAAGAGATATATATAATTCCAATCGAACCATTCCAATGAAAGAGCGGCTAAAAGACTACCAAGAGCAGAAGTTAGCAGCCAGATTGCTTGAATTGTACTCTTTAGTTGGATAGGAGCGGAAGCAAAGGCAAGTTCAACTCCAGAGACACTGACTAGAATCTCTCCAACAGATAACAAGATCCATTGAGGTAAAGTTCTCCAAGCTGAAATTTGAAAAGGCATTGCTTTTTGTATTTGAAATTGAACAACAGCACTGCATATAAAAGCAAGACAAGTCAAAAGCATGCCCAAAAATATTCTATCGGTGGAAGTCCATCGAATATATTTTTGTATTCTAGGATAGATCCACTCCGCACTAATTGGAACTCCCAGTAACACAACTAGAGTAAAAAGAATGATTGAAAATGATTAATAACAATATAAAGCCACTTACTTAAGGGATTCCAAGCAGTCCATTGTGCTGGGTTCATTTGTATATCGAAAATACGAGGCATCTCCATCAAGGATAGTTGCTGAATCCAAGTAGCTCCCTGTTGAGACCAGCACATCCAAAAGATTGCAATGGGAGAAAGTAACAAGCTTATTCGTAAAATACAACGCCATTCTTCTATAGCTCTCGTTGTTCTATACAATTGATTATTTTGGTCATTACGGTGAAAGAAGATACTTGAAAATGAAACAACGGTATGCCTTATATGATGAAGTAATGTTGGACTACTTTCTTTTTGAATATGAACGTAACCAGTGAAACGCATGCCATTCAAAAATGTAACCAATGATAAGAGCAGAACACTTGCCGAAACAAAGTAGGCTCCACTCCATCCAAAGACTTGCTTTGTCCAAGGACAGATCAATTGTCCTGCAATGGCACCCATATTAATACATAAATAGAATCTCGCAAAGTAAATAGTCGTATTCAAACGATCTTCAACGGAAGTATGACTTGCGTCAATTGGATATCCATTGGATACTTGTTCCTCAACCATGTCATCATTGAAGTTATCGTTCATCTGTAGTAACGGGTCGACAAAGTCCTTTGAAAGTTGACTAGTTGATAACGCATTTCTTTCTAAGCTAACAGCAGTACACTGTAATCTAACTTTATGACGCCACTCTACTTGTTCTGCACCAAAAGCACTGACACAAGGTTTTATGCCTCCAGTCCCAAGAGCGATCAAAAATAAGGATAGAAAGGTCAATAACTTGGTCCAAGTCACTTCTTCTTGTAACAACGACGAAAGTGGCAACAACAATTGGCCAGAAAGATAAATAAGAGTAAAGTATACAATGGTTCGATATTTTCCTAGGTACTGATCAGCAAACCATGAACCCAATAACGGAGTACAATAACACAGAGCTTGAAAATAGTTGAAATTGGCAGCTGCCTGTTGAGTGCCATAATGGAGGTGCTGCTGAAAGTATAAAGTAAGCAACGCTGTAAAACCATAAAAGTTGAAACGCTCGGCACACTCTGTGGCAAATATAGGAAGCGTGAGCCAAAAGTCACCAGGTGAGTTGTTGGTTGCTCTTTGTTTGAATGGTCCAACGAACTGTATTATAGTACGTGAAAGGATACTTTCTGAAGAAGTATTCAGCGTATCCATTTCCCATGAAAATTGGAATGAAATGAAAATGGGAGCTTCCTTTATAGTTTTATAAATGTTTTTGCAAGAAAAAAAAGTTGTTGTACTTAAAAAAAAACAAGCAGAAACACTATGGAATCTAAGTTTCTTAAAAAAATTGGCCAATAAATATTTGAGAAACTCATAAGGCAACTTTTTGCACATGACATTGGTTTGCTGCTTACCATCATGAAGAGTTTAAATATATTTTATGGTCTTAAGAGCATTGATATCATAATGGAGATCCAAATACATTCCACGTCACACAATCTCTAATTCCTTGAGAGGTAAATGTTGTTCTTTGTAAACTGTCCTTTTTGTGTTACGCCATCTCAACAACTTCTCAGAAGGAAACATTCGGGAAAATACAATATTGATGACATAGATAGAAAAAGTCGTTTCAAGAAAAGTTCACGCTATGAAACCATTTTCACAACTCTCTCTTTGGTATCATCACAAAGGAAAACTTCAGAGGAAATTATGAAAGAAGCAGTTAAGCTCATGCCTGGAGGTGTCAATTCTCCTGTTCGTGCTTTTCGATCTGTCGGAGGAAATCCGATTGTCTTTAAAAAAGTAAAAGGTTCAAAGGTGTATGATGTGGATGGTAACGAATATATTGACTATGTGGGAACTTGGGGGCCAGCTATAGTTGGCCACGCCAACGATGAAGTCGTGAAAGCTTTAAAAGAAGCAGTAGAGAATGGGACCAGTTTTGGAGCTCCTTGTGAACTGGAGAACATCCTTGCTCGAATGGTCATTGATGCGGTACCTTCAGTAGAAATGGTTCGATTTGTCAATTCAGGAACAGAAGCTTGTATGTCAGCACTACGATTGATGCGTGCTTATACAGGTAGAGAGAAGATCATAAAATTTGCTGGCTGTTTTCATGGTCATGCTGATCCATATTTGGTTCAGGTATGATATCCAATATGTTAGCTTCTCATAGATACTGAAATAGTGTTAAAGGCAGGTTCTGGTGTAGCCACTCTTGGACTTCCAGATTCACCTGGAGTCCCAAAGTCTACCACAGAGAATACATTAACTGCGCCTTATAATGACTATCAAGCCGTTGAGAACTTATTTCATACTTATCCAGTATGTGTAATCATTTTTGTTGTTCAATCGAATATATCTTCAACTCTTTAAACTATATAGAATCAGATTGCGGGCGTTATTTTGGAACCCGTCGTTGGAAACTCTGGTTTTATTCTTCCAGACAAGTCTTTTTTGGAAGGTCTACGTTCTTTAACTAGAAGAGAAGGTGCTCTATTATGCTTCGATGAAGTGATGACTGGCTTCCGCATTTCCTATGGAGGAGCTCAGAAGTATTTCAATATCCAACCTGATCTTACTACCTTTGGGAAAATAATTGGTGGTGGTTTACCTGTGGGTGCATATGGAGGAAGAAAAGATATTATGGAGATGATTGCTCCTTCTGGACCAGTTTATCAGGTGTGATTTGATTTTGTTTAATAATGCCTTTTTTGTATTGATTGTTCTAGTCTGGTACTCTTTCAGGAAATCCGTTAGCTATGACTGCTGGAATCAAAACATTAGAGATATTGAAAAGACCTGGCACTTATGAATATTTGGAGCAAATAACAAGCAAGTTGGTAAATTCTATGGTAGCCATTGCACAAGATGCTGGACATGCGTTTACTGGAGGACATTTGTCTGCTATGTTTGGATTTTTCTTTACTTCAGGAACTGTGAAAAACTTTGAAGATGCCAAAAGGTCCGACCTTGCAAAGTTTCAACGTTTTCATCGGTCCATGCTGGAACAAGGCATCTATCTCGCTCCATCTCAGTTTGAGGCAGGGTTTATCAGTTTGCAGCATTCAGAAAGAGATATCGAAGAAACTTTACAAGCTTTTACAAGAGTTATGAAGGAGATATGATCAAGAAAAGAACATTGTGCCTATCTTTGCTCTTTATAAATGAATGCTTATTCGGCTTTGTTTTCCTGAAAACAATATTGCAATGGAAGTAGTTGAGATTTCTTTCTTTTCTCACCTCTCTTTATATTGGCACATAATGGACACCAAGAAGGAGGACGTGAAGAACTTGTTTTTCTTCGAATATTATTTGCATTCATCATAAATATATGGCCTTGTGAACACTCCCACTTGAGCTTCTGGTGTACATTTTTATATACTGTTGAAAGGCATCTTCCACCCCGTTCCTTCGCCAACTCTTCTAACTCGGACAAGTCTAATGTTTGTGTTTTTCTTGCACAAATTGGACACCAACTTCCTCGCCTTACATTATCTCCAGAAGCATACCATTCGTGTCCCTCACCACAACGCCACAAAAATTTATCACGAACGCTTTTATAAGTTGTAGACAGACACAAACCTCCTCTTCGTAAAGCTATTCTTTGCATAGTTCCCAAAGATAGAGGTTTAGTAGACCCTCGACGAAGTTCAGGACAAAGTTCAGCCTCTGCTTCATATGTACATAAAGGACAAACTTTACAGACGGGACTTCCCTTTAAAGCCTTTATAATATGACCTCTATTTTATACTGATGAGTAGACTGGACACAGAAAAAGATACAGTCGTATATCATACCGTTCACACTGATATTTTATAAAAGGACAACTTGCACCGTCTCCACAAGGAGCATCTTCCAATCTTTTCGCACCACAAGGCAACTCTAACACATTAGAAGCTTCTTCACTGACAAGTGTCTGAGAGTTGATAGCGAAAGTTTGAAAAGACTTGGGCTCATCAAGTGTAAAGGCTGCTCGTGTATAGTTTCTTATTCTCCTCGAAAAGTTGGCTTTGCACTGTAAGAAAGTATTTCTGTCTTGACGAAGACGTTGCCGAATGGTAGTTGGAGATATAAGGCACCTTTTGTTGAAACGTGGGTGGTGAGAGAGAATAGAAACCACATATAAGATTATCATCGACAAGCTGCCTTTTCAATTGCACAAAAATTGCATTTGAAATCTTTCCAAAACTTTAACAAATCTCAAAATTCCCGAGTATGATGTTATCTTTCTCTTTTCTTATGACAATGGTAGAGTGAAAGAAGAATGAAGATACCCATACGGAGAATCCAACCAGTCCATCCAAGAGACCTGCAACTATTTTTCAGAAATCCAGAGTAAAAAATATTCTGCGATTGAGTTCAAGGTCTTTTCAAAACTATCGAACGGTATAATTTCAACATAATATCAACCAAGTAACCTTTTCTTCTACGAGGACAACCTAAAAACACGTCGAAGGAAATAAACGCTCTTCTCCAAGTAACGAGAGTATAATACAATGAAAACAACGTAAACAAAATATAAAACCAATGTAGACCGACAGAAAACCGCAATCCACGTACAACAATTCCAAGTGGTAGGCTTATCTTACTTGCCATTCGAATACAGCGCAACATAAAACTTGTAGACTCTATACTTCGAATATGATACATTCCATAGAAAGCTGATATTATCACCCAAGGAATAGAATGAGCAAGAGAAACATAAAACGCAGTTCGTTCCAATATTACACGTAAAAGATGTCTTTGAATATAAAAATATAAATAAAATATAGCCATATCCAATATAGCCAAATCCCAGCGATAAATAATATCTGAAATTCCAAAGTCTCCATCTCGTAACATTTCCATACTCATAAGACCGTTCCATTGTGAGTCCCAAAGTGGCTTCATTCGAGATTCGGCAAATAAAATTCCTGACTCTATATACTCTCTTAAGTTCTCAACTTGTGCTGCGTTTGTCAATTTTCTTAAAACAAAAGGCCTTGGAGGAGTCCGCAATGCTTGTTCAATTCTTTCCCTATTATAATTCCAAGAGTCGATAGAATATAAAACATGAGTTCTTCCTCTAAAAGCAAACTGTATATAATCCCAGTCACTATATACCGATGATAAACGCTTTCTGACAACTCGATAACTCGACCTTATTCGTTCATTCCAACCAAACTCATTTCCAATAGAATAACAACCATTTCCATTCATAGGTCCCTTCTCAGGTAATTTCAGTATATGAGGGGAGGTTAAACGAGGCAAAGTCACTTCATCTGGAGTATCGATCAAAAACACTTGTTCAATTCGAAACTGATGGCGTCTATGTAAGTTTTATACAATCCCCATATCAGCACTATTTAAGAACGAGAATCATTTAAACTACCTTAAAAACTCTATTTGGGTAAGGGTTCTTGGAAAACCACAAAAAACTACCCGTTTCTTATAGCCATCATGAGCAGACAAAAATTTGTGGACAAGTTGCAAGACAATCTTATCTGGAACCTAACTTTCATACGTAAGTGAATCATCCTTAGTATTCATAAGAAATACTTGCACGTTCGCCAGACTCCACGGCACTCTTCACAATACTTCCCATTGTCATGTCTTTATTATCTTCATGCACCACTCTCAGGAATAGATCACTAACATCACATAGTAAAGAATTACTCATTCTGGCAATAAGGCGAGCAAATTCAGTCTTATTACTACCAGGAACACCCAAAACAAGAATACCAAAAGGTTGCAGTTTAGTACCTGCTTCATAAAATGTGCCCTTAACTCCATCAATTTCACATACGATATCCGAAAATACATGTTCAGTATGTCGATTGCCATTGATATGAACTACTTGCGAAAACTGCTCTTCTATTGCTTGGATATGAGTATAATAGGTATCTAAACGTACTTTTGCCTATAAAGTCATGAAGATTCATATCCATATGCTATGAAAATATAACTGAAAAATACCTTTTCTTCGGTATCATCTGTTCTTTGAATCAAGCGGCTTAAGACTTGTTGATCCTCCGGAGGTGAATATTGAAGATGATAGATACGACCAGTCACAGGATCAAGTCTCCTTCCGACAACTCTCTGAATAAGTTCACTTTCAGGGACATCCAAAACAAGGACCAAATCAGGGTAAATTCTTCCCAAAAATAAAACTTAGAATCATATCAAAGGAAAACAACTCACTTTGCATCGAGGAGAGCTTGTGCTTGAGAAGCCGTACGTGGAAATCCATCCAAAAGCCAACCATGTTTCTCACAGTCTTCCTGTTTTAACCGTTCTTTCAACATACCGATAACCAAATCATCCGGTACCTGCAAGAGACAACTTTAGCAAACGACTTGAGAAATAAAATAGTAACATACCAAACGCCCTGAATCCATATACTGCTTAGCCATCTTTCCAAGTTCTGTTCCATTCTGAACAGCTTCTCGTAACATATCTCCGGTTGATAAATGAACGACGCCGTAACGTTCCGCAATCTTCTTACACTGAGTTCCTTTGCCGGAAGCAGGTGCTCCAGCTACAATTATTCGCGGTGGATAAGTTCTCACTTGAGATTGACCTTTTGTGACAGAAAAGGTTTCTGCACAAGCTCTTATAGTAGGCTGCCTATTACAAGAAGGACAATAAAATAGGTTTCTAAGAAAAGTGTTTGACAATATTCGTAAGCTAGTTCTTTCTCTCTTTTGAAACTGAGTTTTACAACGGTATCTTGTTCCAGTAGTAGTGCTTTTATGGCTGTTTCGAATTTCAACGACGGAAACAAAAGCAGTCGTCCAAAAACTGTTCATCGGCAATCCACTTTGAGTATCCAACATCAGTTTGTCCATTTGCATTTAAATGTCTTTTTGTGGTTCCTTTTGCCGTTGAGGGATGCCTAAAAGAACTGGAACCACTACGATGGAAAATGCAAGTCAAGTCAAACAGAAAACCAAACTGGAATCTCAAAAAGATATAGACTTGCTAGATGATTCTTCAAGAAACGGGATAAGACAGAGGTTGGTTAAACGAATGTTGATGGACCTATCAAGTTTCTTAACAAAGTTTAGGAAAAGGAGACCCAACTCTCGTGAAAAGAGTGAAAAAGGTTTGCGTTCGTTTGCTATTCGTGTAAGAAAAAAGGTGGAAGAAAAGAAAAGAACGACTTATAATCAAGTTGCAGACGAACTTGTAAAAGAGGTACTGGACCCCACTATTAGTGACCCTACAAACCGTTTTTATGATGAAAAGAACATTCGAAGAAGAGTATATGACGCTTTAAATGTTCTTATGGCAATGGGAATGATAGAGAAGCGAAAGAAGGATATTTTATGGAGGGGAGTTTCTTTCGATAACTCGGAGTTCCTAAAGGAGCTTGAAGAGAAGGTGAAGTTTAAGAACGAAGAGTTGCGACAAAAGCGTCATAGATTAGAAGAGTTGGAAGCTCAAAAAAGCGCTGTAGAAGCAATGCTAAGACGAAACGCTTCGAGTTCTGTTGGAGAATTTCATCCAGAAAGTTGTATTCACTTACCGTTTATAATCGTTTCTACTAGTACAGACACCTCTATTGATGTAGAAATGGAAGAAAATGCAGAAGAAGTTTTGTTCACTTTTAATAGACCTTTTGAAATATACGATGATCAAGTTATTCTACAAGGAATTTTTCGTAATGCTACTTTCAACGACCATATAGCTGAACCTACCAACGTATTGGTTCCAGAGAAACAACGATTCGCCGCTACCCATTCTCATCATCAGTTAAATGAACAAATGAAAGAACGAACTCAACATTCTTCATTTTCAAATGGACCACCGAAAAACTTTGTAGATAATAATAGTATCTTGAACAGCCATTTGGTATACTTAACAGATGATGTCTAAACAACTTTGCAGTTTGAAAAAATAAAAACTGACTGTTACATGAAAACTCTGGGAATATTTATATTCTTGTATGTAAGCAGCTACAGAGTAAAACTTGTGAAAGTTCGTTCTTAACAAGATTGCAAGTTTTCCTCATCAGTTCCACGACCTTTATATTTGGGCTCAAAGTCTATTTTTTCACTTACAGAAAAAGTAAAGAAATTTCAATCTTTTGTGTTAGGTTTCGTTGAATGTTGTAAAAAGATCTCTTCAATCCTTGGCATTCAATCTTGGATCGCATTTCATTCTAATGGAATCGTCTCATAAAGTCGATACTAGAAAACCTACAAATATTTCCAAAGTATCTTCTCAAGTACAATATTATTATTTTACCAAAAAGGACGCTATTTTTCTGCTAGTATTGACGCTGCTATCGTTTCTCACAAGGTTTTACCGTTTGGATGAACCACCTGCAGTGGTCTTTGATGAGTTCCACTTTGGAAAATTTGTCACTTGGTATTTTACTGGAGAATACTTTTTTGACATTCACCCTCCTCTTGGAAAGCTCTTTTTATATTTAGGTGGCACTTTGGGAAAGTTCAAGACTGGGTTTCTTTTTGACGCCATAGGAGCTGAATATGGAGAAACAAAGTTTTACGTCTTACGTTCTGTTTCAGGGTTATTTGGAACGTTAAGCGTCCCTTTTATGTATTTGCTCTGTCGAGTGTTTGGCCTTTCAGTGGAAAGTTCCATTCTGGGTTCTTCTCTTGTTCTCTTTGATTTTATGTCCTTGATCGAATCACGTCTGATACTTGTAGACTCCCAGCTACAATTTTTTTGCATAGTTTCACTACTGAGTGCATTTATGTTGTGGAATTCGTGTCCCAAAACGTGGTCTCGTATGTTTTGGCTTATAATGACTGCAATGCTTTCAGGCTTCGCAATAAGCATCAAGTGGACGGCTCTTGCTACTCCAGGAGCAATAGCAATTGCCTCTTTTTTTGGTCTTTTTCTCATGTCGAGGCCTTTGGATTTGTGGGAATGTGCACTAGCGGGCCTTGTTGGTCTAATTACTTACGTGATTCCCTTCTATATTCATTTTAGGATGTTGCCTTTGAGTGGCACTGGAGATGCCTTTATGTCTGTGGAATTTCAGAAAACTTTAAAAGGAAGTCCTTATTATGATCCAATTTTTCCTCCTGAATCGTTTTGGAAGAATTTTCTTTACTTGAACAAGGAAATGCTAAGAGCAAATAGTGCAATCAAGGAAAGACATCCTTGGGAGTCAAAATGGTATGAATGGCCTCTTAATCTGAGAGGACTGTTGTATTATACAGAAGAGTTGGAAAATGGCTTAAGCAGACAAATTTATTTGATTGGCAATCCGGTCGTCATGTATGTTTGTATATTATTTGCTCTGTCGTTTTTCTTCTGTTTAATTTTCTACTGTCGATATCGCTATTTGATTTCAAATGATATCGAACTGGCCAGATTGCTATCAAAAGGAATGTTTCTATTTTTAGCATATTCACTAAACTTGTTCCCATATATAGCAGTTGATCGGTCTGCTTTTCTTTATCATTACATTCCTGGACTTTTATATGCTGAACTTTTAACAGCTCTCATGATCGACTCATTTCCGAAGCAAGGACAAAAGTGGATCGTAACTATGGTAAGTAAGAAGAAATATCCAATTTTCGATGTTTTGAACGATGTGTCGTTTTTTAGATATTGCTCCTGGAACTTTTAGCATTTCTATATTGGGCACCTTGGATCTATTGCATTCCTTTATCGGCTACACAACATCAAAGGAGAAGGTGGCTGCCAAGGTGGAACTGATGGGACATTGTTACAACATGTCGTGAAATAAAAAATGCTATTGAAGAATTTGGCGCGCTGAGAGATAAAGATGCAGTTGTGTCGACGTGATGCACTGGAATGCCATTTGTTTTTATTCCATTTCTGAACGAATAAAAATATGAGTCGCTCGATGGAAATATCTATAAAAGCATCGGAATCAGAAAGTACGTTACAAAGTACGTTGAACGAAGAGTACAACCACGGCAACAATTTTTACGAGGAAATTGAAAAACTAAGTACTTTGGGTATTAACGCCTCAGATATCAAAAAGTTTGTCATGTTGAGAAATAAATGGAATGTCGAATAAACAATTTCTTATTTCTCAGGATGAAAGAAGCAGGTTTTCACACAATTAGTTCAATCATCATGACTACCAAAAAGAATTTACTTGCCGTCAAAGGATTGAGTGAAGCAAAGGTAGATAAAGTTCGAGAATGTGCATATAAAGTAAGAAGGGAAAGTTTTTATTTGATATTAATCATACATGTAATTTCCATAGATTTCAAATTCCTCATTTATATCTGGTTTAGAGGTTAGAGAACGTCGTAAAAATTTGATTCACATTACAACTGGTTCATCTGCCTTGGATGAGCTACTTGGTGGTGGTATTGAGACTAGTAGTATTACAGAGGTATTTGGAGAGTTTCGAAGTGGCAAGACGCAGTTGGCACATACACTTTGTGTGACTGCACAGTTACCTAAGAGCGTTAATGGAGCTGAAGGAAGAGTGGCTTATATCGATACAGAAAATTGTTTTCGACCTGAAAGAATAGTCGAGATAGCAGAGAGATTTGAACTTGATCCTGAAGAAGTTTTGGATAACATATTGGTAGCCAGAGCATACACTTCGGAGCATCAGGTAAGCATTGAAACGAATGTTCATCATAAAGCTGATTGAGAAGAGGCAAATTCTACAGATTGAACTTCTTGTACACATTGCTGCCAAAATGGTTGAAGAAACTTTTGGACTGCTCATTGTTGACTCTGCCACTGCATTGTTTAGAGTTGACTATTCAGGCAGAGGAGAACTGAGCGAACGACAGCAAAAACTGAACAGGTCAAAACAATTTTCGTGAAATACTGTCAACGTATTGAATTGAAACTCCAGGTTTATGTCACAGCTTTTGAAGCTTTCAGAACAGTTTAATTTGGCAGTTTTTATAACCAACCAGGTATGGAAACAGGTGGTTATGCGAAATTGGCTGATTATTATGTTCTGCTTTGTAAAGGTTATGTCGACACCTGATGGTTCTGCTGGCATGTTTGTTGTAGATCCTAAAAAACCGGTAGGAGGTCATGTTATTGCTCATGCCAGTACTACCAGAATCATGCTTCGCAAGGGAAGAGGTGAACAGAGAGTTGCAAAGATTTACGATTCCCCAATGCTGGCAGAAAACGAAGCGACCTTTGAAGTTTCATCTGGTGGTGTGATTGATGCTAAAGACTGATTGATTGATGTGACTTTTCAATGTTAAATTGTACAAAGAGTGTATTCCGCGCAAAAGAATAAAGTTTAATACGTAAGCCACTTTCAATGTAAATGTTTTCGTATTTTCATGATAATAATGTTTGTGTCAAACAAATGAATAAGAACCACCACTATTATTATCCATAACGAAATAAGGCACGGTGGAAACTGGATAAGGCACTGGCAACCAGTAAGGAAGAAATTGTGAGGACACTGTCGAAAACTGTAAAGGAGCGGCTGAAGGATTCGGTACTGCAGCTACACAAGTCGGAATATTTGTATTAATGGCAGATAGATCAAATGCAGGAGTTTCAAAGTATGCTGTGGAAGAGTTGTATTTACTTGGAGTTGTAGTAGGCTGTCTTTCTTCAACACTTATATTACACTCATTTGTGGACATGCTGTTTAACGTTTCTTTTGGAACCACTACTTTTAGAAATGTACACCAAACCTTGGTTCCAGATATGTATTTTACAAATTTCACTGCTTTAGAAGCCGCAAGTTCTCCCTAATACATTAGATCAGCTTAATGACATACCCAAGTCATGGAGTCGGCGTGATTCTTACTTCTTTATCGGGAGTGAAATAGACTCGTCCAAGACCTGTCTTCTGACCCTGGTCATCGGAGAATATTTCAATTTTCGTCACCGTTCCAAAACGAGTCATCCTCGCTTTCACACTTTCGACGGTAATCAAGTTACTTCTTTCTATTTCGAAATGAAACTGGATTGCGTATCGAAGTAGTTCAGTATTGGCCCATTCAACTCTTATTTTAAACTTCCCAATTGTTGCACCATCCAAATGTTGTTTGGCTCTCTCTGCATCTTCCCTAGCTTGAAAACGAATATAGCCATAGCATCGACGAATAAAATAAGTTTCTTCTTCCACAAGTTCACCATACTTTCTGAACGTGGTCTTAATTTCTTCATCATTAATTTCTGAGTCTATCTGTGGTATATGTAATGTAGCATTCCTTTGAGGGCATCCTGTTCTTATTCTACGGTTCATAAGAGACATTCCGTTTCCCAATTTCATAGCTTTTTGTGCTTCTTCCTCCTGAACAAAATACACAAAAGCATATCCAAGAATTTCTCCAGTGTATTTGTCTCTTTTCAAGTCAACTGCTGTCACTTTTCCAAAACGGGAAAATGCATCCAATAGAATGTCTTCGTTGATATCTCCACCAAGATCTCCGACAAAAACAGAAAATTTTTCATGTAGGCTTCCTGGAGTCACCATGAAAGAAACAGCAGCTGAAACCTGGCATAGTGACTCATCAGTTTGATCCAACATAGTGAGCTGGTCTTCACATTCCTCATCATCAGCAAATAGTCTTCTTCCAATACGTTTCTCAGATATCGCTGTTGGAGGAGCAGAATTTTTAAGAGGCGGTCTGCATCTACTTGCTGGTGTTCTACAGAGTTATTATTTTAAAAAAATCAGAAACGTTTTTGAATTTGTTTCTCTTGTTCGTAATGACAAACCTTTTCATATTTTCATCGTTCAAGGAAGTGTTTTCAGAAATAAAATCAAACTTCGCCTTAGGAGTATTATTGGATGATAAGACTTGAGTTGGACAACTTCGAGTAGAAGCCCAAGATGCAGCTCCAGGACTCTTTGTATAATTCAGGTCTATCTCATTGTAGTCCAGAGAACATTCCGAAAAGGAAGCTCTACGAACAAAGGACCTTCTCGAAAGAACCATGGATAAGACAAATCTTATCTGAAATAATGCACGAAACAGAGCCACGTGGATAAATACAAGAGCAGAATATTGGGCGCCAATCTCTTTCGCATTTTTTTTCATAAACGAGTATATCCAATAGACATGTGTGTGTCCCCATTATTTGAAAGGAGTTCCCTTTGCGTTGTTCTAAGCTGAGAGTTGTTGGCATCGGCCCTTTGCTTGGAACTGTCATTCTTTTACTTCAAGCGTCCTCATCCTTTTGTAGCGGAAACTTATTCAAGATTCATTTTAAGAGAGTTTAATAAACAACAACTTGAACACTTAATAAGAACATGTCAGAAATGATGTTTGGCATTTTATTCAAATACAAAATCGAGCTCATGAGTGAGTAACTTTGGAACAATTCAGTTCATATTATACAGAGTAGAATTTTCAGTTCAATCGATTTAGACCAACTTCGAGTTGATGTTTTAGGAGTATACAAGTTGAAACTGATTGAATGTCATTCATTTGGTTATGACACAAGAGCAAATAACCCTATACGTTCTCTTCGTGGCCTATCCTTGTCGCCAAATCTTTTCAAACTATCAATATTCTTCCAAAAATACACCATATAAATTAGAACAAAAACACAAATGAGTACTGCTTCCAGACACTCTGTTAAATAGATCAACATCCTCCAAGACACAATAAGGTGTCAAACACTAATCATACACAAGGTAATAAAAAAAGCTTGGTCAGAAATAATCAGCCAAACGTACATTTTTCAAGCAAACCTATGACTCGGTTGGTTTCAAATAACGCAGATTCCTTTCGATCCGAGTGAATTAAGAAAACCAAGTACAAACTGTACTCTAGCTGATAGAGGATGAGTTGTTTCGTTCCGTTTCCATTTGAGCTTTGATCGTATTGTGTTTCGAGTGTTATATTTTGAATTTTATCATTGCAATTGGATACTGGATAGTGGTGATAGTTATTCAAGAAAAATACAAAAAAAATTCTTTCATACCCAAGCCATTTGCAGTTGTGACCAACTCTGTACAAAATCTAACAAAGTAGTAACTATCTTCCGAAAAAGTGTTTGCTAATATGTTATCTCCGTGATATAAAACAGCATTGTCAATAAAACTTGTCGCTTTCACTTCAAATACAGTTACTTTGTACAAGTGACATAAAAGAGTAAGAGCTTACACTCATTTAACACACAGCCGAGGCAACTAACAAGAATGTCGGGTAGCTTTGAAGAAAAGTCACCAAAATTATTCAAATGGTTTACATTTTCTACATTTTCTGTGTACACTTGAGAGAATGCCAACAACAACTCGGTAGAGACCAGTTTTCCAAAGTGAGAACCCTTCACAAAAAAAGAAATAAAAACAATAAGAAACTGAAAGAATTATAAAGCTTACGTCTTCAGAATCAAAAAATACAGCACAAATAATTCTTGTACTTTCACTCACAGAAACAGAAACTGAAACTTTATAGTATTCGGCTTGACGCTACACACACAGAGTAGAGAAGAATGCTTACGGTTATCAAGTTCGATATATGACACTGGTAAAGAAACGTTTTTCTTTGAAAACTCTACCAGCGCTGTTAGAAGTGAACCAACTAGTCTTGGTTGTGCAAGACTAGTGGTAAACTCTTTGGAGTATAAAACCAATCCACTTGAAGAAGTAATAAGAAAGTGATGAATCATCCAATTTCCAAACAATTTTTACTCAACAAAATTACAAATTTATAACCCAAAGACCTTTTCAATTCTCTATCTCTTAATCCGACGATTGTTCCGAAACTAACAATCCACTCAAAGGAAATCCTCTTCTACTATATAACCTGGATTGGCGTTTTCTCCAACTTCTGTTGATCATACATCCAAATTCAAAGTGAAAGGCATGATCTGCATGAAGAAAAGTTGGAGCTTGAAGAAAACATTCAAATGGAAGCAAAAATAGAACGTTCTGTTCCATATCAACAGAAAAGGTTGCCATGTACTCATTTACAAGACTGCCATAGGAAGTAACAGTGTCTTGAGAATTATCTCGAAGATACAACCAACGGTCAGACTTGAAGTCGGACGCATTGCGTTTGTCTTTTGTAATAGTTTCTTCGTTTTGAAGACTCCTTATGCAAATACTTTTTCTGATAGCAGCTTCTTGGTCCCATAAGATGCGAACCATCGAGTGTATAGCAACTTCCTCCTGAACAGGATTGGTCAATTTTATCCTAACGCCTTGACCTATCCAACAACCGCAGTATTCTTCAACAGCTAACCTTCTTACTACTGAATCAGCTCTTAACTTGGTTGCTTCTCTAGATTCGCGAAGTAATATAATGCGAGAAAGACGAAAGTCAAAGTCATAAAGGACGAAACATCTTATCCGTGTTTGCTCTGATATCACTAAGCAAAATTCTGTAACGTCTGCAGCAATAATATCACAGAAAGGAAGCTTTACTTCCTTGTACTCCAAACTATAACTTTGATCAGTAAAGAGGGCTAAAGTCCTCTGGAAAATCTCGTTTCTGAAAGTTTCCAGAGTTTTACGTTCGCCTTGGTCAATAGAAAACTCTAAAACTGCAGAAAAAGACTGTGGTCCCGTGTCTTGAATCTTATCAAGTGTTTGTTCATAAAGAGAGTTGCTCAATTCTTTAGCATCAACTGTCGAGAATTCCAAACAAGTGCCATGCCAAACACCTTTTAGTTGCAAGGGATCGTCTCCTTTCATTGCAAAATCATTATCACACAAGTTTTTAGTTTTCGTTTTGAAAAAGTTTGGAAAAAAAATTTAGATTATGTTAGTTTCCTTTATGCAATATTAGAATTTTCTGCAGTTGATCATTCTCAAAGCCATACAGTGTACTATAGACAATCTTGCCTGTATTGGTGGAAATGGATGAGACTAATCATAGACAGGAACCTGAAAGAAGAAAGAGGAAGCCTGCGGGCGACGAATTTATTGAGCAAAAGAAAAGGCAACGAGAACTATTTTTACAAGCACATCCAGAATATCGCAGTAAACCTCATCGTTGTAACCCTGAAGCAGAAAGTTTTGTAGATGCGTTTTACAATCAACCTTCTCAGATTGTGCCTCGGTTTCTGAAGATGGTATCCTGCCTTTGGAAAGGTGATGATAAGAAGGACAACAAATTGGAGAAAGAAAACTAGAAAAAGTCCAAACTTATGCGGCGACGTCCCACAACCTTCAGGTAGACGTCTTCTGTCTTTCAGCTATCTGATTAAATAGCAACACTACTCCTCTTGTGGCAATTTTGCGTAATTCTCTCTCTTGTTCAACTTGAAAAGCAGCATCTGGTATAATCCTTCTAGCTGCTTGTAGGGCCTCTTTGTCTATATCTCTGAGTTTATATGATACTGTAGAAACTTGCGAAGGCTTTGGTTGTACCGTTTTGTCTTGTCGTTTTTCGATATTATTCTTTTTGGTAATCTTCTTCTTCTTGCTGTTATGTTCTTTTTTCTTTATTAAAGATAAGCTTTTCTGACCGATAATTTTGCTATTCTGTTCATCTAAAAGCAACTTGAAGTCATTCATGGCCTCGGTCGTATATGAAGACGACACAATGAATCAAACGCTCATTACATTTGCTTTCTTTCAATGGGCTTTCAACTTTATGTCAAGTGCATCTTAGATTTTAGTTGTTTTCACTCACAAAAGTGTGCTGACAGACGAATGGTATGTTTTACGTACAATAATAGTTGGTTTGGTTTGTTGAAGACTCGTGTTTTGAACTGTTTTTTGAAGCAAACCAGACCAGTTCAGTCTTTGTATTCCAAGTCAGCCTTCGCCCTGCGTATGTCCCAACACGAGAGGATAGTGAAAGAATCCTGTGATTCAGTAAAGAAAGAAACAAAAAGAATGGAGCATATGAAAGTACCTTGGAAGGAAGATAACATGAGTTTGTATTTGGTCATAGTTGTTATCCTATTCATATTAGGTATTGCCGGAGTTTCTCTCAATAAGTATTTCCAAGAAGGAAATTTGCAGCCATTAATAGACTGGATTGAGTCATTTGGACCTTTAGCTTCTGCAGTTTATGGTGCTTTATATTTTTTATTGGAAGTTGTTTGTTTGCCAGCCTTTCCTTTGACGGTAGCTGCAGGTTATTTATTTGGTTTCTGGAAAGGACTAGTTACAGTTTCGTTGGCTGGAACTTGTGCTTCTGGAGTTTCTTTCTTATTATCTCGCTATACTTTGCGTTCCATTGTGCAGAATGTTTCCAAAAGATACGAACGCTTTCAGACCATTGATAGTGCCATTTCAAGACAGGGCTTTAGGATTGTATTCTTACTCCGACTTAGTCCGATTCTACCTTTTGCTATTTCCAACTACTTGTATGGATTAACATCGATACCTATTGGTCCTTATATTCTGGCTAGTTGGTTGGGTATGTTACCGGGAACTACTTTGTATGTTTATGGGGGATTTGTAGGAAGATCTGTGACACTATCAATGAATAGTGGCATAGAATTGCATTCTGAATGGTTCCAACAACCTTTGATGATTGGTGCAGGAATTTTGGTGTCTTTGGGAGTAGTCAGCCAAATATCCAAACTAGCAACCGAAGTGCTCAATGAGGAGGAAAAAAAGAAAGTCGTTGAAAAAGAAACAACCCAACGAGAGGATAAATAAGTTGTTTTGCGTTTCCTCTTGAACTTTTTATCACGCAATAGAAACGCACTATGAAAGGATGTGAATATATAAATAACCGAGTTGACTGTACAACTAAACACAAAGCAAGCAACTGCAACTCTTCAGAAAGTCATTTTTGTAAACACCAACAAGATAAAAAATTCTCCAGTTTCTGTTTCTTTTTCAAGGATATTCTTCTACTTTACGTAACTCTTTCAAAGTTCTCAATCGGTCAAAAGACAACTTACGTATTTTCTCGACGTAAGAATTGTCGCAATAAGTGTACAGCAACTTGTGGCTCAACTTGTCTCTCTACATCTTTATTACCAGTTTCCAGTTTCTTCCATTCCATCTTCTACAGTCAACACAATATTTGGCAGTGGAACAATAAGCTTCAACAAAATTTGCTCGACGAGACAATCTCAAATTATCATTTTTGGAGTGAAATGAAGCAACGCATTATTTTCATATTATGTATACTTTTGGCCTCTTTTGTATGTTCCACGAATGGCTTTGCTTTTTATCTTATCCCCGAAAATAATCCTTCTAATCCGTTGTGTTTCTTAGAAGATGTATTGAAAGGTTGGTGTACTTTATGGTTCACAACTTGAATATTCTATTTGCAAATGTATAGATAATAGAATATATGGCTTTTTCTTTATTATGGAACCCTATGAACACCCAGACCCGATACACTTTGAGGTAAGTAACTGCTATGCTTATATTTTAGCAACTCCAAGTCACTTGGATCGACTTGACAGATTCGGGATCCAGAAGGTTTCAAAGTTCGGGACGAAGTATTGGTCGAATCAAAAATAGACTTTGTTGCAGAGAAGAGAGGTGTATATGAGTTTTGTTTTGATCTTGGTCGTTTTACAAACCAAGCAAAGAAAGTAGCTTGGGATGTAAGAATTGATCGCGGCATGGAAGCAGCTTCAACTAATAAGGAGTTCCTTTCGGATGCAGTAAAGCCAGGTAAGTATTCACATGTTTTGTTGTATAAGCAGAGTTGTAACAATATAATTGTTAGAACATCTGGATACCGTAAAGGAGAGAATACACGCTTTGTCGGAGGGTTTGGCTCGTGTTAGAATGGAACAAACCATCGCTAGAGAACAAGGCGCCACTATGCTGCAACGTAAGTTTCCTTTTCATATGAGTTTTTCATTTTTTTATTATGAATACAACAAGTGGTTGAAAGCAACCGCTCAAGAGTGACTCGCTTTACACTTTTAGAATGTCTTTTGGTTATTGTTGTGTGTGTTGCGGAAGTGTTCATATTGAGACGTCTATTTGAAGTACGAACCAAACTATAAACTGTTCTTGATTCAACTTTTCCATTTCGCTTCTAGTCGAAATAGTCCTCCATACCTATTTCAGGAGAAACGAGAGCTTCTTTCATTTCTTCCACATTCAAACCTGATAATATTAAATTCTCATAAGTATCTTCTAAATCCGTATCTCCAACAAGTACAGCTCCATACATTCTTCCTTTGTAAAGAACTATACGAATTAGTTTCCTTTCTGATAAGTCGATATCTCGAGGAGTTTGATAAGTAATGATCTCGAAATCCGGACCCAATGCTTCTGCATTATAACGACCCAGTAAAACTATTTTGGTACCAAAAAATTCAGTCACATGAGTAAATAACTCAAAATACATCGAATAATCTTCTCCAGTCTCCAATAAAGAATGAGCAGCAACTTTACCCATAAAGAAAGCTTGACTCCAAAGTCTCATTTGAAACCACCATTTTGAACATTCATTATCAACCACTTTACAACAATCACCAGCAGCATAGACATTCTCTAGATTCGTTTCCATTCTACAATTGACAACAATACCTTCGTTCTCCTCTTCAGGATACAATAATAAAGGAGTTGATTGCAAAAATTTCGTATTGGGTTTCACTCCGACTGCAGATATGAGCCAGTCACAACCAAGAGAGTGAGGATATTTGGAGAGTTGTACCGAAATTGGCCAACTATTGGGTTGGATATTGGAATCGAAGATATCCTTACTGTCAACATGGTTACAATGAACTGATAAAACATGACAGTTATTTAAGACATTCACTTTCTTTGCTGATAGAAGGCCTCTAAGCCTAGAAAGAGGTTTTCCTTTATCATCACTGTTCTGTTCATAATATAACCAGTTGGGTCCTGGTGAGAAGCCTAACGGCTCTTTTATAAAATCATCTTCTTGAAAACTTTCAATGGGTTCCACAGTATCTATTGTTGCTCCAGTGTAACTATCTTTTCGTGTAGAATCCTCAAATACTTCCCATAAAAATTCTGAGGTCTCTTCATCAAAGAAAGCAGTTCCTATGGTAGTATCTCGAATTATCCAATATATTTCACAGCCTTGTAAAGCATATACCAGTTCAAGTGCGATTCCTCCGTTCCCTACGATTGCTATTCTATTACAAGAACGAAGAGCATTGCAAAGTCTCTCCAAACTAGTTGTATCTCGCAAAGTGAGGACTCTAGGATTATTTGGTGCTATTGACTTTGGAATAGCTCCAGTACATAGACATAGCTTGTCGTACAAATAACACGTTCCACTTTCCAAAGTTACTCTCTGTGCCAGAAAGTCAACGTATTTTACAGTTCCTATAATAAGTTGGACTTGGAGTGGTATGTCCTGTTGTTGTGCTTCCTCCACTCCGAAATGGAAAGTTCTGTTAGTTACTTGAACTTTCTGAAAGGCTTTTTTCACAACAGGAGAAGAAGAAATAAGCACTATATTTGCACTAGGCTGGAGCTTATATACTTCATCTACACAAGAAGTAGCTGCAATGCCACCACCAACTATAACAATCTTTTTGGGTTGTCTTCCCATAAGAACAACGCTTCATCATCATTGTTCTAACAATTGCATTTCTTGGTGGCTGTTGTAAGTGTGAGATTATGTTGTGTTTCTACCAAAAACATAGCATACCATCATTTTTAAGACTAGTACGAAAGAGTCAATCTTTCAATTATCGGAAATTCCCTTTTTCTGTTTCACCTAGTAAGGTTGGTGTCCGACACAAGCCCACTATGAAAACCAACGCAAGTGACTCTGACGATCCTAAAGTTTACTCTTCCTCCGAAAGTACCTCTCCGTCTATGGTATTGTGATACAAGCCATTCCATGTCGTTATGTACCTCAATACTAACTTAGTTTTTGCGACTACAAGAAGAAGCACAAGCTCCTTTCCGAAAGTTTCGAATGTTCATATACGGAGGAGCCTTTGTTTCTTCTGTAATTGGTTTTTTGATATCCTCTTTGCAGTTATTATCTGGCATCCTTGGTACTACTACGTCTTATCCGATAAGAGAATCAGTTTACAATATGCTTATCAACGGTATAGTAATAGCGACGGCTTCATTGCTCTATTTCTTCGACTACCAAGCTGGAAAGCAAAGGCTTGATCGTCTATCTGTATTGTCGAGCATTCGAATGTTGCCTGTGGAATATAATCAAAGGCAGTATCTCATTGCAGAACTTGAAAGCAGCCATGCCGTTGTTATTATTGCTGCAAAGGGAAAACAGTTAGAAACTATACTTTCTCAATTGAAGAATATTTCTACTCAATTGGAAAAATTCATCGTTGTTCCCTACGTTGTAAATATGTCAACCTTACCTTTATGGGAAGAATTCGATGGTTGTAAATGGCTTGGAAGAGCTTCCAATTTGTCTTCTTGGAATTCTTGGTATCTAAAGGAACGTGAATTTGTACCAAAGAACAAGGTTTGTAGATTTAGAAGAGTTTTTTAGGTGACAATAATGCAGGTTTGCTAGGTTGATGAACCGATAGTATTGTTCTTGAGGAAAAATGGAAAGTTTGGTTTCCGAGGGTACGGAAATCCTAATTGGGCTTATTGGATTTCTTCGATTCATTCAATTTGGACATAATAAATGCAAGTGACACCGATAGCACTTTCTGAGGTTGCACCACCACAGTATAATGAAAAAGTACAAGAACCAGATTTATTCTGTGTATGTCAACGTCCATATGTAGAAGGTCAACTCATGGTTGCTTGTGAAATCTGTGAAGCTTGGTTTCACCCTAGTTGTATTAACGTTTCTACAAGTCTTGTGCTTAGTCCCTATTCTTTGTTCTACTGTAACGGCTGCCACTCAAGTGGACAATATACATTTGAAGATATTTCAAAGGTGCGGAAATTGGGACGAACCTTGAGGAAGCGAAGTGCCTTGGACTATAACACGTCCCAAGTATTGTCCTTTGATAACTGCAATAGTGCTCTGTTGAAAACTGGTGAAGCTTTCTTACATTTTTTAAACTCCAGAGGATATGAACGTGCCAATATCGAAGAATATAACAAATTAGATTCTGACGCACTCCATTCATGGAATTCAAGTGGTCAAATCAAGCCAGTTCTAGTAAAAGACTCTACAGACTTGCAAATCGTGCAACCAAGTGTTTCAATCAATTTACATTTAATAGGTGAGCTTGTAGGAGACTCTTGTGCAGTTGAAGTGCTAGATGTGGCGACTCAATCGGAAGTATATCCACAGTGGACACTTGGGCAGTGGTTGACATATTTTCAAACTCGAAAAGACAAGCGGAAGGCAATTTTAAATGTTTTATCGTTGGAAGTGAGTCATACGAAACTTTCTTCATATATTCGCGCTCCAGTCCTGGTGAGAGATATTGATTGGATTCAAAATTCGTGGCCAAAGACACGAAAACAAAGTTGTCTCCATGAGTTGAACAAATACTTTAGTCAGAATCTATCGGAAAGTGAAAAGCAGAACAGAAAAATTCCTTTGATAACATATCCCAAGGTTCAGTTATATTGTCTCATGTCTGTGGCAGGTGCATACACCGATTTTCATATCGACTTTGGTGGAAGCTCCGTTTGGTATCACGTTATCTTTGGAAAGAAAATTTTTTATTTGATACGTCCAACTAAAAAGAATCTTGAAGCTTTCGAGCGATGGACTACGAGTCCCTTTCAAAGCTCAATATTCTTCGGAGATGAAGTAGATGAATGCAGTTGGATAATAGTTGCGGCAGGCAATACTTTTTTCATTCCTTCGGGATGGATTCACGCTGTTTATACGCCTGAAGACTCTTTGGTATTCGGTGGCAACTATCTTCATGACTTTGCTGTTACAAAACAATTGGAAATAGCCAATTTGGAAAGAAGAACAGGTGTGCCTGACAAGTATTTGTTTCCATTCTTTTACAAGAGCTGTTGGTATGCTGCAGCGAGAATGGTTGTAACATACTCTTATCTCCATGACCACATTTACTGTCTTGATGATATATTATCTCCCACTTATTTAAGTGAACTGAGTTTGAAGATATCAGGTAGAGATGTGGACCTACAGAGCGAAAGATGGAAATACGAAGCAAACAAACTTTTAAAGTACCTTCGAAACCATTCGAAACATATTACCAATGAAAGCTGGAAAAAGAGAAACCGTACTCGTTTTAGTAGCTTTTTGCCTCCCAAGGAAATTTTAAAACCTTTTCTGCTCTTAGATGTATTGGAATCTATTTGCCAACTGAATGTACACTTACAGTTAGTATCTTCACAAGTATAATAGCTATATAGATATATTTATATTTTCCAGTGGCATAACTGTAAATACAGCAAAGAGAATATCTATTTGAAAAGTGCAAGAATGGAAACATTTCTCAAGTCATTTGGATGACTCGACAGCAAATGAGTTGTCAAAGGGGTCATCCAGCAGAGTATATATTAGTGAATATAAAGAGAAAGAATGAAGGTTTCTTCCGCTGGGTTTTTGGAGCACATAACTCCAAAAAGTTGGTTTTAGAAAGGTTGAAGGAACTTCGACCTAGTTTGTTTGTGAGGGACGAAAAAGGATTGAAGTGGTTGGCCTATGTACCTCCACGAATATTGACTCACTATTGTGAGAATATGGATAACTTGAGACTAGAGACTTTAGTCAATGCAGCTTCTGACCTATTATCTCAACAACAGAAGGAGTGTCGACGACAGCAGTTTCTCAAACACGCTGTAGAAAAAGAGTGTCGTGTATACAGAGACAAGTTACAACAAGTAACTAATATTGTAAGAAATGTGCTTGAAAGTTATGGAGTGAAACGTACGAGTCATAACTTGGAAGCTTGGAGGTCGGGAGAGTCATTAGGAAGAGAACAAGAGGAAGGCGCGCCAAGTTCTTTATATGGTTCAGAAGATTGGGTTGACTTCACTCGACCTTGTTTCGATCGTTTGAGAGCTTGCTTGGAAGAGGTTATTAGCATCTGCGACACTTCGAAGGGTTCGCTTGGCGTTGAAGCATTCGCAGATGAAGTTTACGCGCAACCTTCGGAATATGTTTCGGAAGTTAGCAGTCTAACAAGTTCGTCTACAGTACCTTTAAAGAAAGGTAGAAATTTTTCTCAAGAGAAACAGTTCATGGATGGAAACAGTACTCATGAGTGGCTTTGGAAACATAATCGAGTTACTGTATCGCATGCTCATCATTATTCAGATCCGTTAGCTTCCACTAGCTATTGGACCAGTCCGAAAGTGACTTATCTGGAACAAGTGGATGGATGTGATATGGAAATGCATTCGCAAGATAATAGATCTCAATGTCGCTCTACTCAGAGTTCAAGATATCAACCAAGCTACAAGAGCAATAGTTCTGGAAAATCAGCACTCAAGACTAGAATGCCATGTCCAGACGTTTTGTTATATGGAGATAATGCAGAATTTGCTAATTGTAATAGTACGATAATACCTACGAAGAGTTTATCTGTTTCAGATAAACAACTGGATGAAGTGAAGTATACCAACTCATTGGAACAACCAATTTTTTATTCTGGTGGAGATCCTTGGAGTGTTTCTATGACCACTACCAATACTGTATAGTTTTCTGTTTCATGAAAAGCCAATTGATTTTTTTTCGAAATAAAACAAGTCCTCTTGTCTGACTACACCATTTCTTCATTCTCTTTTTGATAATTGTAATTGTAGTAAATGGCTGTGAATGGATCAACTTGTCGGTTTTTGCAACGAGTGCTTACCTCAGGCTATGGTATCCCAACTCAGTTGAATAGACATTTGTTTTGGACTCCAACTTCTTTTTTTAAACGTAGAAATTGCTTTTCAACAGGTCATTCTTCTATTCTCTTGAGCACTGTAGCTTCGCATATTTTAGAACAAGAAGAAATCATCAACAGTTTTATAAAAGACCCTGAAGAGTACAACGCATTGAGTGAGTTTCCAAAATACAAAAGAAACAACAAGTATAAGACCAATAGTCAGTCTTTGCTTGAAACTAAGGATAACCAAGATTTCGTGGCCGTGAAGAAGAATCCTCGAAGTCAGTATAAGAGAGGAAGAGTTGCCAAGTTGGTTATGCGTTGTGCTGGAGAAGTTCTCTGTGGAGAGACCAACTTTGGACACTTGATATTTTTGGAACAAGTAAAGGTATCGGAAGATCTATTGCAAGCCATTATTACTTGGAATGCGCGTTCCACTTTAGCAAGCGATAGTCTTATTGACTATGGTGCTCTTACTTGTCAATTGGATAACTTGTGTGGATATATTCAAATGCAAATCAGTCGTACTGCATCCTTAAGGAGAATACCTCGAGTCAAATTTGAGCAAAGTACATGATTGTTGGTTTATTTCCTTGTGAAGGATTCGATATACAAAAGTTATTGTCTAAAATGAAGAGCGTTTTCTCTTGTTTCGATTGGAATGATATTCTGAAGATGATTGCTCATCCAATTGTTTTTTAATATCAGAGCTATCCAAATAACATTGAACCGCCATTTGAAAGGCTTTCTTAGCAGCTTGTATGATAAGAGGATCCCGACTTTTGGAATATAGTCGTACTGTGTGTTCTTCAAAAACGTCGGGAATTAAATAGGAAACGTGTTCCCGGGGAATGTGAACAGGGTTTCGATCTTCCCAGTTACGAAAGAAAAGTACATTATCCTAGTCATCATGAGCTCAATGATAAAGTGTATTATTATACTTACAACTGGATTCTTCTCTTTCATAGCATAGTTCGCTCTCATATTTTGAACAATAATATCTTCAGGACGAAGATCGACTTGAGGAGTATTTTGATGACTAGTTACTTCTTCTTCTGTAATATCAGGAATATGCGAAGGCACCAACAATTCACACACAAACTTGTACAATTCCCTTTTACGAAGAGAATGTAAGATTTCTCTCGATTTCCCTAATGAAGGTTCTCTGCTGTGTTCAATAGAATACAGAATGGAGTCTGTCATTCTAACGAAATGTGTATTATCAAATATGGAATTGCTTATATCAAAATAAGCGTCGGCATGTAAAAGAATGTCCATCAACATGTAATCAATGGCTTTCGATGTACGATGGTTATAAACAATCTTATGAAGTTTGAAACGCAAGTTGAACATATCGTACTAAATAACGTAACAGATTATGTGATTGAGAATAATAATAGCATATACCATATTAAAAATTTCCTTTTGATGATAACAAATCCAATTGTCTACTACTCTACAATATTGCATCAACCGAGAATGATCAAAACCAAATTTGAGTCCTGTTGCTCTAGTATCGCGTACCTACGAAGACTTTCATGAATAAAATATTCAATGCATAGACGCAATATTACTTACGAGATAATCAAATTTGTCTACGTCTACACTATTGTACTTATTCGAAACAATTTGATACAGAAATGGAGGAACTAGAGAAGATTGACCCAAAGTAGAAGAACCTTGAATCAATTCTCCAATAATCCTCAAATCCTGCCTATCTATGTCTATAGAATTACTTTCTATCAAGTTCTCCAAGAGCTGAATACTGCGGTATTCATGCCTTAACTGAGGATATTCGTCAAGAGTCAAGGAACCAAACTTTTTTCTTAAGAAAATGTCGTCAAAGGAATGACTAAAAGGACCATGTCCCAAATCGTGACAGAGACCTGCTATTCTAACTAACTTACAATAGTTCTGAAACTCTTCATCGTTTTCGAATATTTCCGATTTTTGTTTATAATACAACTGCTCCAGTTGAGCTCCAGCTAGATAACAAACTCCTTTAAAGTATATATTCATAACATTCATAACATAAAGAGAGAACTTTAATACCTAAAGAGTGTTCAAAACGACAGTGAGTTGCCCCAGGAAATACATAATAACAACTTCCTAGTTGTTTCAAATCTCGTAGTCTTTGAAAGTGTGGAGTATCTATTACATCGACACAATATTCTTCCAACTCAAAGTGTCCATGAACCGGATCATTGATTACTTTATTACGTCTGAGACAAGTAGTTTGTGACTGAATAGGTAACCATTCCGAATTTTCTTGAGACATCCTTTTACACGCAATTTTGATAAAAGAATGTGGCAATGGCTTTCCAAGTTACCCAAAAGGAAGCTTTGGCATAAAACAGGTTTATGTATAGCCACTCTTACTGGACTCGAAAGTTTATGCCATGCGAGACTTTACTGTGAAGACAGTTCTAAAAGTATACAAGAAATAGAAAATGACTTTCGAGTAAAGAAAGCTATTTTGGAGTCTCGAGCAAAGGCCTTGTACCAACAAATCAGATGTTTAGAGTGTGGAAATGGTCAAACCATTGAGTATTCCGGGGCTCCTAGTGCGAACGAAATACGACAACTTGTCTGGGATTTGCTAGTGGAAGGTCACTCAGAAGAAGACATCAAGGGTGCTATAGAAGTGCAATATGGTCACCAGGTAACTTAGTAAAACACAGCAAAATAACAACATCAATATTAAAACTTGGTAAGGTTTGGATGACTCCACCACTGGATACTAGTCGTCTGTTTGAATTCAGTATTCCTTTCTTTGGAATTGCTGTTTGTTTGGGTTTATTATATTTTCGTTATTTCGCTCCTAAAAGTCCTCGAGTCTATGCTAGGCAATTAGCTAAAGTAGACATAGAAACTCCATATATTTATGAACGGCGTTTGATGGACTTGATAACGCCTCCTGGACGTAAGTAGTAAATATGAAACAATCGGTTTCCAAAATAGTATTCATTCGACGTCCGTTTTGAGAAATCTCCACTCGACACATAAGCGTTGGGATGGACCGTGACTCACTTGAACGCATACTTCAAGGCACTTTTAGTTCCGAGTCAAATGTTCGAAAATATTCCGAAAAATTTATAGAAGAACACAAGAATTCGATTGGTTTTCTTTCTTGTTTAGTACAAGTTCTTCAAGAGGAAGCGATAACTCTTGAAGTTAAGTTGGCAGCTGCAGTGCAAGTAAAAAATTTGGTCAAGTCTTCCTGGAAACGAGACAATTTGTTTATTCCTTTGCAAGACCAACAATATGCACTGGAAAACTGGGTAGTTTTAACTTGCCAATCACCGTCAAAGCTACAAGCTCCTTTAGCTGAGGCTTTTCAACGTTTGGTACGTGAAGAGTTTCCACAACGTTGGCCAAACTTGGTTCAATCTTTGGTGTTTGAAATTGGCAATAGCAATAATGTGAATCATTTGCGTGGTGCTTTGTTACTTTGTCGCATCTTACTCAAATCATACGAATGTTATTCCACTGGAGAGAATCAAGTTCAACAGGAAATTTATTTGAACAGCATCGTTTCTGCTCTATTTCCAACCATTGAACAAGTTATCCAAAAACTTTTGGAGAATCCAAGCAGAGAAGACTTTCAGGAACTTTTGAAGCTGGTGTCCAAAATCTTTTGGTCGGCAACCAGCGTAACCATTCCTGAGTACTTGAGAAGTATTCCAGTTTTTTCAAAATGGCAGCATTTCTTTCTCCATTTATTTGGATTGTCTCTGCCAAATGTCAATGTTGATGATCCTCAGTTGGTGCATTGGAAGACCAAGAAGTGGATAGGTCATATATTTTTACGATTCATTCAAAGATATGGTGACTCATCAGAAGTGAAAGATGAGGCAATGGTCGTATTTGCGAATCAATTTTCGGAATCTTTTTCGTTACCCATTATAGAAACTACGATTCATTTACTGGAATGGCCATCAAAAGGCAAATGTTTAGTAGAACGTGTAGCTAACTTGTGCATTTCAATACTGGAGAGTGCCACCACTCAATCAAAGTTATGGAAACCAATGAAGCCTCACATGAAGGAGATTCTGCAGTCCATTATTTATCCTTATTTGTGTTTCACTGATAAGGATCTGGACCTGTGGAGACAAGATCCTCAAGAATATATACGCGACTCTTTTGACTTTGTTCAGGAATATTTTTCAGCCCGTTCTGCATCTTGTTCCTTTCTCAGTACGGTTGCATGTGATAAGAGTTTCAAAGTTTTGGAGCCCTTATGGAAACTTTGTATGGAAATATTGCAACAATATTCAACTCTCCCAAACGAACATAAAACCAAAGAATTATTAGCCAGGAAAAAGTATGGAGTTATTATGGCAATTGGTAATATGAGGAGGAAGCTTTGTGGTTCTTCTCAATGGAGACAACAACTGAAGGTGCAATGTTTTGTGCAATTTGTTTATTATATTGTTTACTAACAAGAAGGAATAGGAAGTATTGAACAAATATATTATTTACGAGTTTCAAAGTCCCTTTATGTTTCTTCGAGCAGCAACATGTTGGCTATTGGGTGAACTTGCCAGTGAGGATGAATTTCCGTTTGATTCGCTTTCGTTAGACTGGTTAAAGAGTTATATAAATTGTTTGACTGATCAGGATATTGTCGTTCGAGTTCGTTCCATCGTTGGTTTGCAACGTTTGGTGGAACAAGACGCTATTGCTAACTTCCTGAGACCTTATGTAGGCCACATTTTACAAACAATATTTCAACTATTTGGACAAGTTGATCAATCCGAATTATTAGATACACTGGAGTGTCTCATAGAGAAGTATTCACAGGATTTGGCTCCGTATGCTACCGAAATTTGTGAGAAGTTGAGAGATGCCTTTCTGTTTTACATAGGAAGAATGGAAGGGGAAGAACAACGCTCTGAAGAAGAAGAGGAAATTTCTTTGAGTATTATAGGCTGTTTGAATGGAATCGACAGTATGCTGGAAACTGTGGAAGATGAACCAGACAAGTTGGAAATCATTTCTCATATACTTTTTCCAATCTTTCAAGGAATGTTTCACGAAGGAAGAGAAGAATATTTGGATGAGACTTTTATGATTATAGAAAGTATATTTATGTATTCCAAAACTGTCTCTGCTTACTTTTGGTCTTTTTATCCTTTGTTGTTTACCTGTGTGGAGTCGCATTCGGGGTTATCAAGTTTTTTGGATTCTATAGCATCATTACTAGAATGTTTTGTAAGATATGGAACCAAAGAATTCTTGACTGGTATGAGTAGTGATGGAATTCCTTACCAAAATAGAATGAAGAGCTTTGTGCAGTTTTTGCTTGACAAAACAGATAATATTGATCATGAAGCAGGCCTCGAATTGTTAGGAACTTTGTTGAGAAGTTGCAAAGATAGGATTACAGAACATTTGATATTCTATTTGGATATCTTCATTCATTCCTTAAGAAAGTCTACTTCTCAAGAGCAAGCTATGATGAACAATATGGGAGCTTTGGAAAACACGGTTTTATCGAGTTTCTTTTATAACGACTCCAGAACTGTATTTGAGTTGTTAGAGAAAGGTCGAATTTTAGAACAAGCAATACAAAGATGGATCGAATCCAGCAGAGACTTGGATACAAAAAGAGAGACGAAGATATTCGTTCTCGGAGCCAGTGAATTGATGGCAAAGGTTGCTTCACAACGTTTTGCAGAATATTCTTCACTATTTATTTTAGTTGGTACTCGGCTTGTCCAAATTCTGAATGATTCGCTGCTCAAAGCAGAACAGTCTGCAATTTCTAGAAGTAAGTTGAAGGGGTTACAGTTTCCAAAAGCGTATGTTGAGGAAGAGTCCGAAGAAATACTTGAAAGTGATGAAGAAGTGGAAAACAAAACATTTTCTGTTATTGAATCTTCTCTAGGAGGTTCTTTGGATAATGCATCGATCCAAGATATCATTTCCAGTTCGTTTGATTCGGAAGAGTGGGAGGTTAGTTCGGAAGATAGTGACACCCTAGAAAGTGTAGACGAGTTCGAATACTTTACAGAAGTATTTCAGTGGCTAAATACTGTTCAACCGCAAGTATGGTTGTCTTGTGCAAATAGCTCAACGGTGGATATGCAAAGTTTATTGCAAAAATTGGAACAGCAAAGAAAAGTGAAAGTGTCTAATCCATAAATATTTTTTAGTCTGTTAGATTTCTTGAAACGATGAGTCATTTTCATAGTAGCACACTTCAACTGGAAGGCAATGACTCCTTATATCCCATAGCGGTCTTAATAGATGAGTTGAAGAATGAAGATATGCAACTTCGTTTAAACTCCATTAAAAGACTTGGAACTATTGCTACTGCGTTAGGCCCTGAAAGGACGAGGAGTGAACTTCTCCCTTTTCTAAACGAGAACATAGATGACGAAGATGAGGTTCTTTTAGCACTTGCAGAACAATTAGGCAACTTTATAGACTCAGTTGGAGGACCTAAATACGCTTTCTGCTTACTTGATTTGCTGGAGACTTTGGCAGCCGTTGAAGAAACTGTTGTGAGGGAAAAGGCAGTAGAGTCTCTGAATAAGATTGTCGATGTTATGGCTGAAGCCGGTCAAACAGATGATGTTCTGAAATATTTTGTTCCGTTAGTTAAGAGATTAGCAAAGGGAGATTGGTTTACCTCTCGTATATCAGCTACAGGACTATTTCACTCTGCTTATAGGCACATTCCAAGAAACAATCAAACTCTCAAAGACGAATTGAGAAACTTGTTCAAGGAGTTGGCACAAGATGAAACGCCAATGGTTCGAAGGGCTCTTGCATCCAAGTTGTCAAAGTTTGCTAGTGTTGTGGAAGTGAAATACGTGGAGGACGAGGTAAGACTGTTGATAAGATTTTGCTTTGAACTATTCTGAAAAACTTTCAAGTTGATTCCAATATTTGTACGTCTTGCAGGAGATGAACAAGATTCCGTGCGTCTGTTGGCGGTGGAAAACTGTGCTGTACTTGCAAAGCTTAGTCCTGTGAAAAGTGAAGTTCGAGAAGAATATTTGATACCGATTGCTCGAGAGCTTGCAGCGGATAAGTCTTGGAGGGTTCGTTTTATGTTTGCAGATAAAATATGTGAACTTGCAGAGGGTTTGGGATTCGATGCAACTGTGAAAGAATTGGCTCCTTCGTTTTATAAGTTGATGGAAGATTGTGAAGCAGAAGTCCGTACAGCTGCAGCATTTAAGATTGCCTCTTTTTTTGAAACCATTTCTCGTCTGGATGAGAATATGACAGACAGCTCTTCAGTTGTTTCTGAAGTTTTTGAAAAATTATATTCGTACTCGAGAGATCTTTCATTGGATGACTCACCTTTTGTTCGTTCCGCATTGGCATCGAATATAATGTCTGTCGCACCGATAGTTGGTCCCGAAATTACTCGGGATACCCTATTACGAATGTTTTTGAAACTTCTTCAAGATGACTTTTCCGAAGTCCGATTGAATATCATCGGGTCGCTTGAAAAAGTATCTCAAGTCATTGGTATTGAAAAATTGGCCAGTGATCTTCTTCCTTCTATTGTGGAATTATCAGAAGATCGGAATTGGCGTATTCGCTATGCTGCCATTGAGTTAACTCCCACCTTGGCTCGTCAACTTGGCAAGTCATATTTTGAAAGTGATAAGAAATTGGGAATGTTATGTGTTCAATGGCTAAGTGATACAGTTTATTCAGTTAGAGAATTGGCTATTAAGAACTTGACATCTTTGACGGAGCTTTTTGGTGAGGAATGGGCCATCGAACATGTTTTACCTGCTATTGTTGCTCTTTATAAGAACTCAAAGAATTATCTGTATAGAATGACAGCTTTGCATGCAATGTCATCTTTGTCGAGTAAGGTACCTCAAGAAGTTGTTGAACAATTATTTTTGCCTTTGTTGGTGGAACAAGCATGTCGAGATTCAGTAGCCAATATTCGTTTTGTCGCAGCGAAAACATTACAAGATGTGGCTCAGTATATCAAAAAGGAAACACGAAGTAACCTTATTATACCTTGCCTTGAGAAATTAAATAATAATATGGATGAAGATAGTGATGTTCGATATTATGCCAATCAGGCCTTGATAGCTTTACAGTCATTGGTTTGAAGAACGGTGTAACGAAGACTTGAGACTGAGATTAACTTTTCAGACTAGTGCAGTATCCATTATGAATGAATAATTGGAAGACATGAAATGTTTATTTGTTTGTCCACATGTTTTCTATATACTGCTTTCGAAAATCTTTCTAATATAAAAATGTTTCTCATATTCCTATGGGAGTCGTGGTGATATTTATAGGTGGTGTTAGTGGAGTGGGAAAAACTACAGTTGCCAAGGAATGTAGTTGTAAACTTGGCAATTCTTGTTTTCTAGACGGTAAGAATACTTTGTCAAGTATTATGGTTGTTCGTAAAGTTGTGTTAAGCCGATGACTTTCACAGCATTGAAAATAAGCAAAAGATGAAACAAGGCATACCTTTAAGTGATTCAGGTAACACTGAGAAACTTTCAAAGATTCTTTAGTCTAAAGAAGTACTTACAGATAGGAAGCCTTGGTTGGAAGAATTGATTAAAGTAATCGGGAAACAAGCCATCGAATATGAAAGACAAGAGCCAACGAAAGAGTATTTTATATTCTGTGCTTGCAGTGTACTAAAGTTATCCTATCGACAATATCTAAGAAACTCCTTACAAGGATGGGTGGATAGATGTATTTTCTTTTTGTTATCTGCAAGAACACAAGTTTTGTTGCAAAGACTGCATACAAGACTAGGCCACTTTATGCCTTCGACCTTGTTGTCAAGTCAATTGGAAGCTTTGGAACTTTTAACAGAAGAAGAAAAAGCTTTGGGAGATAAACACTATGATACTTCAGACCAACCATTGCTGCAACTAGTCTCTTGTATCGTCAAGCAGCTTGAATCAGAACTCTAGAGTCTTCAAATACTATCTTTACTATGGAAGGCAACAGAATACATCACAATAGTAAAAAAAAGATGGCTATCTTGTTCTAGTTGTCTCTTTGTAAATAGGATAGTATCTGTAACAAGTACATGAATAAATTGATAACGTCTAAATACAGACTGATTGCTGCTAATATATACTCATCTGGTGACAACCGATTGATCAATAGAGACGTATCAAATAGAATATAACCACAGAACAGTAAACTTCCCATGACAGATATGAGAAATGAGAAACCTGGAGAAAAATTTCCGGTCCAACCCAATAACATGTTTATCATTGCTGCTCCAAACAAACAGAGTAATCCTGCCCATAAGAAGCCTCCAAGAAAAGAGAAATCCTTCTTGCTATAAAAACAATAAGCAGTGAGACTGGTAAATACCAAAGCTGTGAGTAAGAAAGCTTCAAATACGATAACACCTAGACCAGCAGAACGAAACAAGGCACAAATTGTTGCCACCATGAAAGACTCTCCAAAAGTCTATAAAATATGTGTTGTTCAATAACGTTGGTCTTGTAAAACTATTTTCTGTACTTACAAAAATCCCTAACAAGTACATATTTTTGGGATGCTGGTTCTTATAAAAGACAAGTGCGAATAAGGCACCCATTGTTGCAAGTAGTCCAATCCATAAGAGCCAAGGATTCCTCAGGACCACCATTGAAATACTTTGGTTCAACATAAATAGAGAGGAAAGAAAAACAGTGAAACCCAGTTGGAGTGAAAGAATCCCATAAACCTTGCGAATAAAGCCTATAAAAGAAAACAAATATTCAGAGTCGCAATTTTTAGCCTTGCTTGTCAACTAACATACCTAGGCGTACCATATGCATGGAAGTGGCAACACTCGTGCCATATTCAAAGTCCTGACCATAATCTGTTATACCCTAAAACCCGTGTAAAAGACTATCCCTAAATGACTCAAAGTTTTTTACCACCTGCCCAGTTTCATAGTTGGGTTTCTTATCCATATTCTCCGAAGGTACAGGAATAACTGTTTCATAATTCATCTTAAGTCTCCTCTAAAAATTCCAATCCGAATCCGAAAGCATTTAAATTGGAAAAAGAAATGCGTCATAAGAAGCGATTGTTGCTCTCTCTCTCAACTCACAGCTTAAAAGACAAAGATAACTTCATTTTTATTTCTTCTTTTTCACTTTCCTATTATCTTTTTTCATTCTTCTATCGACATACTTTATTTTGGCTCCTTTGGGAACTTTTCTATTCTTACTCACAATCATTTTACCACCTCCCGGACGCAAAACTGCATATGCTACTTGTCTCTTATTCTTCTTGTTTTTACGGACTCTTTTAAGTATATTCTGAATAGACTTATCTTTTTCTTCTTTCGAAAGTTCCGTTTGCGACTGAACTCTTTCAATTTCTGCATCTAAACGACGCAACTTGCGAGACTCTTTTCTCTTCTTTCTCCACAAAGCTTCTTGCTCTTTCTTATTAAGATATTGAGCATATCTTCCTTCCAACGCTGCCTTTATCTCTTCAACTCTTTCTTCGGATGTTACTAAAGATGCTCGTCTATATTTCTTCTCTTCCTCCAAAAACCATTTTGGAGCATATTCGTCATCAAATACATGACGATTCCAAGCATCGTCCATCAACTCCTGTCGAGATTTCTTCCTAATCATATTAGAAGCTAAAGCCAAAGCTCTTGCCTTGTCATCCATACTTAGTTCGTCTTCTTCCTCGTCACTCGATTCGGATGAGGAACTGGTTTCATCGTCTTCATGAACATCTTGTTTACTTTGCTTGTAAGAATTTTCCCTTTTATCCAGAGCATTCGATTGACCTTCTTCACCTGTCAGCTCGTCCGTAAATAATGGATGTGAATACCATCGATTCGTGATATGTTCGGTATTTGAAGTATTTGCGTCTTTGACTACATTCACTGATTCTAGTGTTGAAGAATCCTTCCGTTTTTCTAAACGCTGTTGATGCCATTGATCGACTTCTTCATTCAAATAAGAGAGATAATCCTCTCCAGAATAGGAAACGTATTTTTCTTTCTTATTATCTTTTTGAATCTCTTCTGTTTCATCATTATCCCTAACTTTCAAGTCTTCTTCTGCCAGATTCTCCAAAGAATGAGTCAAATTGGGCAAAGAGAACAAATTACTTTCAGTCATAGAGTCAGCAAGATTAGAAGAATAGAGTTCACCAGTTTCCAACATTCGCTTTTGACGTTTGCTTAACTTCAACAAAGCCTTCTTCTGCTTACGAAGAGAATCCTTTTCTTGCTTGCTTATTTGCTTTTTTTCTATATCGAAATCTGAAGACACTGTAGAATCTTCATCCCTAGGAAGATTTTCTTCTTCGTTGGACTCTTCCGGAGACTTTTTATTCTTGTCCAATTCCTTCAACACGGCTTTTCTCCAATGCAACAATCTTCGTTGGTCCTTGGGTCCTAATACCTGTAAATCTTTGCAATTCTCTAATACGTCTGCACTAGTAATAGCTAATGACTTTATATACTGAGCTTGCCCCTCTTCACCAAATTCTAAAACATGAGTGTTGTTCAGAATATGAATGGGCTGGGAACTTTTGATGAAATCCAAAACAGAACATTTACGAAAGAGATTTGTACCATTTTCTTCATCATATCCAAGTCTGTTTCGTTTTTTTTGATGAGGAAATATGAGTCGGTTGCTTTTCTTGGTCTTTGATTGTTCATCTTGTTCCTTAAAGACGGTTCGAGGATCCAACAGTTTTTGATCAATTTTTTTCATATCTTTGAACTTGGTACAAATGACATAAATTTCAGCCGACTCTGCTCTGGAAGCTTGTGGCTTTGTAGAAAACACTTTACCAAATAGTTGATTCATTACATACAAAAGTGAAGTGTATTCACTGGAACGAAACACTTTTGCAACGAAAGAGCCATTAGGACTAAGTAGCGAAACGGATAATCGGAGAGCAGCCAACGTCAACTCTGATTGTGTATAAGCGTCCTGTAACCACGCTGTTCCCATACTTGGCGAGCCATCACATAATATCACATCCGGTCTAGTGCCCTCGAGTGCTTTTCTTATAGCACCAATACAGCTTTCTTTAGTAATATCATGTGTCAGACAAGTAGTTCCTGGTATAGGACGAATGGGAACGATATCAACTCCGACACAAACGCAAGCAATGGGAGTTTCTTTACGAGCAACCTGAAGCCAACCTCCTGGAGCTGCACACAAATCCACTACAGCTCGAGCTGAACCCAACAAGTCATATTTTCTATTCAGTTGTATAAGTTTAAATGCGGCTCTTGAACGATAGCCTTGTTCTTTTGCTAAATGATAATATTTATCTAATCGACGTTTTCCAACTTTACTTTTCGTCATCCGAAATCAAAACTATCATCGACGTTGTATGCAATTCACAAAAATCAAAACTATCATCGACGTTGTATGCAATTCACAAAAATTTATAGTTTCAGTTCACTCACAAGTTGACCTTCTGGTGTAGCCCCAACACGAAAACCCAAAACAGTCCCAAATAACCGTACTCTTTGATCTATTCCAAACGAACTTGATGTTTGCCACTGTGGACAAGCATTGGTCTTACGAATATCCACATTGCCGTATAAACGAGTGTCGTGAAATTGGCCTAAAGCTATTAAACGGTCTATTTGGAATCCATGAGAAGTGTGTCCTTCTGTGTTTGCCAGTGCTTTCCACTAGAAGAAAAAGAAGAAGAATTAATTTATACAATCAATCTTGAACACCTAGGAACGACTTACCATAAGCGCACCCTTGGTTCTTTTCTCGCCACCACCCAAGTCAACTAGTTGGGTAGATAACGAAATTTTACCCTTTGGTTGATATTCGAGTCTTGAAAGATGGGAAAGCTTCAACAACTTATAGCCTATAGAAACTTTACTTGGTAACTGGCAATCAAAAAACTTGGTAAAGAAGTCAGTATTCCAAGTTCTTCTTAAATAGAAACATAATGCGTGACTTTCGACATCTACAAAGTTTGCTAAACTCAGTTGATCATATAATATTCCTTCCAAAGGCAAACGTTGACGAGCAGTCTTATGTTGTTTGGAAGAAGAGTTGGTCATTGCCATGTCAATCAATCCAACAAAATCAATAGAAACCAAGTGCAATTAGGAAATATTGCTTTCTGTTGAAGACTCTGAAACGGTTTGAGGAATTTCACTCTCAACTGTATTCTTCGACAAAATAGCCATTCCTGAACGCTTCACAGCTAATACTCCTTGACCTCTATCTAAACTGGTCCTCAATAGACAAGCTTTACAAATGTTCTGACTGGAAATACTTCCACAACGAATACATTGTTGACCAACTCTCGTTTTGGAGTCTTCCAACGAAATACAGGATAATGAATATAAGATATCAGATATTGAATGAGGACGAATCCTTTCCAAACTCTTTAGATATTCCCTCGCATGACCTCGATAAGCAAAAGGTGCATAAATACATTCCGTTGCAAAATACTTTAGTTTCTTAAAGTAAGCATACATTACTATTTCCTTTTCATATACTCTTTTCAAAGGCTTTACTCGACGAATCTTCTTCGAATCGCTATCGATACTCATGCGATAATTAGCGTTCTCTTCCATAACACTTCTCGAAAATCTTGCATGGTCTCCTCTCAAAAGGTTGAGCAATATTGTTTCCGCTATATCATCCGCATTATGTCCAGTTGCAAGAACATTAGCTTGAATCTTTTCGGTTCCTTTATCGAGAGCTTGTCTACGAAAAACACCACAAAAAGTGCAATTGCTCTTTCTTCCAATTTGGGAAACAACTTGATCCATAGTCCAATTATACAGTTCACTATAGGATAGAGTATACAAAGGGAGATTGTAATCATCTCTATTTTGTTCAACCGTTCTCAGAGAGTCGTCTCTATAGCCTTGTATTCCTTCATCTATGGAAAGCAACCACAAGTCCCAATTGTAATAATACCTTTCATTCAGGAGCTTCAGGACATAAGCCAAAACAGTCGAATCTTATATTCCTTTAGTATATCAAAAGGTCCTTATTCTTCTCTATTTACCTTTACCACCAGAAGCACCTATGGCTATCCGTTCGCCAGGTTGCAACAAACACTCTTCAACAATAGTACGATGAACTGTATCTTCAAAATATTCAAAAAAGCAACAACGACACAAGTATTTATCTTCTCTACCAACTAAAATATTTGCAAAAGACTTTCCACAATGACTACAAAGGCGTTTCATATAAAACCAAGACGGCCACTAAAAAGAATTGGATTGTAGTTTTAGGAATTCATTGTTAAGATAGACTTGGAATGCCAGCACCTTTTATTATACATACGAGTAATGGACATAAGATATATCATGTGAACAATAACACTTCACAAGAGAAGCCAGACTGGTTCAAAAATGCTTCTGAGAAAAAGCGTAAAAGAGAACAAGTCCGACGAGGAGGAGTTGAAATTTTACAAGACTTTGAGTTTCCTACTTTTTGTTCTAAAGTAAAGCAATCTTTAGTAAGTGAAAAATATTTTTTCTAGAAATGGGTCGAATTTTGTTGAACTTTTATAGGATGGTAACTATATTGTTGCCATTGGTGGTTATCCTCCCCAAGTGAAGGTTTATGATGTTCATCAAGTCTCTCTAAAGTTCGAACGCCATCTGGATTATGATATGATAGACTTTCAAATTCTTGAGGAAGATTGGAAAAAGCTAGTTTTTCTTTGTACAGACAGAAGATTAGAGTTTCATTCCCAAGTAAGTGTTTAGTTATTGCCGTGTACTTGGATGAATCGAAATCCTCTCAGTATGGCTCTTATTATCGTGCTCGTATACCTAGAAATGGAAGAGATTTGATGATTGACCGACATACGGCGGATTTACATATAGTAACGAGTGGCCCAGAAGTATATCGATTCAATTTAGACCGTGGACAGTTTATGTCTCCGTGGGAGACTTCACTAAGTGAAGGTATTCAAGTATGTGGATTGAATCCAGTTTATTCTATGATGGCATACGGAGGAGAAGATGGTTGTTTGGAAATTTGGGATCCTCGTTGTCGAGAGAGAGCAGCGAAGTTGGATATCGCAACTTTTATTTCAGTTTCAGACGAATATGCAAACATTGGAATAAGTAGTCTTCGTTTTGATGAGATGGATGGGATATCTATGGCTATAGGTATGGCCTCAGGACATTGTCTCTTATTTGATATTCGTTCTTCCCAACCACTTGTTGTGAAGAATCAAGGATATGGATTGCCGGTGGAAGGAATCAAATTTCATTCCCAAACTCGCAATATTCTTTCACATGACAAGAAAAGTATAAAAATATGGCAACGTGGAAATGGTCACAATTTTGCTACAATGGAATTGAATACGGATATTCATCACACATGTCTGATTGGAGATAGTGGATTACTGTTTGCAGCTACAGAAGATAGACCCATACATAGTTATTATATTCCTTCATTAGGAACTGCACCAAAGTGGTGTTCTTTCTTGGATAATCTTACGGAAGAATTGGAAGAAAAACAACAAAATGTGGTTTATGAAAATTATCAATTTGTGACACGCAACGAGTTGGAGTCCATTGGTTTACAACAATTGATAGGAAGTGATCTTTTAAGGCCATATATGCACGGATTCTTTAATGATTCTGAAGACTCTATCGCAAGGCCAAATGATGATAGCTGATCCTCAGGAATATGAAGAATATCGAAAACAAAAATTGCCAAGAAAAACTTGATGAAACATATAGTTCCAGTAGAATTGCCAAAAGACCTAAATATCCAAAAGTCAACAAGGAGACGTGGAAGCAACAACCTAATTCTTCTATTCTACAAGATTCCCGATTTCAAGCTATGTTTGAGAATCCTGATTTTGAAATTCAACAAGATAATGAAAGATATCGACAGATACATTCATCAAAATCCCACAAAACGACTAGGAAACCGAATCCTTTGCATTCTCCGAAAAATAACGATATTATTCATGGTAAGTATTTTATTATTCTTTCCAAAACTTATAAAGAACTGGATATGTTATAGATGCCAATGAGGATCATTTGGTTACCAAAAAGGAACAGCAATATACGAAAGAAGAACAAAGGTTACCATTATTGGCTCGATTAAGTAAAGGCCTTATTTCATAACATATCATTTGGAGATGATAGTGTCGAATATTTATAATGATGTATCCAAAAATGAATGTTGGAGAGCCAAGGAGATGTTGACAAGAGAGAATTTTCATACCATTGGAAGAGACGAAAAGCTATACTCTTTTCTGTATCGTCTTCTTGGGACTGAGTACTTAAAAAGTAAGTCGTTTTGTTTGAACAACTCTTTGGAAGAATAAAACGAGGCCACATAAAAACTATCGTCCATGCAAGAATTGTCCTTTGAGATACACTCAATTGCTCTATTTGCAATAAACTAACGAGTCGTTCAATAAGAATCCATAAATGACGACTCGAAACTTCATTTTGCGACAAGGAGAAATGCAACAATAGTAACCAAGTTCTACCCACAACTGCCAAAAGGACTAGAGAGGATTGCCACAAGGGAAAGAAATCTACACTCAGTCTTAACCATTTCCATATATGTTCTCCAATGACCTTTTCATAACATTCTTTTGGGGGTTGTTCAAAAACATAAATACTTAATAAATAACCAACCATAAGTTGTATCCAATCATTCACTTCATTCACATTGGATGAAAATATCAACTTGTTTTGTTGATATTTCCTTTCCAATGCTAATAGTAACCAATCTAGTCTATGAGGAGAGTGATATATGTTGAGAGGAGTTTGGGTATTATGATAACCTATTTTAGAAATGAATGAAAATGGTAACCATCGGAGAATAAATAAAACAGTTTCCGATAGTAACTCATCATGCCTTAAAGAATGGTTTCGATTCATTTCTTGAATCCAGTCTCCATTACAAGTTTCTCTCATCCAAAGGAATAAACTTTCCATCTTATTTCTATACGAAGTGGTTGAATGAGGTGAAGAATACATGAAAAACAAGTCCAAATAAAGTGATAAGATTGCTTCTGAATAATGTTGCAGCTTGTAGATTTGTACAACACTCATCAAAATGCCTTGAAACCTTTCCCACATTGTACAACGACGAGCCGAACATTCCGAACAACCAAAGAATCTCAACAACATATATTGAATATAAAGTGGCGATAACCGATTCAAATAATTCGAGCTATTACTCGAAAATTGTTTTGTAATATCCATTTTCGATAACAACACTTCCAACATGACTATGAAACTTCCAACCATTCTCCAACCATGGCTATTCAAATATACGCAATCCAACAAATACGAACACACCGAGTCCACTAAATGTGAAATCGAGTTGCCTTGAAGTACATATTCAACACTTTCGACCAACACATTGATCAAATCCCATTCACAAATACTCCTTTGAATACTTTCATAAAGATGACTTTGAATATCTTGCATGTTCACTTCATTAGGCTTGGTACAAGGTTGAAAATTTTTCTTGCAAGTCTCAAATATAGTATTCAAGACATGAAGAATATCCTCATCCTTACAAGTCGCTACTGACAACTTGTTATAATGAAGGACTGCCTGGTAACTACAACTTGACCAAAAGTAAAACTGCTCTAAATGACATTGACCCCAGTTATAAACAGCATTGTATGTTCTAGAAAGAGAATAATCCTGCGAAACAACTGGTTTTGTTGTTTCGCTTGTACCACAACTGTGTCTTTTATCAAGGAGTGAGGAGGATAAACCCACAAGAGAACTATTACTGTCATTGTCAAGTTGTTTGGTGTCCAATGAAGAACATTGCTGACTATTTATGTCCATCAATACGTCTAAAACATGTGACAATATACTAGATAACAATGTTACCATTTGTAGCTGACTTTCATCCGAAATATTAGTCAACACAGAACCATACAACTGAAGGAAAGCTTCTGCTTCTTCAACAACTTGATACACCTCAAGTTGTGTCCCACTAGTAAAAGGCGCCATTTCATGAATACAAATAGATACTCGTAGTTTGTCAAGTTTTACTTTTAAAGTTTCTAGTTTCTCCAATATAGACTTTTTATGTATTGAGTGGTACAGTTCCATACTCATCCCATAATATTGGTTTGTGGCCATTCCGTTGCTTTGTTTGGTTCCTTCTGAGTGAACTGTCATAAACTAAAAGTAAGTGTTAGACTTTGTTTGTGTGTTTCAGAAACTAAGAGAAGCTTTGGTTTCGTGAAGTTTGGTGGGGTTCTTCTTATGAAAGTTAATATAAAGGCTTCGACTGGAGGGAAGTATACCATTTCTGTTGAAGACCTGAGCGAAACTGTGGGTTCCTTCAAAGGCCGTTTAGCAGAACTATGTGGAATTCCTGCAGAGAATCAGCGTCTTATTTTCAAGGGTCATATATTGAAGGATGTTCAGACTATGAACGACTTGAAAGAGAAGCATGGCCTTGAAGATGGTCAGACAATGCATTTAGTTCGAGGAGCAGGTGCAAGTGGAGGACCCAACAACACAACCTCTTCAAATAGTGGAGTTCAACCAAACACAGCTTCTCATAACCAGTCCTTGGGATCTTCTTCAGGGAATTGGAATACTTTTAGTACTTCACAAACAACATCGGGTAGCAATGCACAACCTTTTAATATGTTTGGAGGCAATTCTACTCCAAGTGGAACTAATTCTTCAGGACTTCCGAATATGGAATCCTTTGGAAATATGGCCAATGTACAACAGCAACTGATGCAAAATCCGGAACTTATGAGACAAGTTATGAACTCTCCTATGATGCAATCTCTTTTACAGAATCCAGAACTTATGCGCTCTATGATGATGAACAATCCTCAAATGAGACAACTTATGGAACAGAATCCAGAATTATCTCATGTCATGAATGATCCACAAGTACTGGTAAGTAACAATACAATTACTTGGCTCTTTTTACGAAACGAGTTATTTTTAGAGACAAGCTATGGAAATGGCAAGTAATCCTTCTCTTATGGCTGAAATGATGAGAAATACAGATAGAGCAATGGCCAATATTGAAATGATGCCTGGTGGATTTGATGCCTTGAGACGTATGTATTCCAATATTCAAGAGCCACTTTATCAGTCAGCCTCTGAGATGACTGGAAATAATGAAAGTACAGACAATACATCCGAAGCAACTGCACCAACATCTCAAAGTAACCATTTTACAGCTTTGAATAACGACAACAACAATAATCACAATAATGCTTCAACCAATTCTGGAGCAACTTTCAATCCTTTTGGAACGTCTTTTCCTGCTGTCGATCCGAATACGATGGCAACTCTTTTAGAGAATCCTGGTGTGCAACAAATGTTACAAAATATGTTTTCAGACCCTTCAACCGTAGAATCAGTTCTAATGAGCAATCCTCAGCTTCGACAAATGGTGGAATCTAATCCTCAGATGATGAATATGTTGAGAAATCCCGACTTTCTGAGGACTATGTCCAATCCTCAATTTCTGCGCACTATGTTTCAGTTACAACAAGCCTTTCAATCGTCTACCAATCCAAATACGGCAACATTTCCTTCATCCACCAATAGTAATAACATGAGTAGTACGACTTCTACAAATACTTTCCAATCCAACCCTACTGTTAGTTCTACACCAGACATGAGTTCGTTATTTTCCTTTTTGGGCTCGTCATCCTTTGCCAATAATGCATCGTTTGTTGATCCAGCAATTGCGAATATGAATGAAGAACAGTTGGAACAACACTTTCATAATCAGTTGGAACAGTTGAGAGAAATGGGCTTCTTAGATAAGCAAATGTGTTTGGAAGCACTCAAGTATACCAATGGCAATGTTGCTGCAGCAGTAGAAAGATTATTGAATCAGTTTGGTGGCTAAGATAAATGTTATGCTTTCAAAGCCCAAAAAATTGTGTTACTTTTCTTGAATAATTTGGGACGAACGATTGATGATTGATTGTTCAGTTCGCTTCGCCTATTAAAACATCTTAGATGATTCAAATAAGAACTGTATTAAAAGTATTGGATAATTCAGGACCTAAAACAGCAAGATGTATAGGAATTCTTGGACCACCAAAGAAGTTTGCTTCTGTAGGTGATAAGATTGTAGTTGCTGCAGAGGGAAAAGTCTATCACGGTATCGTGGCTTGTTGTAAAGTAGAAAAGAAGAGAACAGACGGGTCTTTTGTAAGAATTGATCAGAATGGAGTTATTCTAGTGGATTCGAGTGGGAAGCCTGTGGGTAATCGAGTATTCGGTGTTTTGAGTGATAGAGTGAAGCAACCTGAGATACTCTCCTTGGGACGCGTCAAAACCATTTGAGCTTTTAGTTGAAAATAATATTTACTGTTGGATAGTTTGATCTGAAACAAGTAAAAACTTTGCCTGTAACCAACGTCGAGTCATATTCTTGTTTTCCTTTCGATTGACAACTGCTTTGGTATGCGTTACCAACTCCAAAGTTTCCCAGTGACTGGATGGAAATAAAGATTGCAAAAAAGATTCGGTGAAATAATAAGCCAAAGTTCCATCACCTCGAAGATACAAGTTTCTATCTACACAGTTCTTAGGATGTTGCCGAATTTGTGCCAAGTCACCAAATGCGTAGTCTCTAAATAGCACTTTCCCTGTTCCTGGTTTCAATAAATTTTGAGCCAACTTCACCGTATACTTCATATCTTCAGGAGACTGTGCCGATAAAGTCCAAAATAAAGTGATGTAATCGATAGAGTGTGGAGGTATGATTTGATAGATTTTCTGTTCATCTTCGGCTGCATCAGCTACAAAGGCATAGACACGACGACAATCATATTCCACATTATCTCGTAACAAACGTATAGCTTCTTCACTAAAGTCGATACCAAACACAAAAAGATTGGGATTGGCTCGAATGAGTGGAAAAATACTATTACCAACTCCGCAACCAACTTCTAAAACTATGGTATATCGACATAACCTTAGTTCTTCTACAGTAGGAGGCTCCACACATTTTTGTCCTTGCAACTGCACAGGAGGATGCCAAGTTTTTGGTTCAACACCTGCTGGCAAAAGTTCTGGAAAAAAGTAGCGCAAGTTGTAACGATTCTTGAAGAACTTGTTTTGTTTCGTGGAATAAAAATGGTTCCAATCTTTTCTCGTGGTAATAGTTTGTAAAGTCCCTTGTTGGGAATGACTTTCTAAATATTCAGCTATTTCATCACTTTCGAGTTGTGCTATCGACAACGCTTTCAGCGAACGAGATGAATAATTCTGAAATGACATCGAGCAAAAGTGCAAATGTTATTTGGCTTCCTTCACCAGAAAGTGAATATGAAGGAGACTGGTTAGAAGAAAATTTTGTAGACAATTATTATTCTTCTTCAATTATCGAAGAAGAGTCAGATAACTGTACAGGAACAAAATTATTTCCAGGTGAGGAAACAATAGTTTCCTTTGTCCAATGTTCTTCGGTAGGTTTGCGTCTCATATTTGTTTCAATCTTTTGTCAAGAAAGAGAACAGTTGTTGCTTTTGGATGTTGGTTGTGGTAGAAAAGGAAGTTTATCTCATGTGGATTGGAAACCTAGGTCACTTCCTTTATTGTGGTTGGGAGTTGACAAATATAGAGATACCATTTATCAGTTTCTGAGAGTTGCGAAGAAGTCTCATATTATTTTTGAAGGAATTGTAGCAAGTGCTTGTGCGTTGCCTTTTCGTGAGGAAGTTTTCGATACTATTTTATGTCAAAGTGTATTGCATCACTTTCCCATTAAATACAAAAGACAACTAGTGTGGAAGAATATTCAGGCAACTTGCCTTTTGAAACAAGCGTTCTGTATTTATTTGACAGTTTGTGCTTATGAACAAGAAGGAAAGAGACTAGCTTCACAAGATGCTTTGGTCTCTGATATTAAGGAAAGAGTATTATTTTATCACTTTTTTAAAAGAAATGAACTCGAAGAAGAGTTTCCTCATTCGGAAATCATAACTGAAAAAGATCAACATGCATTGATATATTCTTCAAAGAATGATTTCTTCTTCAACAATGGAATCACAAGAAGACGATCCCATATTAGTCCGACGTGCTTTGGCTAGAGAAACAAACCTAAAAAACTTGTCAAAGAGAATAGCCAGTGTTTATGCTCTTTGGTGTCGACTGAGACAACAGGACTCGTTGCAAGCACAACAACAAGACGAACTTTCTACTCTTTGCACTGCACTGTGGAAAGATTTGTCTCGTTATGAACTAAACTTGAAGAAGTTATTATTAGTAGGGTAAGGAATTGAATATTGGCTTTTTGAATATCTTTAAAGAACGTGTAGGAAAACGACGCTTTATGAGGACCAACAGTTGCAGAGCACTGAGAGACAGATCCAAAAGGATATTCAACGAGTTCAACTGGAAGTAGAGGAGCTTAAGAGACAGCTACAGGTAGAAAGAACTCAACGTAGAAGAAAGGAAGAATATAGTTTAATTGCTTCCTCTATACTGGAGTTGCCAGATAGAGAGAAGTTACAAGAAGAGTTTGAACAAACCACGAAACAAATTCAGCAATTGGAAGAGCAGAAACAACAATTGGAGTATGAAAAGGAGCAGCGTGCACGACAGTTTCAACTACTTTTACAATCGATAAAAGAGCTTTCTAGCGAAACTGATGATGGTTGGTACAGTTGGTGGAAGCACTGGTTCGCAAGTAATACAGTACAACAAAACTCCTCAATCAGTTCTTATGAATCAACATGGAACAAGGAAAATGAAAGCGTTAGAATGGAAGACTCTTAGAGTCCTTGAAAAGTCTACAGATATCAACAGTCACATTGAACTTGAATTTTATGATTTTGTTATTAACTTATGAATTTGCAGTTTGGTTGATAAGTATATGGCAAGATTTCAGAGGAATGACGGTTCCCCACTGTTTTCTTCTTCTTCTTCATCATTGCTGGTTGTTCTTTCAAAGGATGAGAGTTAGAATCAAGTCTTCCGTGTATACTTCTGCCAAGAAAAGGTTCCAATTTTTGGCTTTTAATAAATCAGAACCTTGGAAGTATGGTTATAACAAACTACGATATCTTCAAGGAGAAATAAAAAATAAAAAATGGTTAAGCCCCGGACACGTTACGTCGAGGAATGACAAGAAGTGGCACCAAGTTCGTCACAAAAGTGACTTCAGCACCATCCGTAAGGAAGACGAGAGACTCCAGGAATAGTAAGAAAGTTCCAGTAAGTGCAATGTTTTCCTCTGGAACAAGAAGAAACAGTGGAAACCTCAAGTGGAGGAAATGTAGTGAAATTGGGAGCTTTTATTAGAAACTCTCCGTATGAAAACCAGTCAGTAAACAAACCAATTTGAATCTGACCAGTTTGCCGAATTCTGCACTCTAAAGGAACTCGTCAACTTCATAATCACAGCTAGGAAGAGTTGCTTATAGGAATACTGGAACCATCTTCTGACCATCTACTATGAAATACTCCCTCTTTATCCAACCTTTTATAAGTATGAGCACCAAAAAAGTCACGTTGAGCTTGTATAAGTTGACTACTGGAAAGTATCTCTTTTCGACAGCTGTCATAATAGGAAAGAGCGGAAGCCAAAGCAGGAACAGGAATCCCCAAAAGAGAAGCACCAGAAACCACTCGTCGTAAAGCTGTTTGGCAGTTATTCAAGTCTCTCACGAAATGCTCATCTTCTAATAAGGAAAGAAGATTAGGTTGTCGCTTATAAGCTTCTTTAATGCGGTCTAGAAATCTTGCTCGAATAATACAACCACCTTTCCATATTCTTGCAATCTCTCCACAATCCAACTGCCATTGCTCATCTAAAGAAGCTTTCTGAATCAATGCCATTCCTTGTGCATAACAACAAATTTTGGCTGCAAAAAGTGCCTTTTCCAACTCTGAAATCAAAAACTCAAAGTCATTCCAACCATAGAAGCTTATGATAGTATTTCGTTCTGTAGTTCCAATTCCATGCAGTTGACGACTTAATGAAACGCGCAAGTCTTTCAAAGAAGATAAGTATCTTGCATCTAATGCCGCAGATATAGTAGATATTGGTATTCCTCTTTTGGCGGCTTCTTGAATAGTCCACATACCAGTTCCTTTACTTCCCGACTGATCGAGTATTCTGTCCACAACAAGGTTATCCTTTTCCTTGAATTGTAATATCTGACTGGTTATTTCTATCAAGAAAGACTGCAAATCACCTCCATTCCATCGTTCAAATATTTCATACAATTGACCATCAAAATGACTACTTTGGCTAAGGGTTCGTAATATATCGTATACTTCCCCAATCAACTGCATATCTGCATATTCAATTCCGTTATGTACCATTTTTACATAATTTCCAGAACCACCGGGACCTATATAAGTAACACAAGGTCCATCGTCTACTTGTGCAGCAATCTTGTTGAGAATATCATTTACTAGATTCCAGGCTTCTACTGGACCTCCAGGCATCAAAGATGGTCCGTGACGAGCACCGTCTTCACCACCACTAACTCCCATTCCCATGTAAAGAATACCTTTGGAAGATAAAGCTTCTGCACGTCTCTGAGTATTTTCATACCATTCATTGCCTCCATCTACAATCAAATCTCCCGGTTCCAAATAGTTTTCAAGAGTACTTATAGTTGCATCTACTGGACTTCCAGCCTTTACCATGATAATAACTTTCCTAGGTCTTTTAAGAGAACGTACAAAGGACTCCAAGGAATAGAAACCTTGCAGTTTACCAAGACAATTTTTCTGCTCAAGTTGAAAGCGGTTGATTGTATCGTCTGTCTTCGTTGAGGTTCGATTGTATACTGAAACTCGAAAGCCCTTTTCAGCTATATTGAGAGCTAAGTTTTGACCCATCACTGCCAAACCGATCAAGCCTATATCAGCAGTATTTATAGAAGAATCACTGCTAGTTGCTGCTTGCTGTTGAGTCGTCATAGAAACTCGCGGAGAGTCCGTAGAAGTGTTGGAAAAGCCGCGAGGAATAGATATAAAAGGATTCACTACATTCTTCAGTACGTTATGTCCAACAAATAAACTTTTTCTAAACTTGGATACTGCTGAAGAATAATAAAACCGTGTACTCAGCACAGGAGTCTGGATAAAATACAGTGCTGATAATTTACGTCCATCGTCTACAAAAGTATTCATTATGAGTGATTAGTCGCTAACAAGACGACAACCAAATTTATCAATTAAGGATAAATTCTTTTATGCAAAATGATTTGAGGAAACATCTATCAAACCTCATCGAAATAGGCATATTCTACTTCACAGAAAAGCGGCAAACAGAATTCTCCTAAAAGTCATAGTCTGGACTTATAAACTAAATATTAAAGGTTCTATTCCTTTCATAACTCCGCAAAATAGAATGATATTCGCGGCCAATCTTATAAGAGTGCTTCACTGTATAAAGGAGAACCACAATTCTCCAGAACAAAATACTCTTCTTCGACCATTTGAGTGCTTCCAGGCAATCGTTTCCACCACACCAAATCTTTCTCTGGGTTCTCCTTTAAAGTTTGCTCTACAGTACAATGTACAGCCTGGGTCTAATATTTCCACTTCCCAACGAACCTCCTCCATTCCAACAAAAACAGGAAATTTTTCAGAAAACTCGGGACACTACAAATACAGTTGAACAACACTTGAATACTTTTGAACCTCGTGTCACCAACCTGTTTGACCAACAAACAACCAGCTTGACCCATAAATTCTAATTGTTTGTGACGGAAAAAAGGCACATCATCTTCTCTTAGTTGCTTTGCAGCCACAACACTCTCACCTACTCTGTTTTCTATAGCATAGTCAACAAAGAGAAAAGGCTCTCTCTGTGCAAGCAATCGAAAAATTTGTTGTTTGGTCAAGTTTCCATTAGAAAACCAACGTTTCATTCTACGACATATTTTTGGAATCGTGTATTGTTGATGGAGAGCGGAATGCGAAGGTCCATTGTTCAAGACTTGGGAGTAGACAAAAGTGGATGTGGTTATTGTAGCAACCAAAAAGTACTTTCGAACGTTCAAGAAGAGCATAATACAGTCTCCGGAGAGCACAGAATTTCAAAAAGACGTCGACCCAAAACTAGAGTTGCACACGGAATTTGGGCTCATCAGCTCACAGTGGAAGATTACGAAGAACTTATGACTCGAGGTTGGCGTCGTTCAGGAAAGTATATATACAGACCCGACAATGCAGAGTCTTGTTGTCAGCAATTTGTTATTCGCCTTGAGGCTGACAAGTTTACACCTAACAAGTCCCAGAGAAGAGTCTTAAAGAAGATGGACAAAGTTTCTTCTTCGCTTTCTTGTTTTACTTCAAGAGAGTATAGTAACAAACTATCTTGCTCAGTTTCTTTTTCTGACCAACTCTCAAAACAAACCGTTTCAGACGACCCTTTACTGAAGCAGATTCGACACAAATTATGTCAGCTTGTGACAGATATGATCTGTGAAGAAGCTGTCAACTGGGGTTGGAAAGTATGGTACAATACGAAAAATAGTGAAAGACTTGGAAAATGCTGTTATTCCTCTAATCTAATTTTAGTCCTTGCAAAACATCAAAACAATGAGAATGATTCAGAGTCTGAAAACCCCGAGACTGCAACTCTTGTGAATATGAAACATAAGCGTCAAGTCAAGTTTACTCAATGGAGAAATCATTATTCATCGAAATTGAAAGAGGCAGGAAAAGATGCGTTTGCTCAAGTTGGTATTGATTGCTCCGTCACACCCAATGGTTTTATAGACTTTTGGAGAGAGGACGATGCTTTATATCAACGACACAACTGTTTTGGTATGAGACCAAGTGATAGAGATGGAATAAATACCGGAATGGACAAGGTCTTCTCACACAAGATCACTGAACATTCTTTAACCAAAAAGCGTTTAAGAATAGTTATGGAGTTACCAAAGCTAGAAGATGAGAGCTTTTTGTTGTTTCAGCGTTATCAACAAGCTATACATCACGAAAGTCCTGAAGAAAGTAACAAAGAATCGTTTTCAAGGTTTTTAGTTGAAAGCCCTTTGATTTTTGTGGAACCGAACAATGATAGCACTACTCCATCTTGTGGTTTTGGAACTTTTCATATGAAATATTATTTAGATGAGAGACTACTTGCAATAGGCGTTGTTGATGTTTTACCGCATTATCTTTCTTCTGTCTACTTTTTCTATGATCCTTCATATTCCAGTCTCTCATTAGGAGTTTATTCTGCTTTGCACGAGATTGAATGGGTTCGAACGCAGTGTTTGCAAGGATATTCATCTATGCAATATTATTGTATGGGATTTTATATTCACAATTGTCCAAAAATGCGATACAAAGGTGATTATTTTCCTTCTCAACTTCGTTGTGAGGTTACAGGTCAATGGATACAACTGGAAGTAGCACAAAAGGTTTTGGATAAACAAAATGGAAGAGCATTGCGTTTGGCTCCAGAAGAGTTTCCTATAGACGAAAAGTATCTTGTTGCTCCGTGTGAAAGAGTTTTTGCATTGCTTTCATCATATGATAAGGAACTGTATCTTCGTTTATGGGAAGCAGCATCGAAGAATGTCCCTTTATTGTTCAGTGGCAAGTTGTTTGTGTTTGATAGTTTGAAACGAAACTTAAACGACAAAATGAGTGTACATATCCAAAGTGTATTACTGTCATACATTGCCAAGGTTGGACCACATTTGAGTGTACAGATGATTTATTTGCTTTGATTTTTCTGAGCCTCAGAATCGCGTCAAGGGATTTTTACGAACCGGAACAGAATTTGAATCAACAGCATTTTTTTTCCTTAACTTGTCATATTTTTCCGCGCTTTGCTTTGGAAACCTACAAGTAGACTCATATTCTATAGAACATTTGCAGTTTTCTGAAGCTCGCATCGTTAGTGTGTGGCAGTTTATGAAACAGTGTATTATTGGCAAGACGGAAGGCACAGGAGGAAATTGTATTCTTTAAACAAAAAAAGTACTTCAACTGCAGGTAATAAGTGAATCCAGGGTTTTTGTCAGTTTGAGGATCTGAGAACGCTGCCACAAATACTATTGTGTTTTTTAGAGTTTTGTTAACTGTTGCTATGACAGAAAAAGTGAAATTTGACTGCTACGAAGTCGGGGACAGTGCTTCTAACTCGTCAAAACTTGACGTCAGTCGCGGGCTGCTAGAAGCTGGCCTACAAACTGAAAAAGGTCTTGTAGAAGCACAAGGTGCGAAGAAAGAGTCTGCCTGTTGCTCGGAATCTTTGCCATGTTATTATTGCACCTGTCACAGAGAAGCAACAGCTGAGACTCTGGATCTAGTCCACTTGCAGAGCGTGTTGAAAAGGAGCCTACTGAAGGTGGCGAACGGGAGTCCAACATTGTTTATTGTTGAGGATCTTTTGTCATTTGCTGTTGCTGAAGTTATTCGGCACAGAAAAGGGTTTTATTCATGTTTATGCTCATTAGGTCACACAAACGATGGAAATACGAGTAATGAACCTTCTTGTAGTTCTTTTTCTGCTTCTGAAACTTCTTTGGATGTTGTCAACCTGTCTATTTTTTGCCAATTTTTGGATGAAGATGAACGAAGCCAACTAAACGCAGAAAGTCATTGTAGCTATTCGTTTACTTCTCACACCAGAAAACGAGTAATATTTTGGCTACTTGACATTGCACAGCTTTTTGATTTGAACTCTGAAACGGTGGCTCTTACAGTTGCCTTTATGGATAAACTTGTTGGGAAACGAACAATCTCACAACTTTTCTTTTATAGTACAATAGGTGGCTGTCTCTGCACATTTTCCAAATGGCTCGACTTTCGACCTGTTTCATATATCGAAATGGCTCCAATTGTGAATGTTCCTTCAAATTTGTTGAGACTTTTTGAGGAAATCATATTGCATAGTCTCGATTGGCACCTTCATTTGCGAACCGTACATGGTGTCTTTTCGAAAATAGCAGGAAAGTTTAGGCAGTTCCACTGGAACGTTGATTTGAGTGAAGCATCATGGGAAGAAGTTGTTTGTATGGCAGAAATGTATCTAAATATGTCACTGTTATCCGAAGAATTGACCAATTATGATCACTCCATTATTATACTTGTAGTTTTGGGATTGGTGTATAAAGACACGTTGAAAACTAACTACATGCACAAGGAGAATACCATCAATAACGAAAGTGCATTAGCAGAATTACAGAAAGAAATTGCAAAGGAATGTGGCTTTTCTAAGGAGTGCCTTATCTGCGTGTGGCATTTATTAGAATCCTCTGTCATTTCGAATAATGAACAATGAAGCTCTAGAAACACAATAAGAGAGAGAGAGAGAGAGCTATTTCTTTCTAACATTTGACTAGATGAGATTGACATTGCATTTCCACATGAAAGACAAATAATTGTAAAGCAAAAGGATAGTATCGATTTCATTTAAGCAACCAGTCGTATTTTGTCCAGATTTCTATCGATCATCCAAATATTCAATTGTTCATATTCTTCAAGGCACTTGGCCCACTGATCATGAGAATAGCCTCTTCCCAATATTTGCCTTTCCACATCGGATAGCACAACTTCAGATGTTCCATCCATACCATGTATTGCTTCACAAACATGTCGATAAATTTCTGCAACAGGATCACTGTTGTAACTTTTGCCAATGTATTCCTAAAACCAAAAGATTCTTTAGCATGTCCTTCAAAAGCTCTCTACTGATGTCTCATACCTCTCTCAACGAGGACTTGCTTGACTCTAATAGACGAATGGCCTCATCAACATCAGCATGTTCCACAAAAGTACTAAAGCGGATTCTTGCCAGAGCTTGACTTAAACGAAGAATACTTAGAAGAGTTCTTGCCGAAGTATAATTTTCCGCCCATTCACCAGCTTTCTTTTCCTTATCTCTCATTGCCACATAATTATTGACAATATACTTTGAAACGAACCCTGGAATGACAGGATTGTATCTTTTAGCCTTGGCAACATAAGCGCGAATCAGTTGAGGATCCACGGGATGAAACTCATCTTCAGGATGTTTGCCAACTCGGTGTACATACGTAACATGCTTAGCTAATTGAAAATCTTGAGCTTCATTAGGAGTATCGATCAACAGAAACAGCAAATCGAAACGGGATAAGAGTGCCGGTGGTAAGTTGATGTTTTGGGAAGGTGTCTTTTTCTTGTTGTAACGACCGTAAGCAGGATTGGCAGCAGCCAAAACAGCAGCTCTTGCATTCAGCGTGGTTGTTATGCCAGCTTTGGCAATGGAAACAGTCTACAACAAGTCATGTAAGCAATTTTTTTTGTAAAAACATTAAATACATTCTCTTACTTGCTGTTCCATTACTTCATGAATGGCAGTTCGATCGACTTCATCCATCTTATCAAATTCATCGATACAAGCAACTCCCATATCTGCAATAACCAACGCTCCACCTTCTAACATCAATTCATTGGTGAGTGGATCTCGCAACACTGCTGCAGTTAGACCAACTCCAGAAGAGCCTTTTCCTGTGGTGTATACGCCACGAGGTGTTATAGTGGCAATATGTTTCAATAACTGAGACTTGGCTACACCAGGATCACCCATAAGGCAGACGTGAACATCACCACGCAAACGAATTCCGTCTTGGAACCTTCGAAGAGGTGCTCCAACCATAAGTAGTAAGAGAGCCTTTTTGACATCCAAGTGGCCATATATTTCAGGAGCAATGGACTTTGCCAAGAGCTCATATACTTGAGTGTCTTTGGAAAGCTCAAACACTTGCCTATCAACTTCAACAGAAGGGATGAATTCCTCGTAGGTCTTTTTGTTGCGTTCGATGTGCATTCCTTGCAGAAAAGTATCAGCAACGAGACCTGCGTGAAGAGAATGGAAACCTGTCTGGGGAGTTGGAAGAAAAACGCCGCAAACAGTTACCAAATCGCCTGCAGAGCACTGTTTAGCTACTTCACCTAAGAGCTGCAAAGTTACTGCACGAGGTATATGTCCAACTGGGACTTGATCGGCAGTTTCTTGAAGTCTAATTTCTTGGTATTTTACAAATTTGGTTCCTCTCATATTAAGATAGAGTTCACCAGACTTTCTATTGGTGCGACATTCGGCACTTGGGCACGCTACTAGTGGCATGAACTTTCGAGAGTTGACTTGTTGGAAGGCTTGGAAACCACAAGATTCGCAACTATAACAGGCAACGGTCACACGAGGCTTGACGTCTAATACTCTGACAACGAGTCCTTTGATTTTAACTAAATGACCGATATCAACTGCAGTTATTTCCCTTATAGATAATGGTTTAGTATTGGTAGGTGGAATGAAGTGAATTTCGTATCTTCGTACAAGCTGAGCCGGTATCTTGTTCTGTTGATCTTCGATAGGAGCGTTGAGAGGGTCCAATTCAGCCATAACACGTGGATCTATTTCGTTTCCTAATGCAGAGTCTTCACTCATTATGTGAGTTCCTCTATAGTCACTCTCCAGCTGCAAATACTGTTCTATTACAATATCAAACTGGTCTTTAACTATGGATTGCTGAGGTTTTACATTCTTTAAGATTTCGTCCACTGCTTGTGAAGCAATTTCAATAAAGCGCAAAGTATTGATTGTTATAGCTTGCGCAAGTTCCTCTCTTCCTTCAGCGATGATATCATCCAACTCAATATTTAAAGATTTTCTGGTTCGATTTGCAATTTCTTGTATTTGAATCATATATTTGTGAGGCATTTGTTCGTTAGGGGAAATAGAAGACATAGGAAGTGAACTAATTTCTTCCGAGTCCTGTAAGGAGCTTTCCACACCAGGCGCCCTTGTTTCTTCGCTCGAATAAGGTCCCAAATGCGTATAAAAATTTTCGTCTTGAACAACTCGAAAATTCTGTAGAAACTGTATCAAGTCATTCTTATATTGACTGTAGGGTTTTAACAATACAGGAAGGTATGCTGTCAACATACTCTGAGCCATTGCAGAAAAGTTAGTTTTTCTCAAAAGGAAAATTATTCAATTTCCCGCCCAATTTTAGATTTCATCAATCTCTTTCTTACTTGGAAATAAATGCTCGACTTGATCGGAAACTTTGCAAAGACTATTTTATATTTTTTGTAATGAAAGAGGCAATCAGTAGTTTAAAATTGAAACTAATATATAGTTTTTTTTGACACAAGAAAGAACAATAGGTCATAGGTACTAATCCTCATTCACATATACCGAAACGTTTTGACATTGTCCATTAATGCTTCTGTCACTGGGGCAGTTGGTTGCAGAAAGCCGTTAATAGTTCCTCTGTATCTTTTTTACAGTGTTGATTAGAGTTTATTTTCAAAGTGCACTTGAATCTCTCCTGTTATGGAACCCCATAGTGAGAGAGAAAAGGATTTAGCCTGGACAAACGCTGATGCCAAAGAAAACCAAAAGCTTGTATTGTCGGATTTTCTTAGTCAAATAGTCACGAATCACCGTGAGTCCATACAAAGGGTTTTCATGCGTTCTTCTTCTGGAGGTATGTATGCGGAAGAACAGCTCAGGAGTCATTTGACTGAGAGTTTATACTTTTCTAGTTGTGTTGGGTGTCATAACTGGCGTCGGTCGAGCTGTTTACTATGAAAAAGCACTTCTTCCTGAGTTGATGAGAAGTGTTTCACGTCTAACCTTGGTTTCTTTTCATTTTTTTGCTTTGAAGGAAGTTTGTGATCGTCTCAAAGGCCGAGAAACAATTTGGAGTACATTCTTTGCGGGTGGTTTTTCGGGTTGGTTTTATGGCCTGCTTCGATTCCGAGAAACCGTATCACCGACTCGCTCCTTTATTGCAGGAGTTTGTGCAAGCTCCATTGGCTTACTGGTAGTAGGCGGACTGGAGAGTGCTCGTGATCATATAGTTTTCAGATGGGAGCAAGGTGCAGAAACTGAACGTGAATTTTATTTATTCCGTCTTTACCATCACTTGATTGGAGAAGATAAAGAACTTGAAAGACTACGAGCGAAAAGAGATGCTCTGTACTTGGAATTGTTTCAGCTACAAGATGAGAAAAAGAAAAACGAGTCCAAAATGTAACTTTATGAAAATTCATTTCATCCTTTTTAGGAAATTGAAACTTTTTTCTCGATGACTGAAAGTTGATTCTGTTGAGTTTGGTTGAACAATTATACAAAGGTCTATTTATGGCAGTTTTTAGTAACTGAAAACCGACTTTATGGCGTCATTCACCAAAGAATCTTCTTCTGACGATGGGAACAGGGAAAAGGCTTACAGTGAATCACCTCCCTCCAGTGGCGCTTTTACACCTGGAGTTACCTGTAAAGTAGGTGTTTCTTCTTCTGTGGCAGTTGATAAGCACCAGCAGGTCCCCTCTCAGCAGATTCCACTCCCATTTGGTGTTTCCAACTTGGAAAGTGATTTTTATTCTGAAAATGTAACTTGTGTCGGTGAAAACAAGAAAAATATCCAGGACAATAAGGCGCCCGTATATCCCAGTTCCTTCGATGCCGCCACAAATAATCTGGATGCTTCCATAGTTCTCACAAAACAGGCGTCAGGTGATTTCACATTATCCAACACTGAGTCGAATGTTACGACAAACTCTGTCAAAGGTATAGATGCCACTGAAGGCAACTTGAACACAACACAAAATGCCAGTATTCAAAGTGAACTTCGAGACGAGAAGAATGTGGATAGAGGACCTCTACTCACAAAGGAACAGTTTGACGACTTGGTTCGTAGATGTTCATTTTTTGCTATATATAGTTCTGCCAAAGTTCCCAAAGTACGGTATAAGCGTCTGGAAGAATCTGTGCTTACAATTTGTCGTTTATTCTACACTCGAAGGCATAAGATCGATTGGTTTGTGGAGGAGTTGAACCGAAGTGAAGGTCATGATTGGACGGTTTCTCAGTGGGTGGCTTTCCTTCATGGCTCCAATTTTAAGATGGTGAAATTGAAAGCATATAAAGGAATTGGAAACTTTTGCTATTATAATGGAAGCGTATTTACAACTGCTGGTATATTGGGAAGCTGTAAGTGCTTGAGGGAGGTTCGTACAGGCTTTGGTGGTAAACAGGGCAATCGCGATGTTCTTGCTGATGAAGAACTCAAAGCGTTATATGAGAGCGAAGAGATTATCAAAGTAGATCCGAACGCGTTTCCAGATGATTCGGAGATTGCACCTCTGAAACCTGTGAGACCTCGTATGACTTTGAAGAGGCAATCAGATAGCATTGCGCAAACTTATGGCCTGGAGAATAGTTCTTTAAGGAATCCCAAGATTAGTTATTCTTTAACAATGGGAGAAGTTGTCGGTGATGGTCCTTCAAAGACAGGTAGCTCACCTATGGAGACGGATTCTGAGGTTGAAGGTGCAGAATTGGAAGCTTCTCAACAAGAAAACGATATGGAAAGCACAGAAAGCAGTGAAAGTGATACAAAGGATAGTACTGAAAAGGACTCTGCTCGTCGTGCTTCACGTAAGAGAATCCGAGAAAATTCAATGAGTCAAAGTCTGAACTTATTGGATACAAACTCTACACAAGATTCACTTATTCATGACCATGAGAAGTTTAGTTTCAGTTCTGTGAGTCCGAAGGAAACTACGCAGTCAAGATTGGATTCTAGAAACCAAGAAGCTTCAGATGAATATATAGATTCCATTCTGACAAGATTTTCTGTACAAATGCAAGACAAGTTGGATCGTGCTATTCAGGTGTTAGAGACCAAAATGGACCTTATCACCCAAAGAGTATCAAAACTAGAAGAAGAAAGGTTAGGAAGATAAATTTCTTAATAAATAAACGTATATTGCCGATTTATAATGAAAGAGATTTTCTGGATATTCCACTTTTATTCACAATATTTGTAGCCCTTCATTTCGAAGTTCCAAAGATCCATATAAGTATATAAATTCAGTAATATGGATATTTTCCATATCTTCATCACGAGAGTATTCTTTGCAAGCTAACGTCCATTCGTGAAATTCCTTATCGCCTATTTCAAATCCTAAACGTTCTATACACATCTTGGCTTCTTCACGACTAATCCAACCTGACATACGAGTATCAAAACGTTCAAATTCAGTTCTAGCTTCAGTCATCTACAAAAACAAACGAGTTATCCACATCGAACAAAAATAATCTCTCGTTTGTCCTTACAAGCACATTAGATAAACCCATCGACTCACCAACAGCCGTTGCCTCAGCTCGTGCCTTACGAAGAGCTATTTCTTCATCGTTAGTATATCTTGTAGGGCCTTCTGGAATCTGAAGAGACCAAGTTAGTTGATTGGATCGATAAACTTTACAGACTTACTTTGAGAGGATCCAACTCGGATAATTTTGTATTTTCAGATACGTTTTCTATATGATGACTATTGTTCTCTTCTTCGGTAACAAATTGCTCCAGTGGAATATGATAAAAAGCTCCATGGTTTGTATCATAAACAACACCATCAGTAAACGCAAACTCTACACTAACTGAACCTTCTGGTAAAGGGACAAGTACTTCATACAAGTCTGCTTTCTGATAAGGTGTCCAATTTATCGGAATAGTTTATAAAGCAAACTTCTTTACTCACCTTTTGTCTCAAAGGTAATATCAAAGGATTGTCAACGCCACTCCAGTTGTTGTATCCACCAGTGTAAAATAAATCTTGTCCTGAACGAAAATATTCTACTGGTGGCTGATACTGAATAAGGATATACTTATTGCTCTGTGACTCTGTGATGGAATAATTAATCTTTCCTAGGCTTTCCGCTTGTCTCATCGTTAGACGATGTGATAGAACAGAGAAAACACTTGTTCTCCTCTTTTCCAAGACACAAGAGCATTTTCTAGTGTGTAAACAAATCTGCTGATGATATCCCACCTGGTTTAAACTCATCAAACAAGTCCGACTCATTCCCAGTAACGAGAACTGAAAACCCATCAAAACCATTTTCTTATCACACAACAGACAATCTTCAAAGATTTATTGTGAGATTTCAAAGTTGAAAGGAAACTTTACGTTTCAACTGAATATCAAAGTCTCGCAGTGACTGTTGAAAGCCCAAGGCACTCTTAACTACCCAAGGACCATCTCCAGTAAGACTAGTCCACTCTAATAAATATTTCCGGTTACGCCAATCTGCACCTGCCTTTAGCACGTTGTCTTTGTCCATCTGCTTAATAACAGACACGGCAGCAGCTTGAGAATCCTTCGAAAAATAAGAATATTCTCCTTCTAACAGCACACGAGAGTTGAGTTCATGCGTCAGTTTCAGATTGGTCACCTTCTTTTGAACGTCATAACGGATTCGAAACAAGTCGTTACCTTCCAAGTTGCTTTGTAGTTCCAACCGTTCCTCTCGTTTTCCTAAACCACGATTTGATACATCGTGGAACCAAATGTGTGCGGATACTTTGTTCTTCTCATCAGCTTGTATGTGATAACTTGCACTCAATGAGTTTCTGGGTAGGAAATACGATAGACGGATAGAGTTGTCCTTATCGAATGCTCGAAACCGTTGATCCACACCCAAATATCGAAAACGTTCCTTCTCAAAGTTGTAACAAGCATAAAGTTTAGACTTGGTCTGTGGAGAATAGACAAACTGTGTTTCGAAACTTGGTTGCTTAGGGTCGAACTCAAAAGTCAAAGACAACTGCTTTGGTTCACAAGAAACTTCAAAAGACTCAGCATCGAAAGGTGCCTATTAAAAACTATCCTTCAACAAGTTCTTGAATAGGTCGATAACACTAACCAAAGTAGAAGCACGAAAAGGTCTCTTTGTCATCGAAGACGGCTGCATTCCAAATTTTCACAATCTCAACATTCAAATCTCCGTCGGAAGCTTCTCATCCACATATACAAGTTATCGTAAACTGTTTGTTTCCCTCGAAAAACACTTGAAATAGTTGCAATAGATGGAGACTAGTATTTTCAAAGCAACCAAAATGGATCAGAAATCCTGAGAGTTTTGGGTGAAACTTGCCATAAAGCAGTCGATAGTGTTTTCTGTTTTTCCAAAGCAATTACTAAAGTTTGAACATATCTCTTTCCTCTAGTTTACAAGAATAATATGAGAGTAACTCAAATTCTTTAATTATACCAGAATCTACCCTAACAAAAGCCAAACAGAATCAAGTTAAATAATACGACGAAAACATGGCACAATATGAATAGGAGTAGGGAATTGTCTTAGCCAGCAAGGGCCAATAATATCTCCGTTATAATCCTTCCTATTATCCTTGTTACTATCTAACAAAGGAAGAAATTGCCAAGTTCCTGGTGGAAAAAATATATCTCGATCATTCTCATGGGCAACTATAACAGGAGCAACAAGTAAATTATCTCCAACAGTAAACTCATCATCAATGGTCCAACTTTCAGTAAGTTGTGGACAAGTCCACCATAAAGGACGAATCATAGGCCATCCGGTATTCAGTGACTGTTCCATTGCGTCATCGATAAAGGGCAAAAGTCTCTTTCGACTGGTAAGGAGTTCTCTACATAACTTCACAGTATCTTCACTAAACTGCCAAGGAGCTACGGATAATTGAACACTTGGCATAGCTAAGCTTAATTCTAACCATCGAATAAATAACTCTTCACTCAATTGTCTATCATCATAGCAATTCCCTCCAACAATATCAGGGAGAACAAATGGATATCCAACAATGCCTGCTACTAGAGTTGCTGGAATAATACTTGCCAAACCATTATCAAAGTCCCATACTGAAAATTTATCAAATAATCGAAGAAATGAAACATAAGCTTGACAACCACGACTAGCTGCTCGCACTTCTCGAATAGGAAATTGAGAGGCTATATTGCAGTTCCAATATAATGTATATTCGTCGGGAATGCGAAGCGTTTCTCGAAAGGCTGGATGTTGTGGAAGAAAACAAGGCTCTCCTGCATCAAACTTGAATCCATCTATTCCATATTCTCTTTGAAGTCGATAAAGTTGTTCCAAAAACCATTCACAAGCTTCAGGATTAGTCACATCGAGAGCTTTTACAGTAGTTGGCTGCCACCACCGAAACGATGAACTTGCTATCAGGTCGTTTGAATTACTATTTTGGAGTGTTTGTCTAACAAAGTATTTTTTGGGTGAAGCATCGTTCTTTAAAACTGCTTCCGAGTCTTCATCAGCAAATGGAATGACCCATAATGTAACTAGGAAACCCAAGTCATGCAACTTTTGTACCATCTTTTCCGGATGAGGAAATTTAGTTTCGTCAAATACTAAATCGCCATATTTCCGAGACCATCGATCATCTATTTCTAGGACAGAATGTGGATATCCCCGTTCACATATTTCTTGTGCAAAATTTTCTACATCTTGTTGAGTAATGTCTTGTTTATATCTTGCCCAAGTTGTCCATATAGGTTGTTCAACTAGAGCATGAAATGGTTTACTCTTGTTACATTGCGGTAAATAATCAAGTAGCCGTTCAGTTGCCTTTCGAACATCGGCTTCTATACCTAATACAAAGTCTATGCAAGGATAGGCAGTATGAAATGTCGACGAATTGGATAATGGATGTGTTATGGAAGACAAGTCATACTGTCTTCTTGCCTCTATGTGTAAAATGTCGTTGCCTTGTACTTTAGAATCTGCCAAAGGTAATAATTCTTTAGCAAAATTTTCCAAACCAATGTTCCATTGTCTAGATGCTTGTTGTTGTTGTTTAGGAGAATGTAAACCAATATGAAGAAACTTGGAATGAAAAGAGAAAAACAGAAAGAACGAGACCTTTGGATGAAACCCAAGAAGGGTCTACTAAACCACAAAGACCTTGTGGACCATTATCAAAAGGATAATAAGGACCCAACTCTAAACAGGCACGTTCTGTAGGCCAAAACTGTCTAAGAGAGTGCGCTCCGCCATACCAATGTCCAGAAATAGGCAACTCAAAAAGAAAAGTGGGATAGAAGACTTCCGAGGAAAAATGGCCGTGTTCTTCCAAGTTACCGTAAACCACAGAAATCTCCAACAGCTTTTTTGGGTAAAGCTGCACGGTCAACTTTGTCCCACAAGAACAACAAAACGAACAGTGCTCTGCTTCAATCCTGTTGGAGACAGGATTATCTTCTTGACTAGTACCCGAGACATTGTTTTTTGTGGGTCTCCAGTTGGTCTGCAAGTTGGTGACGCAACAAGGAGGCCAAAAGAAAGTTGCCTTGGCTATACACTGCCATTGGTATGTTTTTGAATTTTCTTCGTTGTTGTTTTCACAGGACTTTCGGAAACACTGTAAAGTTTTTTCTTTCCAACACAATAGCACTCCTCCATTAGGTAATAAAGGCAGCCAAATATCGCTATCTTTAGAGCTTTCCAACGCCATCTTAAAGAAACTTAATGATACACAGATAGTAAGGAAATATTCTGTGTTCAACTCGCAACTGTTTCGTGCTATTCTATGGTTTCAATAACCAAATGAAAAAGATGAATGATAAATTCCAAAAAAAATAGGAAAACCTTGTTAGTTTTTTAACAACATGATAACAGACCTTTATTAAAGCTTCATTATTTCAAAACATCAAAACGTCTCTTCGACCAAATAACATCCGATCGTCGCTTCTTTCAGATTTTGTATCCATTTGCCATATTGATTATCCAAACATGGCACAAGTTTGGGAAGAAACGGTATATATACCTTCTTATGAAGTTGGAAAACCGGAAAAGAATCCCTTATTTCTAGAGAAGAGAGTTTATCAAGGCAGCTCAGGAAAGGTATATCCATATCCTGTTATTGAAAAGATTTACGATCAAAAGCTCGAAAAACCTTACAGAGTTGTATTCCTTGAGAATGAATACATTCAAGTCCAGTTAATGCCCGATATTGGAGGCAGAGTGTATCGATACTTGGATAAAACAAACGGCTATGATGCAGTTTATTACAATCGAGTGATCAAACCAGCTCTTGTTGGTCTAGCAGGTCCTTGGATATCCGGAGGAATCGAGTTCAACTGGCCGCAACATCATCGACCAAATACTTTTGGAAAAGTGGAATATTATTATACAAGAGATACAGAAATTGGAGTTTGCACCTGTTGGATGACTGAAGTGGATAGAATGTACGGAACCAAATGTTTAGTTGCCTTTTCAATATATCCAGGAAAGTCCTTTTTAGAGATTAAGGTCATTTTATATAATCGAACAGCGATTCCTCAAACTTTTTTATGGTGGGCTAATCCAGCAGTACATGTTCATGATCAAACCCAGTCTATCTTTCCACCTGATGTTCGTGCAGTGTTCGATCATGGAAAGAGAGATTTGTCTAGGTTTCCTATTGCTACAGGAGTATATTACAAGGTAGACTATTCTGAAGGAGTGGATATTTCATGGTACAAAAATGTACCTGTTCCTACATCTTATATGGCATACTATTCAAAATATGACTTTCTTGGAGGTTATGACCATCATAAGCACGCAGGTATTCTTCATATTGCAGATCACCACATATCGCCAGGAAAGAAGCAATGGACTTGGGGTTGTGGCAATTTTGGAGATGTTTGGCATCAACAGCTTACCGATGAAGATGGTCCTTATGTGGAGTTGATGGCTGGTGTATATACCGATAATCAACCCGACTTTACTTGGTTGAAGCCTCAAGAGCTGAAGACTTTTACTCAGTATTTCTTGCCTTATAAGCAAGTTGGTGTAGTAAAGAATGCCAATATTGACTTTGCCATTGGTTTGGATAGGAAAGAAGATCAGCTTCATATGTGCATATATGCTTCTTCCAATTTTGAACAGTTGAAGCTTCTTTTGACGGATACTAGAAATGATTCTATTATCTATGAAAACCTTATAGATGTCTCACCTCTGAAGCCTTTTACACATTCCATTACTTGTCATCATGAGAAACCGCATTATATAAAGATGGCACTTTATGGAGAGAAAGACAACTCCATCGAATTAATATCCTATCAGCCAGAATATCCTCATATAGAAAAGTTTCCTGAACCTGCAAAACCAATTGAAGCCCCCGAGCTATTACCAAATACAGAAAGTCTATTTTTAGCTGGTTTGCATTTGGAACAGTATCGTCATGCAACTTATAGACCAGAAGATTATTATTTAGAAGGATTGAAAAGAGATAAGGACGACATTCGACTAAATACTGCTTATAGTGTGCTTCTATTAAGACATGGAGACCATATAAATGCAAAAAAATATTTCGAAAGAGCAATAGTGACGTGTACTCGACACAATCCTAACCCTTCTGATTGTTCTGCTTATTATTATCTAGGACTATGTCTGAAATATGAAAAGCGCTGGGATGAAGCTTTCGATTCATTTTACAAAGCTATTTGGGATTCTCATTATCATAGTTTAGGCTATTATCAACTTGCATGTCTTGCATTTCGTATGAAAGCTTATTCCAAGTCTTTGGAGTTTATAGAAACCTCACTGAAGAAGGATGGTTCCAACTTGCTTGCTCTCAATGCCCGTATTACCATATTGCGCAAGTTGGGACATTTTAAAAAGGCATCTGAATACTGTTATCAAGTTTTAAAAGACAATCCTTTAGAAGCAGCTGCCTTGTTGGAAAATTCTTTGCTTGAAGCAATTGATAAAGAGAAAGGAAACCATAATAGCGTTATCCATGATCAAAAAATGACTTGGATTCGGGTATTGGATGAAGAGCCGCATCAATATCTTGCTTTGACTGAAGAATATTGGGAACTTGGTGATTATGACACTGCAGTATTGATTCTGGAGCAATTGATCACTCAGTGTACAACCAAAGGAATACAAATACCTTTTATTGTATACTATGCCATCTCCTTTCTTCAACAATATATGAATCATTCCAGTTCATTTCCAAAATCAAATTATTTTGAAAGGGCTTCCAAAGCAGATTTACAGCTGTACTTTTCGACTTCTTTATTCGAAATGTTTATTTTGCAAGATGCCTGTAACCAAACTTTGGATTATAAGCCTCATTATATGCTTGGCAATCTTCTTTATGATAAGCGACGGTATCAAGATGCCATTTCTTGTTGGGAAAGATGCATAGAGTTGGAGCCATCATTTCCTACTGCTTATCGCAATCTCTCTTTGGCATATTTTAATAAGCTTAAAGATACTAAGAAATCAAAAGAATATATGGAAAGAGCATTTTCATTGGACACTTCAGATGCTCGAGTATTTTACGAATTGGACAAATTATATCGCATTCTCGGTGTTCATCCCAAACAGCGTTTACAGCAGTTAGAACTATATATGTCACTAGTTCAGCAACGAGATGATCTTATTGTGGAACATGTAACCTTACTCAATAGGGATGGTGCTTATGACAAAGCATTATCCATATTATTGAATCATCGTTTTCATCCTTGGGAAGGAGGTGAAGGAAAAGTTATTGCACAATATACTTTTTGTTGTATTGAATTGGCAAAGAAACATTTGATTTGCAATGAGACAGATGGAGCAATTTCCTATTTGATAAGGGCCATGGAATATCCTTCGAATCTTGGAGAAGGCAAGTTACAAGGAACTCGTGAAAGTGCTATCTTTTATCTGTTGGGCTGTTGTTATGAACGAAAGAATGATAAGTCGTTAGCAAGCCAATATTATGAAAAGGCATCTCAAGGCTCACTTCATCTTGAACCGGTCATGTTTTACAATGACCAACCACCAGAGTTGATATTCTATCAGGGACTCGCATTTCGAAGATTGCAAGACGAAAAGAATGCCAGAAGATGCTTTCATACATTGAAGGATTACGGTGAAGTTCAGTTGTTTAAGGATTTGAAGATTGACTATTTTGCAGTATCGCTTCCCAATATGTTGGTATTTGAAGAAGACCTAAATAGAATGAACCAAATGCAGAGTCGTTTTCTACTGGCGCTGGGATATATAGGTTTGTATGAGTATGAAAGTGCTAAACAACAACTAGAGCTAGTATTAGAATTAGATCCTTGTCACTTGGGTGCCTTTATTCATTTGGAAATGTTGAAGAAGCCTTATGTCGATGTGTTACTTTAAAATAAATTGTTTGCTGCTTTGAGAATTTGGAAGTGTGGTTAGAGAAAGCATGATTTCCTCTTCCGCAGTCGTCAAGTCTAATACAAACTATACTTTGAGAAAGAAAGAAGAGACTGCGTTGAAAAAGAAAGGAGTTTCTTCGTTGGCGTCATCCATTCTTCGACTTTGTGGTCACGAGGACGCAATATATGGACTCGATTTCAATCCCAGAGGAGACTGCCTTGCTTCCTGTTCTTTTGATCGAAGTATATTTTTGTGGAACGTATATGGAGAGTGTAATTCGTTTGGAGTTTTGAGAGGTCACAAAAATTCCATAGGTTCCATTTGTTGGGTCGACAATGAGAAGTTAGTGTCCTGTAGTGCAGATAAGAACGCAGCAGTATGGGATGCTCAAAGTCAAAGTCGAATAAGACAACTCAAAGGACACACGTCTTTTGTTAATGATGTAGCTGTCTCTAAGAATCAGTTTTCATTTATGGCAGCAACCGTTTCGGATGATAGGCAACTTATTTTATGGGACATTCGGACGAGGCATCCACAGCATTTTATTATGCATCGATATCCTTTATTAGCTGTTTCCTTGTCAGCTGATCCCGATGTAGTTTATTGTGGAGGTATTGATAACAGAATTTATGTTTGGGACTTGAGAAAAGGCAATGATTCTCCGTTGTTGGAGTTGATGGGTCATCACGATACTTTAACAGGAATGGATATAACACATGATGCTTGTTTCTTATGTTCCAATTCTATGGATAATACTATACGTATATGGGATGTTCGTCCCTTTTTTGAAGGTTCTGATGAGGAACGTTGTCTGACTGTTCTTCAGGGTGCATCGCATTCTTTTGAACGCAATTTGTTACGTTGTCGATTCTCTACTGATGGGACTTTAGTAGGTGCAGGTAGTGCTGACAAATTTGTATATATATGGGATGTTGATAGTGGAGAATTGCGATATGCTTTGCCAGGTCACGATGGTAGTGTCAATGACATTGTATTTCATCCCGACCAGTCCGTTATTGCAAGTGCCAGTAGCGATAAGACCATTTATATTGGAGAAATTGAAACTTCAAGATAGAATAGGTTAATAACTTGGATGATTCACTTTAACATATGAAGGAAAAATGGAATCATTCCATAAATATAGAATATGATCCATGAGTTATCTACAGACAAGAGAACCCTATGCAAAAAATGAAGTATTCTAAAATAAACTACTACTTCTTATGTTTGGTAACTTGACAATAATTGCACACAAGTAAATAGAGTTGAAGGAACCCGTAGATGACTATTTTGCAAAGGACAACATTCTATCTATCACAACTCACACTTTCACTATTCGGAAGAGTACCATTCGGTTTCCTCGAGTCGTAGATACTTCCAGCAAACACCACCGTTGCTGGAGGCGGAATATGTACAGTAGAATCAAAGACTTGTGAAGAATACAAGTCTTCTTCTTCTACAGAATACGAAGGTCTATACAATTCCTGACAAGTCAAACTCTCATAGTTGTTAGTCTCCACGCTATTTTCCAACAGCACTCTATGAGCTTCACTGGACCCACCATCTATGGGGACTGGCTCAAACTCCGAGCGCGAACTTTCCAACAAACCATTATATTCCTCACATTGCGGAAATTTATTCCATTCCCCTTCTTGGTTTGAAACAATATCTAAATAACTATACGGTTCAATACAGGAACTTTCCATGTCAACTGTCACTTGGCTCCAGTTAGTACGTTCCAAAGACTCTTCTTCGCTATTCGTATCTGGTTCAGCAAGTGGAATAAGAAAACCAAGGTTGGGCCAAAACATATCAGGATGACATATAAAATAATCAATAGGAATACCGTCACAAACTTCCTGCTCAGTTGCCTGCATTGCTCTTCTAAGAATATTCGTTGCTCATCTGTATTGATATGGGGAGAAATGGCAACTTGTAGTATCTCGTGGAATCGAAAGCGACGAGTTTTGGTTTTAGGTTCTGGTGTAATTGGACTTACCACTGCTATTCGATTAGCTGAAAGTGGTCATAAAGTTCTGATATGGTCCAAGGATAGGTCACCCAATCTTACTTCGGATGGCTCCGGTGGTTATTGGATGCCGTTTCATATCGAACCTGAGGAATGGGTCAACGAGTGGAGTATAGAAGCTTTAAGAGTATTTAGAAATCAGTTGAAATATTATGGAAAAGAATGTGGTATTCATATATTTCCTGGTAAAGTACTTCACGAGCATCTTCCAAAGCAAGTTCCCTATTGGACCCATTATGTTAACATGAGAACAGTGACTAGTCCAGATCAAGTTCCCAAATACTTTGAAGGTGCTTGGAAGTTTGAATCACCTATCGTTAATATGGATGTTTACATGCCTTGGTTGGAAAAGCAAGCAAGAAGTCTTGGAGTTGAGATATTATCTCCCATAACCGTGGGTCCTCGCCTAATCGATGCTGCTTTGGCTGCTTATCGACATTTTGCTGCAGAAGTATTGGTCAATTGTACTGGTTTAGGTTCTCGAGAGTTGTGTAATGATAAAAGTGTTATTCCTGGTAGAGGTGCTACTATTCGAGTTCAGTCCAATATGAAAAAGCAACGAGAGTTTGTTACAACTAGTTCTGGTCCTTTTTCTTCCAATGAGTTGCCGACATATATTCTACCACGTGGAGATGATTTGTTTACTTTAGGAGGAACTTATTTTGAAAATGATTGGAATACTCGAGTGGGTCCTGAAGAAGCAATGGATATTCAAAGAAGATGTAGTTTATTAGTACCAGAAATAAAGGATGCACCAGTTGTTTGTAGTTGGGCTGGCTTAAGACCAGTTCGACCGCAAGTTCGACTTGAATATGAAATTCTAGACGAAGATAAGGTTCCTCTTATTATTCATAATTATGGACATGGAGGTAAGTCAATTGTTCTTGAAGACTATTATTCGTAATAATAATAATTATTCATAGGAGCTGGAGTTACAGTTAGTTGGGGTTGTGCCAAGCATGTAGTTACTTTATTGGAAGACTTGACTGCAGTCAATGAACGAAGAATGCTTAGCAGTAGACTTTAGTATTTCAGAAAATGGAAAATAAATTCATTTTTTTTAGTTTCATGAGTTGGGAAAAGAACAATGTGTTCCTTCCGTTATTAACGGAAACTGAAAACAACGAGTCGTCCATAATATCTGAAGAACCTATAAGTACTGATTACTCTTGCAATACTGAATGGATAACAGATAACCAAACATGGTTGACTTCACTAGAAGACTTGCACTTGTTTCAAACGGATGAACAGACTTGTATCGTGTGTTTAAAGAATAGTCAACGTCTGGGAATAAAAGGAAAAGGTTATATGAAGATTCTTGAAGGAAATGTCTTTATACACGGAAATATGTTTGAACCAGATGATAGTTGGATTTACCTTGGCGCTTTGGCTTGGGATCCTTTACTACTCTTGGATTCTGATGATAAAGAAGAACTCTACAAGGTTGAAGGTATTCAACCTCAACCTTCAAAAGATAATTCTTGGGAAAAAATGTCGTGTTTGGAAGATAGATTGAGAGGGGATCCTCATTTGTCACATTTGTTATCTCTTGGCATAGTTGAATCCGTTCAAACTTGTTTGCCTGTCAAGGCTATCATTGCTTTTCGCAGTTATAAATATTCTAAAGGTGACTACGTTGAAAAATTTGTGCAGTCACAGGACAACAACAACTTTGAAAAGCTGATTGATGAATTATATCTCTTGAAGAGTAGAGATATTCAACGACTTGCTCACTTTCAAGTTTGGAATGGTTGGAAAGAATTGCTGATGCATGTAAACTCGAACTGTGCTTCTATGAATGAGAATCTTCGAATATTTCTGGTTTGTGGTGATCGCGGTACTGGCAAGTCAACATTCACGAGGACTTTATGTAATCAGTTACTCAAGTTCCATAGCTGTGTTTGGTTAATGGATACTGACTTGGGACAGAGTGAGATGATGCCTCCTGGAATGGTTTCGTTGATGGAAATCAAAAATTCCTTTCAAAGTACTCCACTTACGCATGAGACATATGACTCCACTATGTCTTATTTCATTGGGGTGGTAACTCCGAGAGAAAGGCTTCAAATATATAAAGACGCAATTCAAAGATTGGCTTCAGAAATGTATTTAGGAGCATGTCGTACTGGAGCTCCGTGTGTTATTAACACACATGGATGGACGTCAGGATTAGGTTTAACAATATTACAATTTTTGTTTCACTTGTTACAGCCAACTGATGTGATTCAACTTGAAATGACGGATAATACTTCAAAATTATCGGAAGAATGGTTTGATTCTGGTCGTTTCAAGCATAATGTTCAAAAATGGAAGTTGACACGTGATCTTTCGACTAGCAGTAGTGGTAACGGTGGTGATGGTATTAGACTAAGTTCTTCAGAAAAAAGACATCTTCAGTTGTTTGCTTATTTTTGTCCAGAATCAGTATTTTTCCTTTCACCTCCTTCCTCAGCTGTTTCTCAAACAGTCGCCTATTATATTGGCAATCATTTTGCGCAACTTCCCGTTTATCAAGTCTTGGTTAGAGACATGCAGGTCTATTCTATCGATGGTGAAGTGAATATGGAGCATATGGAAGCTTTATTGCTTGGTGTTGTAGTTGGCCTTTGTTGGAATGTGGAAAAAACCGATTCTTTAAAAGAATGTGAACCTTTGCGATGTTATGGATTAGGTCTTGTCAAAGCCATAGAACGAGACAGAACCATATTGTATATTTCAACTCCTGTTTGTGAAAGTAAGCTCAAACAAGTAAATACTTTGGTTGTTAGTCGTTTTATTCAATTATCTCCGGCAGCTTATCTTTGGACGGGACCAACAGAACCTCACTTTGTCTCATGGGATGGTCTCTCTTATGCATCTTCTGAAATGAGAAGTCGCAATAATATTCCTCGAAAGCGTTTGTTAAATAAGAAAGATAACGAAAAATGACTATCAAGTCATGAATTTTTCAACTATTGCAGGTAAAGTAAGACAGTACCATGTACAAGTATTGTGATCAGTACTGCCTGATACCAACAGATGATGAGGAACAAGTTGAATGTGCTTAATAGCTATGTTTTCTAAATATATTCTTGTCAAAGGATGTACGTATCTCGATGGCAAACAATCTTCAAGCAGCCAAAACAAAATAGTCCCATCCCATGAAGCACTAATCAACACCTTGTGATTGGTACTTATTTCGAGGCAAGTTATATAGGAAAAATGTTGATACAACTCACACGATGGCAAAAAAGAAGAGTTGGTTGGAAAGGAATCCACTTGCCGAAAGATGCGTATCGTGTCATCTTGGCCACATGAAATAATAAAATGATCGGTTAGAATACTATCCAGAATTTGACCATATGAATTGTCTATGGAAATGATTGATGTTGAGAGATGGACTGATTCTTCAGGGTTCATGAATGGAAAAAGTTGTTCTCGAATAGTAAAGAAATGGAGTTTGTTCTTTGTGTGGCTCAAGAGGATGCATTTGTCTTGTAAAGCTGCGAATCGAATCCAATTTCGAGGTTCCATTCCCGTATCGATGCGAGTTAAGGGATGTTTCTTAAAATAGCATCCAACAAGTTCCTTAAAGTGATCATCTATAATAAAATAGATAGGCAAAATATTTTCAGTTTCTAACAAGGTTTCTCTGTTTAAAACAAATTACCGCGTAAAAATGGATCCATGTTTGCTTCATAGTTGCCATTCATCATCGATAGGAGTGAACTATCATAAGGGTGCCAACTCCACAACCAAATATCGCCATTTATATGTCCACTCGCAAACAAGGAAGACTTATGTTGATGTGCCAAACAACACACTGCACCTTGTACTTGTTCGCAATAAAATTCTGCCAATATTTTGCCACTTGGGATATCAACTAGGCAAATATGAGCGTTGTTCCAACCAACGATGATCCATTGACTTTGTAAAAGAAGACTAATGAACTCTTCGCCTATTGATACACAGGGACATAAAGCTGTTATCCATATTCCTTTTTCTGCGTTGTCGAGGCTTATTCTGTTGGAAAAGAATAATTGCTTTTCAACACCGCTTCCCAATGGAATATACTTTTTGCGATCGAAACACTCTTCATACGCAACTGGAGACTCATTGGCTAGGAATCCGTCAATAGTTTGACTCTCTTCCGATTGTATTTCCTGTAGAGTATCTTCAGGAAAACGATACAGCAATAAACAAACAATACTAGACACTACTAAATACAAGTTGTTGAGAGAACCTTGACTTTCACTACTAGGAGAACAGTGAACAATGGTCCAAAGAACATTTTCTTTTATAAAAGTATGTGAGTTTGTAAGTGACAAACTAGGTTTGCATTCCAGCTTGTAAGCAATTCTGGCGCGTTTGGATAAAAACATAAAATTTAATTCTATGACATCGTTGTTCGTTCCTCGTTGGATGTTCAACATGAACGATTGAATTATCAGAGAAATCTATTCGTTGTCAAGGTTCTTAATTATGATGAAACGGTTTGGTAACTCTCAAGAATTCTCTGAGCATAGTCCCAAGAATTTATTCTATACATGAATTACAAGTGATCGATCAACTCTAAAGTCTCAATGTTCATACAATTCCTTTGCTGAAATCTTTTCCAAATAGACAAGTGCTGCCCTGGCACATGGGCGTTGTTCAGGGTCTTTTCTAGTCATCCACTGAAGCAATTCAAAGAGACTGGGAGAAATAGTCGTCAAAGGCTCCAACTGACTAGACCTTATCTTATGCCATGCTTCACCTGTACTTGGCAAAGGCTTGTTGGCTGTTCTGGCTAGTTCATAGGCAGAGAGACCCAGTGAAAAGATGTCCGCCTTTTTCAAATCTTTGTAATCTTCTTGAAGTAACTCTAATGAGAGATATCGCGAGTCACCTTCAAAAACATCCTTGCCAATGTTAGAACATTCTTGTTTTTCATCTGGTACACAAGTTACTAAACCCAAGTCTCCAATCTTATACAATCCATCGTGTGTTAGATATATATTTTCAGGTTTGATATCCAAATGAACGACTTGTCTATCATGTAGGTAACAAAGTCCTTGCAATACTTGCTGAAGAAAATTGACCAGTTCTGCTGTCTTGAATATAAGTTTCTCATCTTTCCAAAGAGACATGACCGATCCGTGTTGGCAATACTCCATTTGAATATACAACATGTTATCTTCCTCCCATGAGGTATAATACCTCACAAAGCTTGGACATTTACTAAATGCTGCTAATGCATGAATCTCTTTTATAGCTCTGTTCCTTTCACAAAGACTGGCATACTTTCGAGAGATTAATTTTATAGCATAAAGACAACCGTCCAGTCTTGCACGACATTTATATACTTTGCCAAAGGAGCCAGAGCCAAGCACACCTAGTTCTTCGAAATCTCGAGTATATCTCGAAAGCTGTAAAACCTGCTGAAGTCTTTTAGGGTTACCATCAAAACTAGAACATTGTCCATTTTCAAGTGTACCAAAAGATAAAAATTGTTGCGTTTCATCAATAACAACAGAAGAAGAACGTTGTTTCTGAGCCCCTTCATCCAACCCACAACAACTTTCATCAGAACCTTCTCCATCGACAAGACTTATAAAAGGATTAAAAGTGCGATACAACATTGGAATGAGGCGCATGGAGTTGTCTACAGAAGCATCAAGATAAGATGAAGTGGATGCATCAAATGACGATGCAAAACTTTTCATTCTCTTATCCTCTAAGAAATGGAAACAGTAAGATTCGTTGAAAGAAGTTTGATCATACATCAAGTCCTTGTCCTCGGTATTCTCGGAAGGAAAGTTTCGAAACGGAGACAAGAAAGAAAGCCTTCTAGCTAAGGTTTTCAACTCTTTGTTTTCTTTGTTGGAAGCTGGTATAACAGTCTCTTCCTGGTCTTGATTTTTCAAATTTGTAGGCTTCTTCTCCAAAGACATAGGCGAATCAATGACGAATGGCTTCGTACTCTCTGGACTAGCAACAGCAACCTTCGAGTCTAAGGACTCCGCGTTGTCGAGTAAAACCAAGTTACTGTGCTCTGTTTCCGTAGTGTTACGGAAGTTGCTATCAGTTCTGGAAATGTTGTCTTCATCAGACAAGACAACACAACTAGTCGCCTTCCTTGCAGTCTTTAGTTGTATCAACTGCATGACATTTCTTCGTTGTTGTTCTTCTTCCTGCGTGAAGAACCGCTTTTTACGTCGAGCTTTAAATTTTTTATCTTTGCAAGGTGTGCAAGGTACCTGCTTGTTCATTTCTTCACAACAGTCTTCAGTTTTAGTAACAAAGTTGCTTCGTCAGTGAAATTTATCAACTGATTTATTTTATGAAAATACGATTTGAATTTGAAGTGGCGGGTTTGACATGAGGGTTCTCAAACAAATAATCTTCTCTCTTCAAAATGGACTGAAAATGAAAGAGATTTCATCTGCGATAGATTAAGTATAAAATATTAGGGTAAATTTGTTATTGGAGGTTTCTGAAGATGTAGGATATCAGGGAGAAGTTCACCCAAACAGTTGTGATTCATGTCGACGGCACTGCAAAGGGCATCGTGATATGGTATCCGAGAAATCTTCTAGAAAACTCTATTGCTTTCTACGCTAAAGCTCTGTAGAAAAATCTAACAAAGCATCTGATTTAGTTTTAAATCTGTTATGTTCCATACTCGTTCTTAGTTTGCAATACTTTTCACCTCTGGTCATGTTTGACTCAAAGCAAGACTGATGAGCAGAAAAAACATGTAAAAAGGCTTGGAAGTTGTCTCGGTTGTTGTCAGAAGTGACTTATCCACTCCCATCATAGTTGAGCCGAAAAAAATGCAAGATGATATGGTGTCAAGACCTCCTTATGACTCATCCAAAATTCGTCAGTACCTTCATTTGGCTCTATTATTTCTTCCTTCTCCGAAAGTAATCCGCATAATCCATCCGTGATACCCGCATTTCCCTCCTGTCCTATATCTCCTTCAAGCCTTTTATAAAGGAATTAAAGGCTAATGAAGGCAACTTAAAGAATAATTATCTTGCAGAAAGTCGATTAGTTTTGTCAAATCCACAAGAACAGCCAACAATCAATCATAAAGTGTGTTCATGTTGATAGTTTAACTCATGTCCTGCCATACGACACAATATAAAGCAATGTATGGTCAACGAACCCTTTCAATGTCCACATGAATCGCTAGATGATTAGGTTTTGATGTCTTCATCTTAACAAAATTATCTTTAAATTTTACCTATTGGAACCACATTGAGATCAAGAATGGCTAATATTATATGAAATTTTTATCTTCTTCGGTCTACGAGAAAGGAAGGCAACTGGTAACATATTTTGTCTATTTGAATGCCTGTCTTACTGATTATAAAGAGACATCGAGCAGAATTTTTTTTGTATAGAACACTTTTGACCGTCCAAGCAACCAGGAGATCACTTTGGATAGAACAAGCCAGTTTTGTGGAAGTCAAATTATAATAGACTTTACCACAGTCGTTGATTTTTGCCTAGTCATATCTAATAAATTCCGCCAAATTTTCGAAGTTGTTGAATTAGAAGGAAAAGACCCCTGTTTACCGGATAGTTATAAGTGACGCTTCTTGTCTGAAGCAACAAAGGAAAAGTGGCACCATGCTACTTGAGAAGAATGTGCTGGTAAAATAATAGAATTCTACAATAGAAACAAATATTTAAACAGTCGTAGATGTTCTTTGTGTATAGAAAAACATTCTCCAACTGTCTCCCGTAATAAACACATACTGTTATTAGTTTCTTTGTCGTAAGAATCTTTTGACAAAAACGGCATCAGCATGAATCTCTCCGGAAATTTAAGGAAATGGTGATTGAACGCATTAGAAGAGGGCTATGGAGGAAGGATCTGAAAGACAGAAACATAGTTTCTTCTAATTCCATACTTTTTCAAGACAGCCGACTTCACGTTCGTATACATTCTTGCGTTGTTGAATAATCAAATGTAGTAATTTTCAAGCTACTTTCCAGGATAAAAATGTAGCTCCGAAGCAAGGCACCTTCAATAAAGTGAAAATTTCTGAAAGACGAGACTTTGAAGTTTATTTATTTCCATGAGCCTAAATAATCGAGTTCTACCAGCGTGCCTTGGTAGGAGCGGATGCTTAATTTTTGCAGGTTGCTTTCCCTACAACAATAAAGAAGATTTATGTTTGCGAGTCTACTGCAGAGTTCTGGCTAAAATGGCAGGTATGGTATTCTCTGAAGAAAATGATTATTTTGTGGAGATGGTATCATCTATTTATCAATGATGTCCAAAGAGGCTTTGGAACGTCAAACAACTTTTATTGGAAAACAAGATTGTGCCTATTGTGTATCATTCTGATGACAAACCTGTTTTGAAGAAGACACTAAATCAGATATGGAAATAGGGAAAATTTAGAAAGATTATGGAGTTCATGTTTCAACCGTATTTTGAATAAACTTTGGAAACATTCAGTAGCATTTCTTACCCTTTCAGCGATAATGAAAATTGTCCTTAATTTGTTGAGGTCAGTTTTTTAAATTTGAAGGTCTCCAAAGATTTACTAGACCCTCCTATTGGTGTAAAACAATGTTGGAGAAGCGAAATCTTGTAAGAAAAACTAAACGACAGATAACATTGTGACTAGTTTCGATGCCAAAGCATTTTGTAGCTCACCATTATTTATTGAGCCAAGGAGTATGATATTGTCATCGAAACATGATTGCTTCAATGCTATTAATTTGAAGTTTAAACAGTGTGAAGTCCTTGTACCTTCAGACTGTTAGAACTATCAATCTTCTAGTAATTTTTCATCTGTAGCCAGGAACACAAGTTATATGACTAGCATTAAGCAAGGAGTGTTGTGCTTCGTTCTGTTGTCAGATGAAAGGTGACCAAATGGTTCAACTTCAACTTTCTTTAGTATTTCGAAAAGTGTTTAAACACCAAATTCGTAATTGTTAGTGTCATTGCCTATTCCTTTAACAGTTTCCATGGATCCAGATTGATGATGTGAAAAAGCAATCAATTTTCTCTTCGTAGAGAAGCGAAACAGTTATCATTCTTTAGTATCTTTCGCTTGAACAGGAAATGAGTAAGTTTCGGAACTGGAGACAGTAGAAATGACAAAAGCAACGAATCGTTCTCATTCAGACACGCGTCAAGCATTTATTCAACTCACGAAAGTAGCAAGCAGCTAAAGGAGACCATATCACTAATCTTCCATGTTATGCTGATTTACTTGTTTCTTCTGTAATTTAGACTTTAGATAAGTTGTCAAGTTGCGACTATTTCTCTTCATAAGTCCGACAATGCCTCCATCAAATTGTTCCCGTACTTCTTCGAGCGTCTTATTTTTGGTCTCAGGGAGAGTTAGAAAATCCCAAAAATAGAAGAAACAGGTAAAAGCCAAGTATAATCCAAATGTTCCAATGTGACCAATTGCGTCTGTAGTCTTAGTAAAAGTTTTGGTTGTTGTAAAGGCACTAATGAAAATCCAGAATGCTGACCAAGCAGCGCCATAACTTCTTACTGGCAATTCATACATTTCTCCACACATAACCCACTGAACAGGGTTGATTCCAATATTTCCATTACCGTTGATCAAAGCCCATCCCACCAAAAACAGACCTGCCCTGCTTGATGCAGTATTTAGACTAAAGCCTATCATTCCGAATACTATTCCCAAGATAACAAAGGGCAAAGACAATATTAGATAACAGAATCTACGACCAAATTTGTCTAAAGCATAAAAAGCAGGTATAGAACTGGCAAGGCTCCAAAATCCCAAAGGAATCTGAGCATACACAGCTTTCTTAGCAGTAACTCCAATTCCTACTAAAATTGGAGTCATATAGTAAGCAATTGCAGTGCCACCGCTAAACTGAGAAGTGAAGCCTAACATTGCTCCGGTCACAAAGGGAGCGCGAATCCGTGGATTGGAAATAATTTCCTTTATATCACCAAAGAATCCTCTCTGGAACTTTTTCCTCTCGTCAAGTTCTTCTTCAACGAGTTGTCGTGCATATTCAAAGTCTCTCAATGAATCAGGTCCATCTCCATGGTATCGAATCCAAACTTTCTTTGCTTCTTCGTTTCTATTATTCTTCATATGCCATCTCGGACTCTCTGCAAACATTACTACACCAACGAACTGAATAAATGCCACTACGAAGCCTGAACCCAAGAATAGACGCCATCTCCACATTGTATCAACTTGAATGGTTATTGATAGCCATATATTTGCAATAAATCCGCCTGCCATCTGAAATGCATTGTAAGAGTTTAGATTGCCTCCTCTAGTTCTCCAAGGAGCTACTTCTGCAATATAAATGTTCATGATCATGCTTTCCTGACCCATGCCGACTCCCATGATGAGTCTTCCAACAACAAGCACTGCATACTCTTTACCGAAAGTTTGCATGCAAGTTCCAACAAAGTATAATATGGTACAAGTCAGCAAAGCTTTCTTTCTTCCTAACAAATCACTGAATGGAATGGCCCTTAAACGATCTGTAAGTAACTTGAACTGACTAGAATGGAAATAAGCTTACGTCACAGAGCCGAGAGTAGCTCCTAAGGACGCTCCTGCAGATATCCACGACCATAGACTAGCACTAATATTTAAATCTGGCTCCGCGTAGATAGACGCAGTGCCTATGACAGATTGGTCCAGACCCATCATCATTGCTCCAAAAGCTGCAAAAAACTGAAACCAATGAAGGAGCCAAGTACCCGACTCATCTATTTGTTGCTTCTGACTTTCCTCCTTTCTTACTGTAAGGCTGTCAGAATGCTTTGGGCAATCTTCAAGATCATGAGTTGTTAATACTTCTTCTTCTGCTTGTTTCTCCATCGATTAAAAAAACCACGCTTTGAATAAGTCCCAGGAGTTTATTTAAATCATTCGAGTAAAAATTGATCTGAAAACATCCGTTACAATTACTCTGAAGGGACAGCAAATGGAAGCTTTGGAGAGATCCAATTGATGGACGTTCCTGTGGACAAATATCAATGCGTTGCCGTCCAAAAGACAATGCTAGTTAGCTAGCACAGCTGTTCAACAATGTTTGAACAAATGTAGTTTCCTTTAAAATGGACCAAATACGAGTTCCTTCAGAAATCGAGATCAGCAGAAAAGTTAAAAAAACGTATAAACATTCTTTTATCCACCGGTGTTACAGACAGTACTGCTATTACTGAACAAACCAAGAAAGAATATTATCAAAGTTTCTATTTGGTTCAGTAAAACTACTCATGGAAATCTTAAATTTGACAATTTACACCTTCAAGTCTCAATGACTCTGAATAATAAGTCTTTGCAAGGTCCAATATAGTAGAAGGTTGCAAGTTACGTATCCCTTCTTCTCCCAATTTGATCAAAAACTCAGCAAATGTACGACAAGGGTCCTCCATTCGTTGTTGCTTTTGAAAATTTAGGTTGCATTCATCTTTTTTGCTCTCTACTCGTGATATATAAGAGCTTATATCTTTGTCAGGATTGAATGTTTGAAAATTTTCGAAGTTTTCAAAGTCTAATGTATAATATTTAGAACCTGTATTGAATGCATGGCATTTTCCCCCCTCCGTCTTCCGTTGCGTAGACTTGCTATCTGAGCTTGCATCTTCTACTGAAGCTTCTAGCGAATTGGAGATTAAAAACTCTATCTTTTGTGGAGTTGTCTCCAATTCTTCCTGTTCTCTTATGCTAAGTAGTTCCGGATGGTACTCTAGCTCTTCTCTCTTTTGAATGAATACCTCTGTCATTCTTCTTATGCCGTTGATTCTCTTTACATTAACACCCATTTCGTTTTTGTGTTTCCTTTGCTCTATTTCCATGTTTTTCAAAAAGGCTATGGCCCTATCAAGTCTTTGAAAATATCTGTAGGGCCATTTCTGTATGCCATAGCTTTTTAAAGAGTTTCGAAGCAAGCTACAAGAGACTGAAAGTTCCTTTGATGCAATATGAATTGGTTTTCTAAAATAAGGTTTCAAAAGAGACAAAGGTAAGGAGTGAGGTTTTCGCTTGGTCATCTTCAGGTAAGCAGAACCGGAGTACCCAAAGTAGAAATGAACGGAACCCATTGAGTGATGGTCTCAGAATTTGGCTTAGACCGTCCTCGAGACAGTTTGGGTCACACTTCACTATTTTCTTGATTTGTCAATATCGTCTAACAGAAAAATTAATAGCGCTCTTTAAAACAATTTCAACGACCCTCGTTCAAAAAGCAATAAATTATTTACGGTCTATGGCATATCAAGGTGTAGCGTCGTTCGATTCCAGAGCAATAACTCTCAATGGCAAAAGGACTCTATTGTTGGGCGGTAGCTTACAGTATCCAAAGATTCATCACACTCAGTGGAACAACACACTGAAACTGGCAAAGGAATGCGGACTGAACTTCCTCGACATATGTAAGAAGCCCTTCTGAATGGAAAGTAATTTACACTCTCTAGATGTATTCTGGAACGTTCATGAAAAGAAACGAGGCATCTTTACTTTTACGGAAGAAGCCGACATATTTCGTTTCCTTCAAATGGCTCATCAACATGGACTTTTGGTGATGCTTCGTCTTGGACCTTACATTTGTGCCGAAACAAGTTATGGTGGATTTCCTTGTTGGCTGCGAGAAATTCCAGGTATTCTCAACTTGTTGTTTCCAGACCAGAGTTCCAAAATCATGAAAACTAGGAATTCAGTTTCGTACGTACAATGATCCTTTTATGCGCGAAGTGAAAAGATGGTTATTTTATATAACTACCTTGTTGAAAGAAAAAAGGCTCTTTTTTCCTCAAGGAGGACCAATCGTATTGGTACAACTTGAAAATGAGTACGACCTAGTGAGTAAAATTCAGCTCTCCAAGGGAGAACAATACCTCAATTGGTACAATGAACTTTATCGAGGTATTCAAAGTCTTTTCTTTTATAAGAAAAAACACAAAACCCAACTTAGAGCTCGCCTTTGATGTTCCTCTTATAATGTGCAGAAGCAGTCCTGAAGAAGTTGGAGAGTTTTGTTCTTGTAGCAAGGAGCCAGAACTTTCCACCATTGCAAGTGTAGAGACTTGCATCGAAACCTTCAATTCATTTTACGGACATAAGAAAATTGCTGATTTGCGAAGAAGAAAGCCTCATCAACCTATCCTCTGGACGGAATTTTGGATTGGCTGGTAGGGTTGCTTGTAACAGTAGTCACTGGACCTTCGTCTACTTACTTTTTTTAGGTATGATATTTGGACCTCCGCTCCGAGAAAACGTTCGACAGAGGTAAAAACATTCACAGAACGAATTCACTCCACTTTGCTCATAAAGTTTAAAGGACGTCATTTATGCTGCACTTCGATTTATAGCGCAAGGTGGTGCAGGTTTCAGTTACTACATGTTTCATGGAGGCACTCATTTTAACAACCTTGCCATGTATTCACAGACTACTTCCTATTACTTTGACTCTCCTATTGATGAATATGGAAGACCGTCTTTTTTATTTTATATGTTGAAAAGAATCAATCATATTCTTCATCAGTTTTCTTCTCATTTATTGTCTCAGGATCATCCTCAAGTTCTTCATCTCTTGCCTCAAGTAGTAGCCTTTATTTGGCAAGAACATTCTTCACAACAAAGTCTTTCCTTTCTCTGTAACGATAGCGAGCAAATTGCATATATCATGTTCCAACAGTCCATGATGAAAATGAATCCTCTCTCCGTAGCTGTCTTCCTTGAAAACGAATTGTTGTTCGACTCATCGTCTGGATATGATTGGCAAATACCATTCAGAGATTTTAAACCACTTGAAAGGGCATATTTTCGTGAATTGAAAACTTTTCAGCTTGATATTCCTATTCCACCTCTGAGTTCAAGCTGTGACTTTTCCCAGTTACCTGATATGCTAAGTGTGACACAAGATGAAACGGACTACATGTGGTATATCTCGAGTGCAACGTTGCCAGTCAGCTCCAAAGAATTTACTTGTGAAAAAGTTTTGCTTCAAATAGAAATGGCTGATTTGATTCATTTATTCATCAATCAACAATACATGGGAAGTTCTTGGATAAAGATAGATGATGAAAGATTTGCCAACGGAAAGAATGGATTCCGGTTCTCTATCGAATTTGAAAACAGTGTGTATCCACAGCCTGTGTTTTCATCAAACAGCAAGCTGTATGTATCTATCTTGGTTTGTTCCTTGGGTCTGATAAAAGGAGAATTTCAGCTGTGGAAAGGAGCAACCATGGAGAAAGAAAAAAAAGGACTATTCAAACAGCCCATAATACACTTCGTTGTAAAGCATTCCGAACTAGAAACAGAGACGATTCCTTTGTCCTTTACTTCCTCGTGGGCGATGATGCCGCTATCTATTATGAAAGACCATCAGTCCGCTTTTGTAAAAGAATACAACATCAAGAATGTAGACAAGCCATTATCCCTAGGTCCTACTTATTATAAGCAAACAGTCATTATAAACAAAGCCATGATTGACGCGGTAGGTGTATGATTCAAGCATATTGGTTGGCAACTCAATTTATGTATAACATAGTTAAAATGGGGCCTTGTCATTGATTTTTCCAGTATGACGAAAGGAATCTTTCGTTGGAATTCCTTTTGTTGTGGTCGCTATTATAGTATACAAGTTTTAGGGAAGGAAAGAGACCCGTCCTTGAGAAATTCACCAGTCCAAGAAGATCATTTATTCAAGAGTACACAAAGATATTACCATATTCCAAAAGGAGTATTACAAGAAAGAAATGAGCTGGAAGTCTTTGAAGAAATTGGAGGAAATTTCATGCAGTTGCGTATACTGTTTGTGGAGTGATAAATTGGAGATTGCCAAAAACTAGTTTTTATCCAATAAAGCTGAATGGCAACTTATTCCACAAAATTCCTTACTTTTGAGTAAATGATAACAAGACTAGGTTATCAAGTTGTCTAAACACAAAGCTTGTATACTATTGTGGAAAGCAACTCGATACATATAAGCTATTTCCAAAATCCTTCTAAAGGAATGGGTAAATATATTTGTAATAAGAGTGAAACAACTCATGATCGCAGGATATCGTAAAAGTACTAGTCAGAAGGCAAATTACCACGTTAAATAAAATAGATAATCAATAGATGAGACACAAAAAACATAATATGACAAGTCAGGAAAGCGAGTTCCGATATCTTATATGGCTTGAATAAATCACCTGTCCTTACGTTGATTGCAACTCCCGTTTCAAATTCTGTAACGCAAAAAACCGACCATAGGGTGTCGATATTCCTTGTTTGCAAAAAGGACAAAAATTATCACCTTTTCCAATAACAACAGGAAATCTTTACATGAACTGAAGTGGCAAGGAACTAGGTGAGCTACTATTTCCTTATAGAAAATTTCACAAGAAAGTTGCTCAAGCGAAGGGAAAACTGCGAATAGGCTAACCAAGAAAAGACGCGGGCATCCCAATCCTCTCTCTGGATCCTCTAGTTCTTGTAAGAGAAGACCGAAAAAGTCTTTGAACATAAAGTTAGGAGAATAACTTCACCCTCGTTAATCCTGTGCCCAGTTCCATAGAATGGCGAGATAACATAGAACTTCTTCAAGTATCGTGAAAACAAAAAGGACAGACTCCAAGGAATCCGCTTTAGTAATAGTAGTTCACGTTTAAGCATAGTCTATATTAGAACCTTGACATCATGGCGCTTTCCTCAGTTTATCTAGAAATCATAATATACAACATACATTTTGTGTGAATATTTTTTTCAAATGTCCTACTGAAAGATTATGTCTTCATCTCTTCCATTTGTAACAATACACAATCTTTACACAGGAAAAGAATGGCACAATGATAAGAAGATACATTTTCCGTTTCAAAGCCAATATATTGATATAAATTGAAAACTCAAATAGATATCTCTAATAATCTTACTTTGTATGGTAGTGAAAAGAAACATTTTTTTTGCTTTTAAAGTTCTCAAGTGTTTCTTGCATAATCTTACGATAGAAACGACAACGAAAACAAAAAAACTAACCTTGGTGAAAGCGACAACATACGGTTGCCGGGAATCGAACCCGGGTCACGTCCGTGGCAGGGACGCATTCTACCATGATCCAGTATTGATTCCTTCTAGACCACAACCGTTGTCCAGCCTTCTCCAATAGACTACTTTCAAACAAAATGATTTTCCTATATAATAAATTAAATAGCTTGTCATAAATTGCTTTGGCGGCTTCAAGTAACTCTCCTTTCAGAAATCAACTTTGTGGAGCTAGGATTCTTTGAATAGATACACATAGCCATATGCATTCCGAATCCATGAACTGTAATGGACACGAAAAAACCTTATCTTCGGGTATCATCGGTATAGAAGTGTATTTTCCACAGACGGTGGTTTCGTTGAAGGAGTTGGAAAAGTTTGATGGGGTTTCGCAAGGGAAATATACTATCGGTATGCTTTTTTCATCAAAAGTGCCTTTTGGTACTTGTTTGAGAACTAGAGAAACTTTGATTCCTGACCAGTGCTTTCTTAGGTCTTGGACAAGATAACATGAGTTTTTGCGGTGACCGTGAAGATGTGATATCAATCGCTATGACTGTATTGGATTCGTTAGTATCGAAGTATGGCATAAGTTATGGTGACATTGGCCGTTTAGAGGTTGGCACTGAAACAATTATCGATAAAAGCAAGTCTGTAAAGACTGCCTTGATGCAGCTTTTTGAGTCTTGCGGAAACACAGAAGTCGAGGGTTTGGATACCACCAACGCCTGTTACGGTGGAACTCAAGCGTTGTTCAACACACTGTATTGGTTGGAATCTCCATATTGGAACGGCAAATACGGAGTTGTTGTTATGGCAGACATTGCAGTTTATGCTCCAGGACCTGCCAGACCAACTGGAGGTTGTGGTGCAGTTGCTTTGCTTTTGGGAAAAGGGAAGGAAGTAAAACTCATTCCAGAGGTGCAGTTACGAGCTACTCACATGGAAAATACTTATGACTTTTTCAAACCTAATCTTTCCTCAGAATATCCAACTGTAGATGGTGCGAAAACTATTAGCTGTTATCTTCGTGCATTGGATACTTGCTATTCTCGTTTTATCCATCGCGCTGAAGGACTTACCAAACAAGACAACTTTTCACTACAAGACATTGATTATATTGTGTTTCACGCACCTTTTCATAAAATGGTGCAAAAATCTTTCGCTCGCCTACTCTTCAATGATTTTAAACGTGACCCTGAGAATACTTTTTTCAAGGACGTTCAACAGTTTGGAAATATTTCTATGGAAGCTTCTTATAGCGACAAAGATTTAGAAAAGGCATTTGTTACTTTATCGAAAGCTTTGTATGAAGAGAAATGTGCGCCTGGTACTTTCCTCGCCAAGAATATTGGCAACTCATATACAGCATCGTTGTACGGTAATTTGGCTTGTTTGATTAACGAAAAAGGAAACGATTTGATGAACAAGCGCATTGTGCTTTTCTCTTATGGCTCAGGTTTAGCTTCATCTATGTTTTCGTTGAAAGTAATTCAATCAGTACAACCTATAGCTCAAAAATTGGATATGAGAACGCGTCTCTCTTCTCGTATATGGATGAATCCGGAAGATTTCACGAAAACCTTACAATTACGTGAGCAACGTTATGGACAGATGGACTATTCGCCATCCAACTCAATTGATTCATTGTTACCTGGGACATTTTACTTGGAACAAGTGAACTCGATAGGTTGTAGGAAATATAACCGAAAATAGTATGTCGTTTCTCATTAAACAAATCGGAACTTACTCTCGATCTGCAATCCCTTTGTTTCTTTATTTCTTTATGGTGCATCCCAACGATATCCAAAACGACTCAATAGGCCTTTAGCTAAACTGGTAGGAGCGGTCAACGTATTCGATATTCTATTGGATGAATTATCTCCGTGTTCAACGAGATTGTTGTTTGAACCACTTGTCAGGTCTTCTTGTTCCTTTCTATTATTAAAGTTGACAGTCTTTTTAAGCTCTTCCAATCGAGACTCCAACGCTGCAATCATTCCTTGTCTTCTATAAAAGTCATTTTCATTTCTTAACAACAAGTCGACGCCTTCCAAAAGAGCTTCAAAGTGTACAGATCCATATTGTATCACATGTGAAACCATCCATTCCATTTGTAACTTTTTGATTTTCTTTGTCAACATTTCTTCATCCTCATCCAACCATTGAACAACCCACTGATCATCCTCATCAAATACCTGATTAATAGCTTCCAACTCATTCTCTTGAGTATTCATTACAGATTCTTTCCTGATTTCTTCTTCTTGTACAACATTTCTATACTGTGCAGCCCACTTTTTCAATAACAAAGTACATTCCTCATGATTCAAGGAAGCATTGGCTTGCATCATCCATTTTCGAACAGAATCTTCAGCTAATCTTCTTTGTAACCTCCAGAAGAAGAATGAACGAGCCTCTTTCCAAGGAACAATCTTTCGAATGGCCTTCTTTGCCAACATCCTACCAGGAGTGTCGTGTAAATCAGCAAATGTCAAAGCAATTCGTCGATAAATAGGCATCAATTCTGATTCCCTTACACGAATGGCTGCTAATATTTGTTGTCTTTTATCATTTCCTCCTATTTGAGATAATCGTGGAGAAGTAGCATTATTCGTTGTTGAAGAAGATTCTTCGTGACTCAATGGGAGTTGCAATTCCTGATCTAAGGCTTGCAATTGTGGGTCCAATCTGTGCATCGTTTTCAACAATTCCCTTTTGCGATATTTTACATCAATAGTTCCTTCAGGTTCTAAGACACCACCTCGTGAAGTTTCATCTGCATACATTTCAATATGTTGTGAATTAATCTTTGTATCCAGAACAACCCAAGCTCCACCTCTCAATTCTCCATATGGTAATATATAAACAAATACGGGTTGTGAGTAAGTTCTCAAAGCATCCACTATCATGCTTCCATATTTCAATATTTCATCATACATGTCACGCATACCGCCACTAAAACCTCTCCAATTGGCTAAAATAAATAAAGGAAGTCCTTCTCTATTCATATCTCTAATGGCTTGAGCCGTCTTAAAAGCAGAGTCTGGATACCAAACTTGACCCGCTTGTATAATCACTTTCTCAGTTGTTTCTGGAGAAGCAGGATCAGCTGGATATACTTTCTCCATCGTTCTTGTTTCTGGAACAATAACACCCACAGGAATTCCACCTAAACGTGCTCTACCACATATAACAGTTTTGGCCCAACCAGACATTGCTTCCATCCAACTTCCACGATCAAAAAAGCCACCAATAAAACAAGTCTTTGAAGTTATTGTATTGGTACTCCATGAAGACATTCCACTAACAGACTCAAATTCCACTTCGTCAGGAGAACCAGAATGCAAAGACTCCATTCCTGCAATCAGATATCTCGGATCATAAGGTGACTTGGATGGTTGGAAAGATATCTCTCTATGAACAGGATCCATGGGTTCAATAATAGGTAACTTGTCATATCTTTTTTGAGGCACAAAACTAAGCCATTCCAAAATATTATCCACACCTGCCAAGTCATCTTTCACTACTCGTTGAGAAACTCCGTTTTTGAACATCACTCGAATACCTCCCAATTGTTCATTACTTACATAAACATCATGACCCAAAACTTTGTTCAAAGCTGAAAATCCAGTAAGTATAATAGGAGCAGCATTCTCTTTCTGAATAACTCGCTCTCCTAATCGCACCAAATATGCACCAATTCCAACACTACGAGCAGTTACATAAGTTATCGTAAAAGTTTGTTCATATGCTGCACTCGTTTCACCAGCAATCCAACCTGAACCAACCAAATTCTCTACTCCTAATCCATCTTCTGAACCTATTATATCTTTGATCATAAACCTTTTACTATCATTCCAATCCACAATAAGGTCGTTATCTTCTGCAATTACTTGAACACTAGAACCAATGTTCTTCAAATCTTCTTCACTAACATAAAAATGACGGAAACCTTTGGAAGGATCTCCTTCATCTACCCAATCTACCTTGAAACATCGACGTACTTCTTCTGCCAGACCGATTCGTGCTCCACTATTGGCTGCAATATAAATTCTAGGAATACCTTCTTGACTAGCTAAATGACTAGCAGCTGCAAATAATCTATCTTCTTCAATACTAAGTGAACCACTCAGATGTGTTATATCACTACCAATAACTATAACATCTCTTCCACCGGGATATTCAGGAGTTCTTAGAATAGCTCTCCAGGCCACCATTCCAATACTATTCTGTCCCGGTTCTCTATGAACAGCCTTTAGAGTTTCATCTTCTTCCAATATTAACTCTGTGAATTCGGCAACTCGGGAAGGAACTTTTTGTCTCTTGAAGCCTTCCAATCGTCGTTCTTGACTATATTTTCTCCATCTTTCCTCCAATGCTTTGGTAAATAAATGACGGAAATCATAAATATACGTAGTTTCCAAAGTTTGTGCCAAAACACGTTTGCGTTGTAATTTATCCATAACTTGATAAGGTTGGTCAACTGCAGTTCCATGTAGATGGCCAGGATTGGAAGGATCTAAAGTCATCAAATGAGTAACGCCTGATAATGGGTCCAACTGCTCTAAATATCCTTCCACTTTCAAAGAATGTCCCGTAGGATTGAATAGAATAAAACGTAAAGGCCAAGCAACCGAAGATTTGTGACTTAATGAATAGGAACGAGCTCTCGAGGCTTTAGCACCATTTGCAGAATGACTAGCATTGCTATTAAGGAAATTGGAATTGCCACCATGTAAAGTATTACGAAACACTTGAACACGGACTTCAACTACAAATACTCGAAGTTTGAAGCATCGAGCTGCATAGCGAAGAAACATGCGACGACAAATGGCTTCCACTTCATCGGAATCGATGGAAACCTAATACAAAAGAAGAATGTAATTAGATATTCAATGAATATGTAAAAAAGTGTACACTTACTGGTGGTAGTACACATAAAAAGATGTGATTAAATTCCGTATATCTGAAACGTCTATCACAACGAGCCATTTCTAAGGCATCCAAAGACTCTGCAAAGCTTCTTTCCGCTTCAGGAATAGAAATGGCCACTTCATTAGGTAACAATAGAGCATCTGCATTCCTAATGAAAGAACGTACAAAGAAGCGAGTATCCATATCCTTATTTTCTGAAAAGTCCAATTTCGATGATCTCTTATCCTGAGCATAAAATACGTGAATAGAATGACTAGGATATGGATATCTCGTAATTTGGAAATTCATCATACGATGAAGTTCCAACTGAAATGCCATTGGAGGATCAATATGTCTATAAATGAGATCCTCAGAATAGTCTGATGAAGAGCGAAATGTATAGTATTGAGGAAAAGTGTCTTCATTCTCGGACAAGAAAACAATAAATGTCACCAACTTGATACCAGCTTTAATCATTCTTTCCTTTCTTTGTGGTGAAGAATGTAATAAATCCTTTAAAGAAAGAGCAAATGGATCAATCGAAGCATTGCTATTATCGAAATGCTGTTGGTCGTTATTGGAAGATTGTTCCACCTCTGAAGATGTTTGAGATAATACATCACGTTTTTTGGGTGATGAAACCAAAGTATCTAGCCAAGGAACACAAAGGGATAATATGTGAACTTGTTGCTCTTCTTCCTTAGATACTTGATTAAACTTTTGATAATTATCGATGACCATATCGATACGATCAACCAAATCTCCAAAGGAAGGAAATATAGCAAACATGCCAAACCGAAAAGGAATTTCTTCGACTTTGCTATCCAATCTCGTAAGATTATCTGCTGAATCATAAGAAGAAATGGCAGCAGCTCGAACTGATCGACTGGAGGAACTATTATCTCCTTGATGAAAGGAAGAGACCCAAGCGCTTCCTGGAGGAAGTAAACGAAATTGCCAAAATGCTGATAAGTAGTCATTCTCTTGCGGTTCAAGAATGGTAAGATTGGAGACTTGATATGCTCTATACGCTCGATGTATATGTAATTCCACAGCAGTTTTCAATAAAGAATAATCATTACAAGTCTTCGATTTTCGAAACAAGGCAATAATAAATGGAAGTAAAATATCCAAATGAGAATCCTGACGATGAAGAACATCTTGTATTGCTTCGTCTCGACTATCGTTTACGTCTACGAGTTGTTCTAATAAGGCCAACAACTTGGATTTGCGTTCTTCTAAGCTAGGCCTTCGAGCTCTTGCAAGTAACAGACGTGCTCTCAAGGCAACATCTGCAAATGGAGGTTTCGAAAAGGTACTCAATTCTATAAGACACTGTTCCAAACCCTTTAAATTACAAAGTGCAGACTCCCAAGGTACCAAAAAGTCTAAAAACCCAAGTATTATTTTGTTCTTCACAGGTAATTTCATATGAGATATTGCTGCATCTACAACATTCGAAAGATCATCTTTATACGACTCTCTCATCTCAAATAAAACATCTTCAGCTCGCTTATTCCTTGAAAAAGGTTTCTCAGTTTCAATATATTTCTGTAGCAGTTCCGAAATTTCTTTCAACGCAAACCAAGTCATTCCATATTCAAAACGACTCAATACTTCCGTAAGTGGAATGACCTTTTGAAGAAATTCGTCCCTTTCCGAGGTTCTCAAACTACTTCGATGTTGGTCCAACAACTGAATCATTTGTTTCACTTTATCCGAAACTCGGTCATCGATACTCATTTCAGAAGGAATTGAGGGGTTTGTGTTTTGTTTCTTTGTCAACTTTTCTGCTAGTAACTGAGGAGCATTTTCAGTTCTAGATTCCATTTTGGGTATTGAAGAGTACTTTACAGTGTCGTTCCAGAGAGACTCCAGAATGTTGCATAGATTATCCTATTCCACAAAAAACAAATTTGGATATATTATTCAAAGGAGATAATGGACTCATTACTTACATATATATGTTTGGGAAGATAAGACACCAATTCTGATACTACTTCATGAATCTCTCCAAATGCTACTTGAGGATTGAATAACAACTCAAGAAACTCTTCCATACAATTCTCGTTTGCATCATAACCATCCATTATCATTTGTATCGAACTCTTGCAAACTCTCAATTTTTGATAAGGTTTATTACTTGGTGCACTCGGAGGTCTCATCGCTGGAAGTTGACCTTGAAAAGGAATGGGTCTTTTTACTTCAGACTCATCATCTAGTTGTAATGTTGCAAGAATCTCTCCAATTTCTACAGATGCACCATCTGATTTGAGTAAATGAACTCGACCACCTGCTGTAGCATATACTGTAATGTACATCTTCATTGCTTCCAATTCTGCAATAGGCGCTTTCACCGAAACTTTGTCATTTTCTTTCACCAAGTAGCGAACCAATTTTCCATTCACATGTGACTTGATTTGCGTAGGATCATTTGCTTTAGGAAACACACATGTCTTTCCATCTAAAGTAAGTCTCGTACAAAGTGCTTCCTCTCTCAAATAAGAAACATGAGAATGACCATCTACCAATAGTAATCGACCTCCATCTGCAAAGTATCTTACTTCGACATCCACTTGAGAACCATTCAGGCTCACCTAAGTCATTCAATGTCATTTGATTCAAGTTTTGTGTTAATGACTTACATTGAAGCTAACTGGTCCCTTTCGGGAAACCAAAAAAGAATAGAGATAATTCTCATATACCAACTCAATAGGAAACTCGATGAGACTCAAATCCTTTGGAGGTAATTGTCCTCGAACCAAACACGAAATATATTCCGATGAGTGTGCTTCCAACATGGCACAAGCTTTACAAACTGCTCCAGCAATTACTGCAAGTTCAGTTGAAGGCTTTTCTGTAATTGCCTTGGATGCTATCAAACCATCCAACCATTCTGTAGTAACACGACAAGCTTTAAAGTCTTCAGACTCTAACAACCGAACGATATATTCTGTAGCTGTTCTTATTTCTCCACGAATACTTAGTTCCTTCAATGCTAATACCATATTACGCCTAGACATTTCTCTATCTTCACCCCAAGCAAATAGATGACCAAACTGAGAATCCGAATATTCATGAACACCTCCACTAGTACCAACCGAAAAGTAACCCCAAACATTAGGAGTATTCCGAAATGCCAATTCTTGAATGGCTCCTGAAGTAGGTTGAAAGCCTTCATCTGGATTCTCCGCAGTGATTCTCACAGCTATAACATGACCATGTGGACTCTTTCTTCTTTCCGGTGCAAAAATGTTCTCTGCATTATTATGATTACTGTTGTTGTCGTTGTTGTTATAAACAAAGGGCTTCCATTGATGAAATGTTCTTAAACTAGGAATATGAGTCAATGGAATTCCCATGGCAATCTGCAATTGTATTGCTGGAAGATTGAGATTCGTTATCCATTCCGTCACTGGATGTTCTACTTGAAGTCGTGGATTGAGTTCCAAAAAATAAAATTCTCCTTCTTCACAAGTTCCATGATATAAATATTCTACAGTCCCAGCACCACAATAACCAACCTCTTTAGCAAGTCGAACAGCTGATTGTTCCATTTCTGACCAAAGACTAGCAACCGCTGCTATAACGGGACCCTCTTCAACCATTTTCTGATGTCTTCTTTGAACGGAACAATCACGTCCATACAATGCAACTGCATTTCCATATTCATCTGCAACAACTTGAACTTCTAAATGCTTAGCACTAGAAACTACTTTCATCATAAAAATAGGACTACCAGGAACTTCACCTTTTACTTGACGATAGGCATTGTTGATTTCATCGACATGATGTGCCATTCGAATACCTTTTCCACCACCGCCTTCTGAAGCTTTCAACATGACTGGATAACCAATTTCATTGGCTACTTGTACTGCTTGAGATTCACTAAAAATGCAAGTTTCTCGAAATATCTCTTCAGGAATACCTTGAGAGCGATAATCGACTGTTACTCCAAAACCTGACCAAGGCACTACAGGAACTCCAACCGACTGTGCTAATAGAGTTGAAGATATCTTATCACCCAAAGCACGCATAGCAGCCGCATTGGGACCTAAAAAAGTTACTCCAACCTGAGATAGACGTTCTGGTAATCGTGGATTCTCTGAAGCATGGCCCCAACCAGCCCAAACTGCATCAACTTGAAACCGTTCTGCAATATCCACAATAAGTTCTACATTGGCATAATTAAAATTATTAGAACCGCCGGGTACTGGGACCAACTGATCTGCTAGTCTCACGTACTCTGCGTTGGCACGAATGTCTTCAGGTGTTGCCATCGACACAAATTCTATCAAACGTTCGTTTCCAAATACTTCATAAAGCCATTTTCTCATAGATCTTATAGCCTTGACAGCTGCGATGCCGTTATTCGCAATCAACACCTAGGTTTATTTGTCAAGGTTCAAAGTGAATGGATGGTTACAAGGACACTCAGAAACCAACCTTTCTAATAACCCTCTTTCCATGACATAGTTCTACATATTCTTCTATTGTATTTTTTGTTTGAATTGGGTATTCTTCTTGGTTTCGTGTAGTATTGAGTTCCATGTGTTTGTCTCTATTCTGTAGTGTTCAACAAGCTTCCAATATTATTCAGTCTTGGAAATATAAAACAGTTGTTTGCTTATTATAGCTATTATTATTATTATGACTATTGGTTCAACCTTATCAATTGTTCTATAAACAAATATAGTTACTTTGATCAGAATAGAGACATAATACACAAGCAAGACAACAATACTTCTTCTTCCAATGGACAAAACAAAAAGGAGGATCCTGAAGAGGGTTGTCTCGTTTTATCCATTTGAGGAACACTACAATCTACACTATTGCTTATTATCTACCTCTTCTACCAAAGGCTTTTCTCTGCAAGTTTCTTCTTCACCTTTTACAAGTTCTCCCAGAGAACGGTCCACAAAAATATTCTTAAAGACCAAATATACATACACTGTTCAACAACCATTCTCCCACTTTAAAATAAGACTTTCAAAAACCTTACCATTTCAATAAAACTCTCCTCCTCTTGACTTGGTTCCAAGTTAGGAGAATCACTCTGCAATAACTTTTCATTTTCTTCCCGTAATTTTGATAAGAAACCTTCCACTTTCAACTTGGTTTCCTGAAAATGGGCAGTTGGTACTTTTTCTGACGTTTCTTGGTGTTGTTTGTTTAAGAACTGTAATTGGTCTATACAATAACCCTAACTATGGAAGCTTCCTATAAAGCCAATAATGACTTGCCTAGTAAAATATGGGGGTTTCCACAGTTTAATAAGGATCTGTCTGTAGAACAAGTAGACTTTTTCTGTTTCTTTCTTTTTTGAGTAAAGGAATCACAACCATTCTTCCACAACATTACTTCATTCGTCTATTGATAATTTGTTTATGCTGCTTTTTGATGTTTCGAGCAGTGAAAAGAGCTTTGTCTGAAGCAGCCAACCTATATGATACTTGTCAAAGTGTTTCATCTTCTTCTTCCAACAAACCCATTGGGCACTCATATCAAGGAACAAGACTTTGTTTCGGTGAAAGAAAAGTTCAAGTTGGGCCTCTTATCGCAGAAGGTGGATTTTCCTTTATTTACAAGGCTACTGATGAAGATTCACTGGAGAAGTTTGCCCTAAAAAGAACTCTGTGTTTGGATAAAGAATCCTTTGACATGGCATATTCAGAAGTACAAGTATTTCAACTCCTTCCACCTCATCGCAATATTGTAAGATATTATGGTTCTCAAACCAAAGACCTTGAAAAGGGAAACAAAGAAATACTGATATTGCTAGAGTTGTGTCAAGGTAAGAGTTTAGCAGAAACTCTATTTTTAAATAGTGCCAAAGTGGAAGAATATTGGTCGGAATCAAAAGTAATTCAAGTATTTCAAGACGCCTGTTCAGCAGTAGCTCACTTACACGCACAGCATCCAACAATATCTCATAGAGATATCAAACTGGAAAATTTACTCAAAAGTACTTTGGACAATTGTTTCAAGTTATGTGACTTTGGAAGTTGTTGTTTCAATTCTACCCAAATCACCAACAGGAAGGAACGTTTTGAACAAGAATATATTCTTCAAAAGCAAAGCACTTTTATGTATCGTGCTCCAGAAATGGTGGATTTGTATGGAAAACAAGTAAGTTTCCATATTTTGATAAAGTCTGATGCTTATGAATACTCTTAGAAGTTGACTGAAAAAGTGGATATATGGGCATTGGGTTGTATTTTGTACATTTTATGTTATAGAAAACATCCCTTTGAAACGGGGTAAGTAGAAAGTCATAATGGAATGAATTGTCCAACTTATGTGGACCACCATCAAGTTCGGCTGTTCAAATATTAAATGGCAAAGTGGATATTCCTTCAGTTCCGACATATTCCGTTGCATTGAGGAAGCTTATTTTGGACATGTTACAAGTTAATCCAGACAAGAGACCAAGTGCAAATGATATTATTTGTGTCTTGAAGTCTTTGCATCAAACTACATCCTCCTCTTCCTTTTCTTGCAGTTCTAGTTCAAACCAGTCTATCCTTCCATTAGGTAAGGAAGAATGTCAGTTGTTCTTATTTCATAATGAATTCCCAAAAGAACCAATAGTTGGATCAGTTGGAGAGGATTGGGCTCACTTTGGTAACGATGAAGATACCAGAGTTGCTGATGAAGAACCAACTTTGATAAACTTGGAGTCTCCAGTATCTTCCAAAGGAGCAGAGAAACATATTTTTGATTTGTTATAATAACCTAAGAAGTTCTGCTGGAATCTTCATGATCAATCAAATATTGCCATTGATAGGAACCATCCTTATTATCTTTCAATTCAATATTTATCTTTTTCAGTTCCACATCTCGAATCATATCGCAAATGTCGAATATCTGTTTTCTCAGTTGTTTATCATCGATAGTCTTATCTTTCAATAGCATTCTTAGTTGCTGACGAAACTTGGCAATGATTTCTATCCATTCAGAATCTCGTGGTGAATGAAACGAGTTGTCCTTATTTGAATGACTTGGCATTTCTAGTCCAAAGATATGAAATAGTTGATGAATATATTGATATGCATCTCTTAATATTCCTAATCGAGTGATAGTCTTGATAGAATGGTTTGTATCCTTTTCCCATTCATCCATCCATCGATGCATATTTCTACATTGAACAAGTATGATTTGAATCACCAAAGGAGTATTTAAATTCATAGCCAAATTATATGCAATTTGTGTTTTCCATTCAACAACTTGTTGCTTGTAGGACATTTCGATTGCTATCATTGTTGGCGATAATGAAATAGGATAATCATCCAATGGTTCATGTTGATGAAGAAAACTACGACAACGTTGATCCCATTCCAATAATCTTTTCCAAGTTTGTTTGGCTTCTTCTATTTGTTCTTTTCCATACTCTACTGGAGACTGATAATGATGTAATAGGCAAAACATTCTAAACTCTGCAGCACTCATGTTGCACAACATTTCTTGTATAGTAATAAAGTTTTTGAGTGACTTGGACATCTTTCTACCTGCAATGGAAAGATGTCCAATATGTAACCAATATCGACACCAGTTTTCTCTTTCAAAATAAGCACAACATTGTGCCAACTCATTTTCGTGATGAGGAAATATCAAATCGATTCCTCCACCATGAATATCCAATTCTGATCCAAATAGAGCGTTGATCATTGCAGAACATTCAACATGCCATCCTGGTCGACCTTTGCAAATCATCCAAGGACTTGGCCATCCTGGTTCATCATCATTGGAACGTTTCCATAATACAAAGTCTCGAACATCACGTTTATGTAGTAAATAATCACTTTCTTGGTCCCAACTTGTCAATGGAGAATGGACACAACGGAAACGACCATATCGGTAAGTTAAACGATCAACGGCAAAGTACACACCACTTGATGTCACATATGCCATTTCATTATCTATCAACTTTTGTATGAATTGAATGATGGATGGAATATGTTGACTAACTGCTAAAATGGCATCTGGAGAACGAACACCTAAAGCTTTCATATCACGAAAAAACTGTTTGGTATATTTACTTGTGATATCCAATACTGTTGTTTGATTCTCACGTGCTTTGTGAATAATCTTATCGTCTATATCGGTTATTCCCAAGGCTAAAAATACACGAAAGTGAAAGTAGTCTTCTAATATTCGACGAATAATATCAAAAGTAACATAAGTCCGAGCGTGTCCTATATGAGCTTCGTCATAAACAGTTGGACCACAAATATACCAAGACAAATAGGAAGATGGAGTGTCTGAAGCATAACAGATAGGTCGTAAGTCATCTTTTCCAGACTCTACAAGACTACTTCGAACAAAAGGTTGCCAATGGAAACTAGTTGGTGAAGGTGAATCGGATGCATTATGTTTGTTTCTAAATTGAGCGGATATTGTCCTTCTAAAAAGAATAGACTTTGGTAAGTAACACCATAATCGTCCACTTGTCTTACCCAACAACATTTTGGAATATCATTTTGTTGGTTGTTTCGTCTTCTTTTTAGACAAATGTTTCATTGGAAGGAGTCGCTGGTTTATGCAAAGGAATCATGAACAGAAAACAAACACAAGACGAGTTCACAAACGTAGCAACTGCCAATTGTATTCCTACTATGGAGTTTTCAGAGAATACTTTCAAGCTTGCTTGTCGTGCCACTGTTGGATTTCTATTGTTATCAGTGTTAGTTTTTACTCAAAAGTTCTATCATTTGGAATATGGCCCTCTTGCCATTATCATGTTCTTATGTAGCATAACGTTTTCAAGTGACCAGTTGGAATTTGGTTTTGTTTCACTAGGTTGCTTGCAAAGTACCGCTTCTCTTCTATTTGGGGCTTCTTTTGGATACATAGCTGCTTGGATATCAGGAAACAGTAACTTGCTTACTGTAGTAAGTGCAGCTATAGGAACTGGACTATTCACAGCTTTGCATCCGTATCAGAAAATCAGTTTCATTACGAGCAACGGAGAAATTTATTTTATTTTCAACCTTTTAGATAGTAAAAAGTCTGCAGATAGTAACATTCTATGGAATACTTTTTATGAGACGATGATAGGAGCCCTATTAGCACATATGACTGCATTGTTAGTATCCATAGCTATTTTCCCAAAGTCTATTCATCGAGAAATGTTTCATTGTCTATCACTTTCATTTGATTATGCCGGTTCAGTACTTTCCAAAGCAGCTACGTTATTACTTCATTGTTTTGCAGAAGGCAATAAGGAACTTATCTCTTTGGAACTTTCACAAGATATGCAACAGCATTGGAATCAAGCAAAGGGCTATTTTGAAAAAGCTCAAGCAATGAGAAAATGTCTTTTATTTGAATGGAATGTTCGGTATCCAACTTCTCAAGAAGCCAATGGAGTATATTTGGAGTCTTTGATGAACGAATGGCAGTCATTCTTGGATACATTACAAGCACTTCAAATACTTGTGACAAAAGGACAAAAACGATATAGCGATGAAATATTATTACAGTGGAAATCTTTTATGGACTGGCTTCAAATATATTTCGCTTGGATGGCATCTAAATGTCATCGTTATTCTATGATATCAGAAATACACAATAACAGACCAAAGCTATTACAACTATGGCAAATAGAGAATACCAAAGAATCTCAAGAATGGTTGCAACCGAATGATTCTCTCTCATTTCGATTTCATCAAGCATTCAGAGAATATTTTCAAGCGGTTTCCAAGAATGAAATATCCAATCTTTCTATTTTTGATCATGGTCCTCTTATGTATTTCATGGTTATTACAAATACATTGAAGGATCATATGGAAATGTTGGATAGAAATCTCAATGAACTTGCTCAAATGGAGCCTTGTTCCGTTTGGCGTCGTTTTCAATTCCAAATAGTATCAACATTGGATGTTCTGGCTTGGCCTTTTTATGGTTGGCTAAATGTATTCAAAGCCATTCCTAAAGGGTGCTTAGAATGGAAGGCACTAGTCAAAAACAATCAGTTCCAATTCTTTCTCAAAAAGTGGTTGGTCAGTTTGAGTATTTTGACATTTCTACTTGCCAGTCCATTTTATGAACAGTTTGCGAATTTCAATGGAGCTTGGTTATGGCTATCATATATTTTGTATATGCAGCCCTCTACAGAAGGTACTCTCATGAATGGAATTGCCAACATATTGGGCGTATTCTTTGCCTGTTTAGCAAGTGCATTGATCATGTTGCGGCCTTCTATAGCCACCAACGGCTATCTATTGGATGCCTATCTAACTGTTATCACTTTTATCACAGTCTTATTTCTTACGAGTCCCATTTCAGAGACTTTATTGACATTTTCCTTCACAGAATATGTTTTAATCCTGTATTATTTCAACCCATATGAGTTTCATGAAACTTGGCGTTATTCTCTGACAAGATTCTTACAAATTTTGTTAGGTATCATTATTGCAGTATTAATGAATACTTGGATACTAACGTTTTCTGCTTTGGAGGAAACAACGTCGTGTCTTTCATCCTTGTTGGAGAAAATGGTGTCTTCTCATGCGATGTTAGGTACCTCTGATTACGTTGTTCTTGAGCATGCCGAGAAGACCTATCATCAACTCAACTTGAACAGCATGTGGAAAGAGTTTTCTTATATTTCCTCGGTATTGGATTCTATTTGTAGTGGTATATTAGAAACGACTGGTGTAAGTGTTGTCTCTAAAGAAATCTTGACAGTTGTACGTGTAGAAGAGGATTTACTGCATCGTCTGAAAGCACTTGTGATTGTTTCTCGTGGATTGCCGTTATTGAAGAATTGTATTCCATTCCATTCCAAATTCTTTTCATTTATGAAAGATGCATTGTCTGAAGATTGGAGCACTTTGTCGCTTTTAACCCAACAATTAACAAGTCTCGTGGAGCACAAGTTAAAACATACCGAAACTTTCCGATGTTCAGAGTTTTTGAAAGATTTAACACAACAAGCTCAGAAACGAATAACTGATGTTGCACAGGAGGTTAGTGTGAACGCAATACAAGGAGTTACTCATAATATATTGACTGGATTGGAAAATTGCATCGATATATGGAGTAACAATCCTCATCATGATATGTCCTCATCATTACCATCAGATAATGATACAAGAGAAGAAGCTCATGATAGAGTTTCCGATTGGCTTTCTTTATTAAGTATTTCAATCATTGAACAATGGAAGAGACATTTTCCTATCCAAGATACGGTCATGACAGATCATTCTCAAGACGTGACACTGAAGTGGATGACTCCCTCCTTGGCAAAGGCATATATAGAAATACTTGAACGAGGAGAAGAGTTGTCGAAAGAGAATGATGCTCATCATTGGTTGGAATGCAAAAAAGCATTCTTAGGTATGAGGCATTTTAAGGGAAAGTTGACAAGGAATCCCTTTGGTAGGTTGCCAAATGGACATCGAAGTATATTATTTCAAAGAATGAAGAAATTGAAAATGAACAAATGTGGTTTGTCACAAGTTTCACAATTGACTCGTATGGAATATCAAACATTTCCAATCATAGAGACAACATGGAATGACAGAGTTCAACTGTGTATCCGAGAATGGAAAAGGGCTCAAGGCATTCTTTATCTCCATTGTATGTATTTGGAATGGCATTTCTTAAAAGGATTGCTTCCTCTTGAAGAAGGACATGAAGTTATTGAGGAACCATTATATATTCTCTATGGAGATGAGTACATTGATTGGTTGGCTAGACTCTTTGCTAGTGCATATTTTATGGAAGGTTTGATTTCTTTGGCAATAGAGTTGACCAGAATTTCTTAAAAATCGTAAATGACAAATATTTCATTCTCTGGAGGAATATTAGAAAAGGATATGTATGATAAGAACAGATGGGTATGTGCAGTATATAAGGGAAGTCTGGAAAAATGAATGTTTGAATGGTCTTCTCATATAAAAAGAAATGTTTATGTAATATTCTTCTGGTTCTTTTGTTTTATTTGTCAACAACATTAAGACACTAAGTCCTTCTCGATCGACAATTATGATTTGATATGTGATTATCCAATATTATTCGGTCGATATGTGTAAACCTTGTACCTTTTTACGTCTACTGAAACAACCAGAGCAGTCTCTGGTTGTTGAAGCTACAAAGTTGCATGTTTCTGGAGAAGAAAGTAAATTGCAGGTGAACCTCACAGAATTATGGTATAGTTTATGTAAAGAGGACAAGTCTCTCACTTTTCAAGACTTTCGAAATGTGGATCCTTTGGTACCTATCCAACCTTTATTTTCTGTTTGGAATGAAGTGTTATGTGTTGTGGTTGGAGATACTCGAGCGCTTCTATATTTGGACAGTTTATTACTTTTTAATAGTTCATCTTGCCCATTTTTGCTGTCGCACGTGGCACAACATTTGCCTAAGAACAGAACGGTGGAATGGGGACATGAGAAACTTCATCCTCGTATTGCTCTTTTAGAAGGATTGGTTAGTGGAATAATATTGTTACTTGAAAAGGAACTGGCAGAATTGGAACCTCAGCTTTTGCATTCTCTGGAAGCCTTACAAACTGCGTATGATTATGACCAGCTTGGTATTTTACGAAAGTGTTCGAGAGACTTGGAAGTGTTGATGAAGAAATGTGATAGTTTCTACAATGAACTGGAGAATGTGCTCCAAGATAGCAAGTTGAGTTTTTGGATATTGGGTAAAGTGGAAGGGGAACTCAATCCTAGTTTTGATTCTGAAAAGTTGGAACAAGTGGAGGCTTTATTAGAACCATATCTTCAGGTAATTGATATATGTTTATCATGAGAAAGAATATCAACTTACATGGAAACTTTTGGTTTGTTTTATAGAATATTCGGATGATAGGTACTCGATGTGCACATCTTGACAAGGCTTCTGTCGATGTTGATCAAGCAATGATGCTGAACTTTGATTTGGTTCGCAATCGTTTCCTAGGTTTTGATCTATTGGGAACTCTGCTATCTTGTGTCATCACATTTGTATCTGTCGTAAGCATATTATTCAAAACTGGATAGATGAAAAAATATTGAGTTTTATTATTTTTTGTATGTATATAGTTTGTGGGATATTTTGGTTTCAATTTGACTATTCCTATCTATAGTGCTAGTAAGGGTAGTCAATACTATTGGTATGGTATTGTTTCTATTTCTTGTGTGGTTATTATGATTTCTTCGTTTGTTTTGGTTCGTTGGATGAGAAATAGTGGTTTAGGTATCTAATCAATGATAAACAAAGAAAATTTTCTTGTAACCATTTTTTTTGTCACATGGAACGACAAGCCATGAATCTTATACTTAGTCGACCCTTTTGTTTATTATGCTTTGGACCTAAAGGAAACTATTTTCCTTTTCAAGCTTCAAAAGAAGAACTTTGTGAACTTATATTCAATGCACCAACTTTGCCTTTGTGGTCCAATGGCTATTCTTCTGAGGAACACAAGTTGACGGTTAGCGACATTTTACGTTTATTACGTCCTTCTTTACCCGAATTGTGTGATGCAACCACCTTTCACTGCTTCTCTCAGTGTCTTTTATTAACTAGGAAGGACCATTTCTTTGCCATCATACTGAGGGATAGACTGTTGCTATTCGTTCACAATTCCCATTCCAGTATTTCAAGTATTTTACAAGAAGCTTTACAATCGTTGCAATATTCAGAAGATGGCAACTCAAAAGATCCTTGTGGGTTTTGCTGGTTAGCACTTTCCTCTCTCATCGTTTGTCAAGCGGAAGACTTGAAAGGAGTGTTCGAAGAGTTGCAACAGCAGAATACTGAGTTGTTACACCGAGTCAAAAGTGTAACCGATTTCATCCATTATAAAGACATTGTGTTACAACGGGAAAGCTTGCAACGTCTATGGATGGAATTGAAAGATTTTGAACAAATATTATTACGTATCTTAAAGATGGCGCATTCTGTTGATTCTTTTTTCAATCCGACTGTCGTCTCTTCAATGCATGCCATTTTAAGAGTAAGTTTTGAACTCCATCTCGCCATATATCTTGCTTATCTCTTACTCACTCACTCTCTAAATGTATTATAGATTATGGATCAAATGGCATCTCATATCCATCAACGAGTGGAAGTTTCCAATCAAACAGAACATTGGCTTATGATGGAATCCGACGCAGTTCAGTCTCAACTATTATCTTTCGATGTTCCTTTGACTTTTTCAGCTGCTTGTTTTCTATTATGCTTTCTTGTAAGTCGTTCAATTCTATATCACACTTATTGCTAACTAGTCCCAGTTTTTTGCCTTTACAGGAATGAATACTGGTATACCTATCTACAGTTCTTCACATGCTATCGATTATTGGATTGGAATGGTACTCATTGTGGTAGTCTTTCTTAGTTGTTATGGATGGGTCATGACAAAATGGCTTCGACGTAGTGGTCCTAAACTATCTCCTGGACAAGTGCCTCATTCTTATCATCATCATTCTACTGTAGAAGATACTATATTGTTTTCACAAGTTTCTTCTGGTAGAATATCCTTTTTAAATACTTTGGCTCATTTTGAATAACACACTGAAAATACTTTAACATTTGTATATCTATTTTCTTCTTTCTTTCGTAAAATACACATTTTTGGCAACTTGTTGTAAACACAAAGTGCTTATGACAGAAAATAACAAACAGGTCGTTATACAAACTGGATGTATCGTAGCAGCTAATAACAAACTCGTCAACAAACATACACAAACTATACAGCAACATCAACAATAGTATCATCATCCTGGAAACCAACCAACCTTCTCCATATCCTGCTATTCGTTGTAAATCGAGACAGTCTTCCAAGTTACAAACGCCGATCAAACAAAAGGAATAGAAGAGAGCACACAACGCTCCTTAACCAAGATGATATGAGAACAAGGAAAAGAGAGATGGGAAGACTCAAGTAACTTACCTCCCAATACAGTTCTAGTAGGAGTAGAACGGAAAAACTCCCAACCCAGTTGGGCAATAGAAAATAACAAAATACTGGTGAGAAAAGAAAAGAAACAAGAAAACCCAGGTCCAGCTATATGATTATTATCTTCACAGAAACTGAATGATATGTCGGTCAATATAAGTCATACGAACCTCGCATTATTTATTTATTTAGGAATCAATGGAACCATTACAACATCAATGGAAAGGACGTACTGCATTGATAACTGGAGCAACAGCAGGTATAGGTAGACAAGTATGTGAACAGTTGATTGGATATGGAATTCCTGNGGTTGGAATAGGAAGAAGAAAAGAAAAGCTAGACGAACTTGCTTCTTCTTTAAGAGAAATCAACGGTCGTGCTGCTGAGGATTTGTTTTTAGGAATATCCACTGATATTCGTTCGGAACAAGCCATCAAACAGGCCATGAAACAAATCAACGAGTGGAATGGTAACAAAGGTGTAGATATTCTAGTCAATTCAGCTGGCGTAGGTTACAGTGCCAAATTGATCGACGGAGATACGGAGTCTTGGAGAGAAATGTGGGAAACCAATGTATTGGCACTATCTATTCTTACCAGAGAAGTTATTCAAGACATGAAAAGAAGAAATGTCGATGATGGTATAATTATTCACCTAAGTTCCATGGCAGCTCATCGTCCTATTGCCTTGTCTTTCTATTCCGCTACAAAAGCAGCAGTCAAGATGTTGGGAGACTGTCTTCGTCAGGAACTGAGAGAAGCCCATTCCAATATTCGAGTAGCTATGGTTAGTCCTGGACATGTTGAAACAGAATTTTATGTCCACGTGGGAGGTGAAGAGTTTGCCAATAATTTGTATCGATCGATGAAGTGTTTGGAACCCAAAGATATTGCAGATAGCATTGTTTATATATTATCTTGTCCTAGTTTAGTGGATATTCATGATATATGGATGAGACCTAGAGATATGAAATTCTGAATATATATATATATATCTATATATATATTGCTAGTAAGATATATAGAAATGCTAGAATGTTTTATCTAAGGAGTTTCTCCTGGAAATCCTTTATCCACTGTTTTAGTAGTTTCAAAGGATTCTTCTTCTCGAGAATAAATACAAGGCCCTTGGAAGCCTTTTGGAATATCTCTCGGAGAAAAGTCAGGTTGTCCAGTTGAATTGACCAATCTTGACCACATGCGGTCTCTCAAGTCTACTTGCTTTTGTGCAGTTACTATTTCAGTCATAGGAATATATGCATGTCTTCCATGGATAGGGCCCACAGTAAATCCTGTATATCCTGCAAAGGAGCCATGAACTGCAGAATGAGCCAACAAAGTACAATAAATATTATCTGATGCATTACTAGCAACTGCCCTTATCATATAAGTTGGATCGATATATTTCATACTAACTTCTATTCCTTGTTTCTTAAACGTGGATTCTATCTCTTGATATAAAAAGTGTCCAATATCTCCCAGTTTCTTATTTCCTGAAGCATCCAACTGATCTATCCAATCATGATGGTTACGAACATATTCTTGACCAGCACCTTCTGCAACGACCAATACCATTTTACCTCTTTCTATCAAACACTTGTGAATATATTCAATCAAACCACCTCTTCCATGAATAACAAAAGGTACTTCAGGTATAAGACAACAATCCTAACTACTATGAAAATAGCTATTTCATCCATATGATAAATGCTTACCACTTCTCTACTGGATAAGGAAGCATGCAACGCAATAAATCCACTATTTCTTCCCATCAACTTGACTATACCCACTCCATTAGGAAAACAAGAGACTTCGGTATGTGCAGCATCGATGGCTTTGGAAGCTTCCTGCACAGCAGTATCAAAACCAAAGGACTTGTCAATGATCGGAATATCATTGTCTATTGTTTTAGGAATACTAGCAACTGTAACTTGCAACTTTCTTCTTCTGCATTCTTCACTCAATGTTGCTGCACCTCGAACAGTACCATCTCCTCCAATCACATAAACCTGATTGACTCCATTTTGTACGATGGAGTCCACTATTCTATTCAAGTCAAAACCACCACGTGACGAACCCAATACTGTTCCACCCATCTTGTGAATGTTATCTACCTTTTCAGTTGTCAGTGGAATCCACTCTTTGCTATAGAATCCTCGATATCCTTGTAAAACTCCAAAAATATCAGCAACACCATATTGGTAGCTCAGGCATTCTGTAAGTTCCCTAATCACCGTATTGAGACCTGGACAAAGACCTCCACAAGTCACAATAGCTGCCTTTACTTTCTTTGGTGCAAATACAATTCTTTCTCTT